AATAATATTTTTTAAAGGATGCCCTTTTCCAGATACCATACCACGCCTTGTCGGCAAGGATGTTTGACCCTTTCGATTTCCATGAAGAGCGGGTAATACACCCACCTATTATTGCTTTACACCTTAGAGATTATATCTCATTACCCGACCATCCAAATCTGCTGATCAGCGACAGGATTGAGAGGTGTATTCCTCCGTACGGAATAAATCCGAATGTTATTAACAATTCCTTGAAGGGTAGATCGTTACTCCGTGTATCTTGGTGTGTTGCACAGAATCTTTACTAATCAACATTCTTGTAGGGACCCGTTGACCGAAAGTAGTATCTCTACTGACCAAACAACAATATATCTTGCCTCTTACCCCCTTTTCCATTCAAGTCACCCTTATCCATCCCCCTTCATAACCCCCTTATCCCCCTCCGTCCAAATAAGTTTTATCACCCAGTTCCTAAGCTTCCATAATCCATCACCAGCCACATCTCTCTCAACGTCACAGTAATAGAAGGCCCCACCCAATAATCTCGACGTATCATCCACGTTTCCTTCTCCAGGGCGATAATGCTGCGCGAGCGTCGACGCCGTAACCTTGGCTTTGTTCGGGTCCCCCTCGACCATACTAACTCGGATGTTGCTGAGGAAGTGCGTGGTATCCAACTTTGAAATTTTATCGAAACACTCTGTGTGGATAGCGGGGAGGCCCTTCATGACGTTGCCAAAAAGGTCGAATGTTGAGTCGGGGAACAAGGCAGAGTCGAACAGCCTGGTGTCGGTTGTATCGAAGCCGAGGACGGCGCGATAGAGGGCATCGATGATGTCGTCACGAGTTTGGAGGTCAGGAGGGTGGTTGAGGGAAATGGGTATGGGTGTAGAAGTGGACATCTTGCTTGTTGGATTTTGTTTCTGAATATCATGATAACGATAGCAATTCTAGAGACAGTTGTAGATTGAGACGGTAGGGCTGGTATTAACATGAAGGAGCCGTGTGCTTAAGGGTCCTTATGTTCGACTACAAACTATACGACCAGATAATGATGGCATGACTTCTCGTAGTTAATCGGAGACCGAGAGAAGCAACGTTTATTCAGGCGATAAGGATGAGATCATCGAGTATCGGTTAACTCCGTGTCATATCCGGGGCTCTATGCAACCTAACCAATCCAAGCGACGTTCGCATGCTGATGAACTATGACATTATGGATTGTTAAGCAGTCACCTTGCTATATGACAGCCGACTCCCTGAAGGTTCTGACAACGTTGACTGGTTATTGACGGGCTGCGTGCAATGGAGCGAAGAATTAGTGCTCACCAGTCAGACAGCTTTGCCTAGCATAGCCGCCTGCCTAGCTGATGGAATTCGTATCTATTATGCGCACATTAGTAAGCCCATATTTATCGCACTAGTCCAGCACATATTATGGTTTCAAAGAAGAGCTGGTTCAAAAATAGCCATCTTTGCTGCAGTTGATGTGGTGCTTATCAGCCGCCAGATTGACGGAAGGGTGCCGCGCGGGGCCGTAAAGAGCCTCGGAGGTGATCCGCTCTCCATAATGAGGGGTAAGAGTCAATGCAAGACTCGCCGAATTCTGTCAATATCATCATGCAATTTGAGATAGAAACAGCTATATTCCAGTCTCTATTATTATTTTCGTCTTCTATTTTCCCACTACAATTATCGTATTACCAAAATGCTACGTCTTGACGGCAAAGTCGCCCTTATCACCGGCCTCGGCCAGACCACCGACGAAGGCTGGGGTATCGGTGCCGCCATCGCCATGAAACTCTCCCAGCAAGGCGCAATTATTTTCGGAGGCAATCGCACATTATCCAGTGCCGAAAGAACAAAAGCCCGAATTGAAAAGGAGGGCGGAACATGCGAAGTCCAAGAAACAAACGTCACAGATTCCACATCGGTTAAAGCCCTCGTGGATAGCTGCATGCAACGCCACGGGCGCATCGACATCCTGATCAACAACGTGGGAAAATCCGAGCCAGGTGGCCCTGCCGAGCTAAGCGAGGAAACGTGGGACCAACAAGTTGATCTGAACCTGAAAAGCGTCTATCTGACGAGTCATTTTGTGCTTCCTATTATGGAGAAGCAGGAGACGGGCGGCACGGTGATAAATGTGTCGAGCATTGCAGGGCTGCGGTATATCGGGAAGCCGCAGGTTGCATATTCGGCTACGAAAGCGGCCATTATGCAGTTCACGAAGGCCACGGCGGTGATATATGCGGGGAAGGGAGTGAGGTTGAATACTGTTGTTCCTGGGCTGATTTATACGCCGTACACTCGTGACCTTGCGAAGCGGTATGCTCCTGGGGGTGATGAAGAGGCGTACATGAAGAAGCGCGATGAACAGGTGCCAATGGGACGCATGGGAGATGCTTGGGATGTGGCTAATGCCACGGTGTTCCTCGCTTCGGATGAGGCACGGTATATCACGGGACAGGAGCTGGTGGTGGATGGAGGAATTACTTCTTCTACAGGGAGGGTATAATAAAATATCATACTACGAATTACTCCACGTGTTTGATGTGGCAGGCTACTATGGTTTAACTGCACGTTGCATCTACACGGGCTATGTTCTGAGGATACATTTAACATTCTGTATAATATCCTAGCTACCCATAGATGATATCTAGCTGTCATAGCTCCCCATGAACTTCCATATTAGCCTCTGTTGTACGCTCTAGTCAATATTATGTTGAGCGGCATGTCCCCGAACGCTACGGAAGCCATCCGTTGATTAGCCGCGGTCAGCTCTATCCATTCAGAATAAACTCTCCACGTTTGTTAGCTGAATAACTTGATTCACTTTCTTTATAGCATCATCTACTCTTGCAACAAATATATTTCTGTCTGTTGTTCTGACAATCCCAGTCTCTACCATAAACTTCTTCAAAAATGACTCTCGTCCACATTGGTTAGTCTCCTCATAACCTCAACAGACACTATGACATCCATCTAACCTACCCCCAACCAGTCCTCTTCAAATTCCGCCCCGAAGTAACTGATGAGCATAAACGACGCTTCGTGACAGAACTTAAGAAGCTCAAGAACCTACCCTGTGTGAAATCTGGACGCCTGCTTGTGGGCGGTCCCAGTGTGACCGACCCCATAGACCGCAGCAAGGGATTCCAAATCGCTCTAGTAAGCTATCATGAAAATCTGGCTGCACTGGCAGAATACCAGGCAAGTAAGGAGCATCATGAGTAAGTGATTGGATATTATGTCCGCTGGTCGAAATTGCGGGTGCTAACCTCGGTTATGGCAGTGTGACATCGACATACATGTTTCCATACAAGGAGGACCTGGTGAGATTTGATTTCGAGGTTGAGGAGGAGGATGAGTATATGTGTGAATTTCCGGTGTTGGGTTCATAAAAGAGCTGCCACTGTTTCTTAATCCACAAGTTGTGCGTTCTCAGTTATATATTTCCAGTGTTGGGGATCGTGCAAATAATCTACAATATAGAGCAAATCAGTGAGTGCGGACTACTTAGGTGACGCTTAATGATATGATACTATTATATAGGCTGAAGATTATTAAGAATTATACTTTACAAGTACATATAGAAGTCTACAAATAAATCAGCGAGATTGAATCAGACAGATTTACCGCCTGATATATAAGGCACCAGGGATTTAGTCACCTGACATCTGGGACGGAGGGCCTCCGTTTGGCGAACGGGGGATCCCGCACCACCATTTTGCCGTCTCCCGGTAGCGTCGAGAAAGCAGAAGATGGAGCAATCTTCTCACTCATCAGCTCGCATCGACTCACCAATCAGTGTAATTGAGATTTAGTGTTTATATATCAGCCATTGCACTAGTAGTTGTACCCCGGATGATACAGATCGTTCAGAGAAGGTCACGTGGGAAAGACTGGAAGACGCGGCAACAACAGTCCAGTCCAGTCCAGTCATCCACTGATCGCGCATCTTGTTATCTCAGGTCAGTCCTTTTTGCCCCCACTTCGGATATCTATATGTCAACATGGAATCACCGCGTCGGAATCGGAATAGAGCGGCGTGTAGGCGATGTCAACGAAGAAAGATTCGTGTAAGTCACTAGATCACCCCCTTTCCAATTCAAGCTCACGATATTTCCGCTTTGTAGTGCGATGGAAACGAACCATCATGCAGTTCCTGCTTGAAAGCAGGGGTGTCGTGTGTGAATGATGGAAAACAGGAGGTCACGCGGAGATACATTTCGAACATGGAAAACCGGATCCGATGGTTGGAATCCATTGTCAAGGAAAACTGCGCCAATGTGGATCTTGGCCTTGAACATCGCATGATAGCTGCAGAGAACGCAGTAGACCATGATAGCACGATTCTTTCTGCCGAAATACCGCATGAAGATGATCCGACCACTAGTTCGCAACGCATTCCCCCAAGGGAGTTGAGAAGAGAGGCCCGAGGAGCTTCACGCAATGAAGGAAACGGCTCGAATTCGTTGCCGGACCAGCATCCGCCGCACCATATGACGGGGAGTAATGCTGAGCACCAACCGGCTCACGAGATTGGTCTGGTGTCCCTGTCCTCTGGAGAAGGCCCTCGATACATTGGGCCGTCCAGCGGGTACTTCTTCGCGAATCGTATATTCTCCAGCGCTGGACGGCGATGCAAATCCAGGGGTGTTAGAAAAGCTACGGCAGAGTCAACTATCCTCTCAACAGAGCTGCTAAGCAGCCTTACTCTGCTGCCCACGCGAAAAGAAAGCGCCGTGGAACTCTCTAAGAAGTACTTCCGAACAGTACATCTTATCTACCCGTTCTTGCATGAGCCGACTCACATGTCAGTGATTGACCGGGTATATACTTCCCAGAACGAGAACCCTCTGGACTTGTTCCAGGTGTACATGGTTCTATCCATTTCAGCTTTGAATCTGTCTCGCGAATGCAAGGTACATCTTCCCGTGGAGGGTTACTATGCGTCTGCTATGAAGTATGTTGAGCAGGTCTGTTCATATGGCTCGATTACTGCTCTGCAATGCATGCTACTTCTTATGGTTTATGCGCTACATAACCCCTCCTCTAATGTCAACATTTGGAACCTGAACTATCAGTGCCTCGCAAGTGTGATAGATCTAGGGCTGCAGCGCGATGTTCGGGTATCCCCTTCCCTCGGAATATCGCTGCTGGATCAGGAAATGAGAACCCGTATCTTTTGGGTTGTATATACTCTTGATAGAGCGATTTGTACCATGATGGGGCGTCCAATAGGTATCAGAGATGAGGCCTGTGAAATGAGGGTAAGATCAAATCTGTAGCGTATGAGAAGATACTGATCAGGTTACAGTTCCCGCTGGACATGACAGACACAGACCTTCTCAATCCTGACTCCAACCACAATGGAGAACAAGAGCCACCGTCACACATGTCACACTCGATCCATCTTTTTAAATTAGCCAAGATGAACTCAGAAATAAAATATGTCATGCACAGCATTCAACGTGACGTACCGAGCTATGCTTATCCCCCGGTTCGGGATATCTTCGCATGGCAGCGCGATATGATATCAACCCTTAAGAACTGGCAATCGACAATTCCACAAGACACAGCTAGTGAAGATACGATGTCCAAGCTATGTACGGCCAGATATCACGAAACAATGGTATTACTATTGCGACCAAGCCCAGCAATCCCAGACCCATCGGAGGAGATGCTTGATCTGTGTTTTCATCAGGCGGTAGATCTCCTGAAAATCTTTGGCGATATCTACAGGGCAGGAAGTCTACTCTACAGCCGACTTCTTGTCCACTCGGTATTCCTTGGAGCTCTTGTACTACTCTACTGTATCTGGAAACTACCGAGAACTACCGCCAAGGTGCGTGTCGATGAGCTCATGTCGAGCCTCACTATGGCGCAGAACATACTTAGTAGTATTGGTGAACACTGGAGCGAGGCTACTCGGGCACGGGATTGCATTGACGAATTGTCCCGTGTGACAATCGAACGGCTCTTGAGAAACCGATCGGCCATCGAATCACACACAGAAGCCGACAGAACGCAGTCGCGAGCTGGAGGTATGCAGAGCTCATTATCTACGCAGCATCATCAACCGCCAGGATATAATGGCATTCCCGAGGGGTACGGCAACTCTGAGCAAAACCCTGGATTATTAGCCCTTCCTCAAGAATATCGAGCAGAAGAAACTTCTTATCACTTCAACTTGTTTGATGATCTTCTGCAGGGCGACTATCAAGGCTGGAGTGGAATGCCTGATATTGATGGGCTGATGTGGGAGGTTTTCAACAGCTCGCCACAGTAATGAACATTGGATAGGCCGAACAAACCTCTTTAGGCGTGCTTCGACAAGTCGCTCGTCAGAGCTTCGCACTCGTCCAGGAGATAGATCTCACTTAGAATATTTCCAGTGACTGAAGCCCAAAGATACCAGGCGTATCGCTATGGAGTGCATTTCATACTCCCTACTGAGTCGTCCGCCTGTCGGAGCCCATCCGTCGTTCATCGGATGTGCCCCGTGTGGGGCGACGGCCATCCCCGATAGTCTCCGAAGCATCTCCCCTCATAAAAACATCTCATCCTCATCCTCAACATCAGCCCCACACCCGACAACAACAACAGGAACATCCGTACTTACGTTCAATTACCTATCATTCAACTCCAAAATGTCCGACCCCCAACACCAAATTCGCCACATCAACCCCAATCACCTGGACACATTCGTCCAGTCCATCCTCATCAAAAACGGCGTTTCCACCGACCACGCCAAGATCATATCATCATGCCTCGTGCAAGCCGACCTGCGCGGCGTAGACACGCACGGCTCCAACCGCATCCCCTCATACATGCAACGTATCCGGCAAAAAGTCCTCTCACCCAGTGCCACCCCCACCTTGACTGAGAAAACCCCCGTCGTTGCACAAGTAGACGGCCACAATGCCTTCGGCTTTGTCTCTGCACACATGGGCATGCAACGCGCCATTGAAATGGCCAAGGTATACGGCATTGGTCTCGTTTCCATCAAGCACTCGAACCACTTCGGCATGTCCGCATGGCTAGTCCAACAGGCCCTGGACGCAGGGATGATGTCCCTCGTATTCACGAATTCCTCGCCCGCCCTACCCGTCTGGGGCGGTAAATCTAAGCTCATGGGCGTGTCTCCGATCGCGTGCGGTGCTCCGGCTGGATCGGCTCCGCCGTTTATTCTGGATATGGCGCCGTCCATCGCCGCCCGGGGAAAGATCTATAAGGCGCTTCGCCGCGGAGAGAAAATCCCGACTGATTGGGCGCTTGATGGGGAGGGGAATATCACGGATGATCCTGCTAAGGCGCTTCAGGGTGTGATGCTCCCCATGGGCGGGCCGAAGGGGTCTGCGCTGGCGATTATGATGGATGTGTTTTCCGGGGTGTTGTCCGGGTCTGCGTTTGCTGGGGGAGTGACGGGTCCGTATGATCCGTCTAAGCCGGCGGATGTGGGTCATTTCTTGGTGGCGATTAAGCCGGATTTGTTCATGGGGCTGGAGGAGTTTAAGGAGAGGATGGATTATTTGTATCAGAAGGTCGTGGGGAGTGACAAGATGGCGGGTGTGGAGAGGATTTATTATCCTGGGGAGATTGAGCAGATCACGAGGGAGACGAGATTGAAGGAGGGCATTCCGTTTACGGAAGCAGAGATTGAGGCGTTGAATAAAGAGGCGGAAATGGTCGGAGCGGAGAAGCTGAGGGTTGATTAGAATCATTGGTGATGTATTGGGAATTGATGGCCAGATGAGTACAGGTCAGGTGGAGGTTTGAAGAGTACATATTTTCACGATATCATTGTACAATGGAATCCTACTATATGAAGTATAGTCACACCTCGAGACTATGAGGCCCATACGGCTCGAACTGACAAAGTCAGGGAACCATGCTAATAACACCAGCATCAGAATGCTAATTTTGAAAGAGCGTTCCTCGTGAGGATTTGATACTATCCTGCTCACGACGGCACTGCGTATCTTCCAATAGAGAGCGTGAGCGAAACCTGATCGGCTTGGGTGGCGGTAACGGCTTCGTAGATTTGATCGAACACTTGAATTTGACTCCGTGCAAGTCCGAAGCTGCTAGTTGTGCTTTGAAGAAGGTGTCGCTGCTTCCTATTTCTCTTGTGGGTCCCTCTGAAATCTTTTCAGAAATGGCTATTACTGTTCCCTGGAGACCTTTAGTGCGACCAGAAGATAGGTCATCGCTATCATAATTGATTCCATTCGCCTGTCCCAAAATGCCTTCAGCTAGGCCTTGACTCTTCTCTATACTTTGCAGTCTCTCCACAACCTGATCTATTTTCTTCTCGAGGGCCTTGGCCGATCGCTGCTGAGTATCTAGCAAAGCGAGGCGTTGCTCTATTGCTGCTAGCCTCTCATTCACAGCCATCATAGTTGACAGATAATATTCGGAACCAGGGAAACTATCCAAGACGGACTTCATCTCCTCTATCGAAGCTGTCATAACTCTGCTGACTTCATCTACCACTCTAGATTGGCCCTGGGGAACATCGCTGACCGGGACCATCTTAAGAAACTCTGCCGCACAAACAGCAGCCACCATAGCAGCATAGCCATGCCAGCTGTCGTTCTTATGTGAGTCGGCGTAATTGTCAATGCCACGGATCGTGATCGATCCTCTACTCAACCCCGCAGACTCCATGTCGAAACACAGTGTATTGAACGTATTCCCCCAGTCATCGCGCGTTTGAGCATTTTTGATAAGTTTGTCCCCTGACGCAATGGTCCCCGAGTGAACCCTGACCTCACCATCTCCCGGCCGAGGCTCTCGAGCAACAAGGAGGGAAGAGTCATGAACCATTGTTTCCTCACAGTCGCAATGTTCACCATGAACATAGTCCGAATTATACAAACGATCCTCCAACTCCGGACGCCGAAACAGATGCTGTAGCGGAATAGGCAGCATTTGCGCCTTATCCTCAACTACACTTCCAATGTCCAACTCCAAAAGAGAATTATACTTAAGATGATTCACCCTATTGTGAAGAATAGCCGGCGGCCGGGGACAATGTCCTGTATATTGGAACCCATGGTGGGTCACTTTGCCGAATTCGTACGGGACAATTTTCGTCCCTATGACCACGTCGCCCAGTCGCACATCATCCTTTGACCCAGGTGCAGCTCCAGCGATTCCAACCATGAGTGAATATTGGACCAAGGGGAAGGTAAGTCGCAAGGCTGTTTCGACGGCGGATGCAGACACCACGCCGGGGGATTCCGCGGGTAAGCAGACTATCACGACATTGTGGTTTCCGATCCGGCCCAGGGTATAAGCACGGCAGTCTCTCTGCCCTAGAAAGACATGTGTGGTGTCTGGGTAGATCTCGTCTAAGACGTGCCGGGCGGCGATGTACTCGATTAAGAGGCTGCAGATCCAGCCAACCGTGAAATTCTTGGCGTCCAGGGATGATGAGCGGGTCATTGCAGTGGCTTGACGGGGAAAAAGAATAGATTGATTAAAGTGAACTGAAACAGTATTTATAGAAGGTTCGATAATTGCATTGCTGGGTGTAATGAGCGGGCTTTAAGCACGCCGGCCTGCATGCTTAGCCTTGTGTATTCGGCTGTCGTTGGAGGAAGCGCCGTGCCACATTACAAAGCGATACGCCCGTGTAGCCGCTAATGCAGAATGAGCAGATGTTGATAGGTGGAACTAACCCCGCTGGAAGGTAGCTGCACTGGCTATTGCACATTGAAAGTGACCAACAGATCGGAGGTAGCGGAATGCGCGCGAGTGGTTCTGCGATGCGATCAATAAAGACTTAGAAATTGCCATAGGGCAAATAATGAAGTATATTAACCTACAACTGGGCTCCACAATTCAGTTAAAATGTAAGAATAACGTTCCATATCAGAAGTTTGCCACACATTACAGCAATAAAAAAGAAAAAAACAAACATATAATTACATCTAACATCACAATATGTGCAATCTATAAGCCGGGAATCTTTCCCTTCCTCCCGAGCCGGAAACACCACCCTCTGGCTCATCCTTTCTTATCCCATCTCCTCAAATGTTTACAAGCCAGACGGGAAAATGATCGATGGATCATAAACCGACGGAGTACTGGTATCAAGCGTTCCATTCCAGCAATAGCGCTGAAAGCACCGGTCGCAAGCAGCAGGCACAGGTGTATTGGTCCTGTCAAACGAACGACTAAGGACAGCGCATCCCACACAAGTAGTCCACTCATTATCTAGCGTGCCATTCGCTTGGGTCGCAACATTATAACCATTGGTTATCATAGCGTCACGGGCTGTGGTATTGAAAGTGGTATCTGTAGTTGTTGTGTTGGACATGTAGGTGACGGGGTGGTTAGGCAAGTAGACAATCAACGGAGCAGGTGTAGTCATGTTCGAGCTATTGCAACCGAAGAACGTAGGGTGGCTGATAAGACCCAAGTTGACGAAGGTATTTCCATCGGGAATGGAAGGGAAAGAAGTATCGTTGGCGTAACCAGCAAGAGTTCGCTCATAAGTGGCGATAAGCGACTCCCCAGTGGGCCATTTGTAGCCGGCGTTATTGTTGTTGGAATCGATGGCGAAGATAACATCCACGTCACGCTTTCTCTGGATCAGTGGGTTGAGGGGAATGTTCTCTTCGTCTTCACCACCATCGACCACCGTCAACCTTGTGGTCTCTGCAAATGGTGAGGTGTTCGCGTTGTATTTGTAAAATGGGTTTGGTTCATAGGCTGCGGGGCCACTGATGGCGGTGTTGTTGGAGCTGAGGGCGCTGACAACTTCTTCGAGCATGTACGACAGCAGCTCCACTTCCAGAGTACCCTCAGTGGTATTTGTTGAAACCTCTGCAATCGCATCACGTAGGGTAGCAGCAATACCTGTGCCGTTTTCGTTCCAAATGTCGCTGGACGTTCCGGTGATAAACCCAGCGCTGTCGAAGCCGCGCACGCAGGTCTCATTTTCGGGCACCTGGCCGTTCACGAATCGGGTGCCCAAGTACTCAAGTGGTGCGAAGCCATACATATTGTCGTCGTAAGTTCCGAATTCCCAGGGTGAGACTTCGTAGATGGGTTTATCTTGACCGGGTTCGTCGTTGGCGTCCGCGAAGGACTGGCCGTCGACAACCACCAGTGGCAGTGGCATGTCTCCGTGTTGGAAGGCCGGTGTCTTCGCAATCGAGGACCAGTGGATGTCAACGCCGCCATGGCTAGCGTTGAGGAAGTAGTAGCCTTCAGCCCGACCCCTGCATTAGTTAGCATCTGCCTGTGCTGTTCATGTCGTGTTGACTATTATGTGAGTAAGTGGCTTACCAAACATCCGCGTCAGTAGTAGTAAAACCAGCAGCCCTCTTGGCCTTCACTTGAGCTGTAACATTACCCCAAAAGTCGGTAGGCTCCATGGTTGCAGGTCCTTCAAGAATAGATGCTGAACTAAAGTCCCAGAAGCTCTCCTGAAGGGCAGAAATGGTTGTAAAGTTGTTCATGAATACCGAGGAAAGCAACCAGGAGCCTCCACTCAGAGCAGCAACATAAGTGGAAGATTGAAGTAGACCGCCCAGCTGGCCCTCGGCCGCTGTACCTTCAGTCCGACTGTCGAACGCTTTGAGGGCACCGGCACCATTCAACATTGCGCGCATACCACCACCGGATATAGCAATTGCAACATTGGGTAAGCTGGAAGAGTCCCTTGTGTCGAGGTAATCCAAGACGTCGAAACAATCAATCTCAACATGACCGAAAAATTCCTTCAGCCCCGATAGAGACTGTTCACGTCGGGTCTTCAGCCAGGAAACTTCCTCCGGAGAGAGTGTTGCAGCGCCACGAATGCTAGGCCGGTTGGGCGGACAGGAAACGTGAACCGGAGCATAAGGGTTTGTGGCAGTTGACAAGGCACGGCGCTCAATGCTGACGTCCGTTCGAGCTCGGCGATTATTTATTTGGGATGGAGCAGCAGTTGTGGCTAAATGGGACGCAATACCAGTTAGTCACTTGAATCGAGTAGCACCGTGATGTTGAAAAATTGTAAGAAATGTGCAAGGGACTTACAGGGCAAAAATGCCAAGGCAACTGAGCCAAGTAATGCAGACGTCTTCATAATCAATATTAAAAGCGAGAATATCACGTTGATTGATGAATTGATGGTGTTAATTGAAGATGGAGAACAGCTCTGATTGTCCTTGGGAATGATCGATATTTAAGCTTCCCAGGTTCCCCAAAAACCACAGCTACCCAAGGCTGAACTGACGATAAAGCTGAGCCCCATCCCACCGATCTGGTACACTCTTTTAGGAATGGCAACATACACCACATGGTGGGGATCCTAATAACCCCAGGCCTAAAAAGCTGAGACTTAAAGTGGACTTTGGGGGCGGAGTGTCCACACCAGCCGAGCTTCCACGCTTAGAGGGCGAGAGCTGAGCACTTAGGAGTCTTGACTCATGAACGCTAACCCTAGTGAGTAACAAGATCGGCAAAGAAGAGCTTGATTGAATGGAGTATCCAATGCTAGATTCTGACAGATCCATTTATCGACATGCCGAAGGGGCCAAATTGTCGCTTATGCCCACTAAACCTAATCAGGCAACCAGCTCGGAGGCTGAGCGGTGGGCAGCGATCGGCGCGGGCCACGTTTACTCCATTTCCCATCGTTTAACACTCCCAGTAAGCGCAGCCACCACTTGCAGAGATGCTGGTGCCCACGAGGGTAGTGATACGTTTTCTCGTCTCTGATCAGTGTGTCGCGCAATCTGTTACCGCACCAATCATAAAGCCAAGCTCTAACCAACACTGGACGATTCCGTACAGCACAGCAAACGAGGTGCCTCAACTCCGCTCTGAAGTGGGCCATAGCCTACAGCGGACTGTATTTGGTCAAAGTTTATCAACTATCGACCATTCAAACCCGGATACCGCTACGCCGCAGCGTCAGAGGCTCTGACAGAGCTGCCCAAACCGGCTGATGAATGATTACTTTTATGAATATTGACATGGTTGGTTTGGAGAAGAGTAGGAGCTGCAAAATTGGTATCTAAATTCCAAATACTGACATGGTCTATTGAAAGGGAGAAGAAGAGAGAGCGGCAAAGAAATAGAGAAGACACCGTACAAAGAGAAACCAGGATCTATTGACATAAGTAACCGGTGAAAGGCACCCGCTGCTAAGCCGCAATGCCAACCGAAGTGGGCTGGACCACATCAAGCTTTCCATAGTCCGTTTCGTCTTCCAGTTCTCGGAGATGTCTGGTGCGGACACCCACGACGATCATGGTGATGGTCGCAAACAACTCCGGCAGGAACATAAGAACAACGCGGACGGACATTAGTCCATACACTGGACTAAGATCTTTACTCTCGGTGCAAACAGCAACAAGTGCGTAGATGACACGGACACCAATGAATGCTAGTGCAACTAGCGCACCCTGAAGGAGCTGTAAACACACGTTAGCCAAGTTATGGTAAGTATCCAGATAACAGGTACGCAATACTCACCACAGTGCCGCCTTGATATCCCGGACCTTGAATTTCTTTATCGTGGAATTGTAAGGAGTAAACCGACCACCCAATTTGGAAGAGCCAGACCACAACGGTCAGGGATGATCCAGCCTTCCATAATGAGTAATCGTCGGACTGTGCTTTGTTCTCGAAAATATCCAGGCATGCCTTGATAGAAAGACTTATAGCTACCACCATGGTAACTGATGTTCCAATCACGACGGACCAATTGAGGCGACGGCTGGCATATGGAAAACGATACGTTCGGCTGTTGCTAATTTAGTACCAGATCTAGCATATCTTGAGGCGTGAACGTACGCTTCATGGACCAATCCGTCAACGCATAGAATTAAAGGCGTGATTCCCACGCTCTGGATGATATTCGCTGCCATGCTGCTGCTGTCGCGAACTCCTAGAGCACCTCCAATAACTCGAGCGGAGCAGAACATTATTAGGGAGTACCAGGCCAGAAACCCGGTCCATCGGTGAGTTATGAATATATAGACGACAATCGGCGAGAGGATCAGATAAGCCGCAAGATCAGCCGCAAATATTCCGTTCATTTTGTGATGGATGAAGGTTAAGTAGAAGGTATATCCAGAAGAAATTAAAAGACGTGTTGGTTAATATATGCTTCAGTTGTTTTAATCAAAGAACAGCATCTTGTTGTAGAACGCGGGAAGTTATATATCCTTCCGGACTGAGGCTATACAAACCATCGACTTAACCAATAACGGCATATCGATCGGGATGATGCAGTATTCAGCCTTGCGATGGTTTACGACTTCAGGTACCAACGCCAGGTATATTCTATATTCTGCAATCCGTGGCTGGGTTTCAGGCTGAGCAAACGGGAAGATATAGAGTTTCGGAAACTCGACCCAATGGCATCCAAGCCCCCCACATCCACGGCTACTAGTGCTCACTTCAAGCGTTATGCCCGACTTGCTCGGTCGGACTTAAAGGCAGCCAAGTCCCACTTGCTGGGAGCCAAGCGTCTTCAAACTCTGGCATCCGAACTGGTTACCCTTCTGGGAACTGATTATCCACACATATCCCTGTTGCCATGGTCTACAGAGGGAAGCCGGGTCTGGGGTGTGCTTTATGCAGGACACGACGGCTAATCGTACGTGGTGCGCCTCCAGGGTCTTTATGATCATGGCGTACTGACTTTACAGTGCGATCGACGTCGCCCGTCGTGTACACAATGCCTGAGGATCAACCAGGAATGCTCAGGGTATCGCGACCCGAACGTCCTGAGAATCTGCGACCAGACCGATGAAATAACCGTGAAAGTCGAAGGTCGAGGGACGATCGCTCGAAAACATCGCAAGTCGCCTTCTACGGGAAAACCCCCCTCATCCGCCTCTATAACCCCCCCGCCTACCACAATTGATGATCAGGTCATGTCGCATATCTTCACTTATTACGTCGGTACCACACGAGTCCAGGGTCTCCTCTCCTATCTTCCCCACCTGCTGAGCACGAACCCCTCTCCTGCACTCCAGGCCACGATTAAAGCTGCAGGGCTGGAGAGCATGGCGAGAATCAACCGGCGTCCTGAACTAAAGCGTGCGGCAGGGGAAGAGTACGGCAGGGCCCTGGTTGCCACTAATAACGCACTACGAGACCCAGTATCGGCGAAGTCTGACTCCACTCTTGGGGCTGTTATCTTGCTTGGCATGTACAAGGTAAGATTAGCTCCTTCGATTGCAGGCTCGGCTTTCTAATTGAGGGGTTAGTGGAACGCGTGCTCGGGTCTAATGCAGGGCTGGTCGCAGCACGTCCGAGGAGCGACAAAGCTTGTTGAACTACGCGGCATGGAGCAATTGAACTCGGAGACTGGCCTCGAGTTGTTTACACTAGTCCGTTTGCAGAATGTAAGTATTGCTCCACTCAAGGATTGGCTCTCATTCTCATCTATATTTATCAGGCAATTAGTGGCGTCTTTAGAAGATCTCGGAGGTACAAATCACCCAAGATAACGGCCCTTACGAAGCTGGCACAAGCCTGGCACAAGCAAAGAAGGACAAGGATTCCCAACCAATTGAGGTATTCTATGATATACTGATGGAACTACATGATCTCGCCGTCGAGGTGGACGACGCAGCCATGGTCGATGATTCAATTGGCACTCTGAGCATACTTATCAGCAAGGCCCTTCATCTTGACACGGATCTGCGGGCCTGGGCCATGTCACTCGGTCCGCATTGGCAATACTCCGTGGTTGACACACACAGTAATCCCAAATCTCGTCCCCACATCCCGCTTCACAGCGACACCTACCATATGTACAAAGCCGTCGGGGTAGTTTCAATGTGGAATCATTATCGCCAAACGCGAATTATATTACAAGAGATGATCAGATCAATGGGTCTACGTCTCTGGGGCCTACAGGGGACATCTCAATGCCAACAAATCGTGTTTGACTCGATAGATACTATCAAGCAGATGACAGACGACCTCTGCGCTAGCGTTCCATATCACTTTGTATCTGGAGAGGTGACATTCCCGGCCGTGATTCGCCTGCTGTGGCCTTTGTTCGTCGCAGGCGACTGTGCGGGTGCGGAACCTGCCACGAAGGAATGGATCATCCAGACTTTGGAGTTAATTGGGAACACGACGGGTATTCAACAGGGGATTGGCTTAGCTCACATGCTTAGGAATGGACATACAAGGAATTATATACCCGGAACGTGAGGACGGGGTGTACTTTGTGATATATTTTTCTCGTGTTTGTGGTCGATACTATTTCTCAGCGATGCGTTGCTTAGCGGCGGTTGGCGTAATGTACAACCTACCTATCCCCTCTATTATGATCTACACATCTTCGATTTGCAAGAATAAATGCAAAAAGAAAAACATACAACAGAAGGGATTCGCTGGTGGTCACCCACCCAACTACTAACCTCCCGGCGTGTGGCTTAAGTACGGCTGAGCGGACGGGAAGCCCTGTTTTCCACACCCTGTGGTCGTATGTGCTTGAAATAACTAGTCTTTCACTTAAGTAGAAAGGATATTTAGCTTATGACGTTGGAATATGGATTTCTGTCGAGAATAGATTTGTGAAGAAGTCGATGTTCATCCTGAGTGTTTCCTTCCTTCCTATGTGTCCCATATCGCCCGAACCCCCCTTAAGAATAAACAGACCACAACAACTCATATGTACATTCAAAGTATAGTTGGTTCTACGAAGGGAGGCAGGCAGGGTGGATACTCATGAGATAAGGGCATAGCTTTGAAATAGAACTCAGTTTCGATAAGTGATAGATAAGTGACATAGTAGACAACAACGAGAGAACAGATAAATATAGACACAAGGAAAAGTGGTACAGTAGTCAGTCTGTCAGTTATTGCTCATCAAGGATCAACCTTGTGCAACATCCAGATTTCTTCACACAAAAGGAAAAAACAGGTCCCGCCTGTTAACGTCAACGAGCCAACACTTTGGTAGTGTGTTTCGGTATGATCATTTTTTCGCGCTCTTTATTCTTGAATTTCTTCAGCAATGCCTTTCTTACCGACCATTTGTGCGGCCTCTACCCTACATCCTCGATTGTTATATAATCTACTCATCTTTGAAGCTATAAAAATAAGTGAAAAAAAAAAAAAAAAAAAAAAAAAAAAAAAAAAATAAAATGAAAGTAAGACTTAAGCTGACTGACTGACCTTGGCCTCTTCAGGGGAATTGGTATGTGGCCGTTCTGCATGCGAGTCTGCTTACCTTAGTCCGATCTGCTCCAAAAGCCATACTTTCTTAGAAAAAAAAAAAAAAAAATAAAAAAAAAAAAAGAAAAAAGGGAAAAAAAAAAAAAAAAAAAAAAAAAAAAAAAAAAAAAAAAAAAAAAAAAAAAAAACGAAGAGAAACATACAAAGGGATTCACTGTTTGCTACCCACTAAATTTCTAAGTAATCTCTTAGCGTGTGGCTTAATTGCAGCCAATATCCTAGTAGGTGCCACCTACGCAAGTTAGAGGATGAGGCCGCATTTAGTCGCACGATCCAGGCCGACTTTGAATTAAGTATGCAATAAATGGAGTGAGAAACTACCAGCATTGCGCGAGCTCACCCATTGAAATCATGATCGGCCTATATTCCGCAGGTAGTACATCTCTTATTCACAGCATCCGTACTTTGCTTGGATGATACAAAATGTTCGATTTTGAAATTTTATAAAACCTCATCCCTCTCAGCGGTGCGGCTGGAATCTAGTAGATTTGAAGGTAGTATCGCTCCTGTCTTGAAACCCTAATGTAGAGCAGGAATGTAGTCGCTGAAAAAGCTTCCATCATCACCGTATCCATGGATCGCGAAATGTAACGAGCGATTAACCAAGAGGAATGCATTAGAATCGACTGGATCCTCGTGCACAACATGTACTGCGAAGACTTTACGACCTCGCGCATTCTGGGAACATAGCATTTCTATGATCACCTCAAAGAGCAGCAAAGCCCCAGCAGTATCTTCTACTGCGGGAGTGGTTGATTTCAGATGTGGTAGGACGGTATGAGCGAGGTAGGTTAAAATATCAGGGTTGGGCCAGCGCAGGCACAATAGCCCAAGAATCCAGCACATGTTCATATTATACATTTCCTCGTATAGGTACCGCGGTGGATCGTATCCCTTTGCAATCCCCAGAATGATCTTAGCCCATCCATTTAACACTGAATTGACTGGTCCGGTTGATCCGTCGAGTAAGGATTGAAGCAGCTGTATGTCACAGTAGATCTGAACTAGCGCGTACATTGCGCAGGCCATTGCCTCCTCATGACTTGCGAAAGTAATCGGCGGGATGTTGTCATGTGTAAAACTAAACTCCATCTCATGAAAAGCTGGGTGACTTGTGCACTGAGAGAAAGCGCTGTAGAGAGGAGCTGATTGAGCGAAAAGAATGTCGATACGTCTCCGCAGACTTGTGAGCTTCTCACAAGCCTCCAACGCCGAGCTTACCAAGAGATTAGGGTTGCCGTATCCACACATCTTTTGTAACACCCGCTGTAGGTTATCCGAGGGACACCGTATGAACTCCCCAAGGAGCAAACTGGACGAAATGCGGACCACGTCCACCACCATGAAGAATAAAATTTCTTGGCGTGAACAAAGCCGCTCTGCCAGAGTGTCAAGCTCGCGGTGAACAACATCTCCCCTGCGTAGAGAATGTAATGGGCCGAGAAAAAGAGCGCCTTTTGCAAGGGTGAAAAAGCTCGCTCGCAGCAGCAGTTGGCCATTAGGCGTTGCCGATAAAGTGTGATGGTAGCAAAGTGTAAGAGTTTCAAGTCCCTGCAGGTGACAGTAGTAACTGCTGACGGTCCCAACCACATTTTCAAAAAGGATGAAGAAGATGATGGTAGCAAAGACGTCCTCTAATTGGCTGGAATTCCGCTGTATCAGTCTGATAGCCCGACTAAAGTAATTTAGTGACTGGATGAAGAAATGTCGATTTGGCCGGATGAGTGTCTTCGATTGTGTATGGTACGGAGTACCCAAAGAATAAGCAAAGCGAGCAGCAGAGAATGCCACAGTAGCATTACATAGGGCCGGCAGATTTGACAATCTGCAAACGACAGGACGTACGCTGACCGGCAGTAAGTCGACGACATGTGCCAAGTACTGATTAGAGAAAATCTGTTCTGACCCACTTATGTGATATTCAGGCTGCATGCCTCTATTGCTGGGCGCTTGGTCCTTGAGTGCACGCAGAGGATTTCCCATCCGGGTGAGACTCGTCACGAGCTCACCATTGCCATGGGCCTTTCTTGTTCGTTCCGGCTTATTTCGTGTGTCTTGGAATCGAACCAAAAATCTTTGGTATGAACAAGTAATTCTCAGCCGTGAACAAAGCCCGCAACTTGGGCTGCCCTCGTCACACTGCATGGAATTTGAGAAAAGTCAATGAAAATCCAAACTACAGGCACGTGAGGTTCACCTTTCGCTTTTTACTCCTGCAAGGAATGCAACCATTCCGGCTTCTGGTGATGTTGGTTTTCTTAGGTCGAGGCGGAGTAGGGCCGTACATGACTCATGATAAACCAGGAAGGCGGTCCATTCCGCTAGTAGCTACGAATTGGTATCGGAGATCTAGCAGGCCGGCATCAGAATTAATGTATCGGTCTTGTAGAAGCGAGGGAGTGATAAGCGTGGCTTTCCCAGAAGTTCAGGACGGTGAAGCTGTTGAACCTCGACCGCCCCGGATACCGCCTTCCTGCTGGTTCCTCTCCACCATCTACCGCCCTGCCTAACAGAAGGTCTCAGGCAGAAATCGACGAATGTCTCTGATTCTTAGCCCGCCTCTCCCGCTTTCTTCCGCGCATAGCTTGCTATTGAACCCTCCTTATTGCCCCCTATACCAGCTTAGTCTTCCTATTGCGACACAGACAGGAGAGCTGATTGGTCTTGACCGTATCAACTGCTTAGAAGAGGCCAAGCTTACCAGCTTCCTTGAATAGCCACGGAATCGAAGTCCATGTAACACAACGAAAAAAAACGCCAACGCGAATCGAGAAGCTGCCCACCAACAGCGCCATTGCAGTTACTGTCCCCCGTGACCACGTATAGCTTAGTCGCCTTGTTCGATAATAAAGCGCAACGCGCCACGATTCATTTACAGTAAGTGAATAACTGTATCATTACGGTAACAGTTACGATATGTACCTGAGCGGATCATGCTTCAGATAAGTGGAGCCTAAAGCGACTGTCTCCCTTCAACGGCCTTATGGAGGATGATCTAGAACTTAGCCGCCTTCTCTAGTTGGAAGCCTGCTCAATAACCAACAACGGTATACCCTGACCATCAAACTTCTTTATCCATGTCTGCAACAAATATCCTTCTATTTTCAGCTCCCCTGATTACCCTTACATTTGTTCTTCTTGACTGCCAAATGTCGAAGAAGACGCCTTAATTCGCAAGGAATTGAAAGACTCTGCAATGATGACCTATTGCAAATTAGGCTATTCATTGAGGGTATCAGCGTGGAATTATGCCTGGGAAATGCATGGCATGGTAGTGTTTCCATTTCGCGTAGTTAGGTAGTACTAGGGGAGGGGGAAGGAATAAGGGTAGCAACAGCTATCTCGGGTCATAACAGCACACAATATCACTTGAACTCTGGGTAGTATATAAGTAGTATCATCATGGCGATGATCCTCATTATACATGGCGTGATCTGCAATGAACAGAACGGACGCCGTCCGAGATCAATTGAGAGGCACCAAATTCCCATGGCCCCAAGGTACCCATCCAATGTACAGAGTACATTTCTTCAAGAACATGGCATATGTTGGGGCCTCTGCTCCCTAGCAGGCAAGGCTGTATATAAGCGTCACGTGACCATCATACTGTTTACTCCGTTGTTCGCACCCCCAGCCTACGTAGTCTCGATAGTGACAACGCAGGTAACGCCTTCGCCTTATGTTTACCCTTTAGCTAGCATTTCTACGCCCAAATGGCATGTAAGTCTTCTAACATCAACTCAGCTCCTACCACAGTGTTCTATACCATTGGTATTTTAGCGAAACTTTGTAGGGTCAGGTAGACATAGAAACGAAGAATGTCATTTCTGGTTAAACCGGAGCCATTAATGGCCTGACAGAAATTAGGTTCCTCACGGTAGCCTCCAGTCCAGCGCAGGTAGATAATCCTCTTGGTTATGCCCCACCGTTTTATGGGCCCCATCGGCGCTAGCGCAATCGTTGACTGTATTAGGCTTAGTCGATATCGGCCGCATTATGTTTGGTTATCATCAACATTAATCACCGGTGAGTTAGTCTAACCTATACGATGTCTCTTCTCACTATACCTTCCACAGCCACCCACACGCGTGTCCCTTCGTTAATATGTGCATTTATCTCGTTAGTCAATTAGTCAAGGAGGAAGTTAATTGGTTACTCAGTCAGTTAACTCGAACCCTCATAAATTACTTTACCTTTGCTGGAAGGCTCCACTTAACAGCATTACCTTCCACTAAACTCCGAAATGACGCGGTGGCCAGTCTCGATACCAAGCCCAGGCGACAAAATAACGCCAAATTCAAGGCATTCTTAACAAGCCGTAGGCTCAGGATGCACCCCACATCTAGTTCGATACATCATCACGACATGGTAATTACCCTTGTTCCCCACTGACTCACCGTGAACAGCGAGGAAGTCTCTAGCACAAGAAATGGTTTGTGAGTATCGGACAATCTCCATCATATTCAAAGTTCCTGCTGAAAGGGTGAGTGAACTCGCGCGCAAACACGGTATACCAAATCGAAGGAATTCCAGACATGACGTTGGTTGGCGTTGCCGTCTACTTCCGCCCCTGTGCTATTTCTACGCCTATCTCCAAACATCCTCTATCTCCGGATTTGGAGTGGGGCTGATTGAATGACTGGTGTAATGGTATTTTGCGCTGGAACTACAGGTGCGTTAGTTAAATAACTGATACGACGGAACGAAAACAGTAAAAGCTAGTCATTATAAGGCCGGAGTTAAATTTAACCAAGTAATCAATCTACCGAAGCGACTCCTGGTAGGCTGCTGGCGAGAAGGCAATATTCAGGGCCTTGGCGGGCGTCTTGTGGCTCCCTCCTCGTGAGACTGCGCTTGCTGAAACTGTCCTCAAGTGGAGAAGTTTTGTGAATTGTGTGATAATAGTTCCTTGCAGTTAGTGTACGTTCCAAACGTGGACGTTCCCGTTCCGAGTGAAGAAACATCATAGGAAAAAATAAAGGGTAATGTATATTTGTGTGCACCTCATGTTCTTAAGATCACATGAAGGAGCATTTGTCAGGTATAACTAAAAGGGGTGAACGGCTGCGCTAGCGTTATTCGGATCTAGTACTCTATATATTTGATTTCTTAAAAGGGGTGTCGTACTCCGAGACTACTACATTGTAACCGCCCTCGCCCTGTCAAATACCACATTTCCAGTTACGGATATCATTCAATTGTCAACTTGTTAATTTCATTGGTCGCATACTTAATCACCGTAAGATATTCTTCTAGTAGACAAGAAACCGACCGACTGCACAAAAAGTGGAGTCATTGTTTCAGAGAACTTGTCTCACTACTGCGGTTGAACGAAACGGTATCTTAAGTGCCTATATCTGGTCCCTTGTGCGTAGCTTACATGCTTAAACTTGATACTCCCACATGACATATTAATCCTATGCTACGTTCACCCTCGTATTGCAGCACTTATCATCCAGGGCCCCGTGAGACTCCAAGAGATTATCAGAGATACCATCCCTTCAGATGATAATGGACGTCCCTTCGCGAGACCCTCAGTGAAAAATAAAGACCCACGCATATTCATCGGCCTATAGTCTACATAATGGTCCTCTCTTGATCAAAGTCCGTGGCAGAGGCCCCACAGACACGTGTCTCGTGGCTAATTATATTATTTAACCGCGGTTTATTCGATCTATTCCGTCTAGTATTTAACTTGGGTCAGATAGTACCTATACTTAGCATTATTGGCTGGCCATACCTGATTAGTCCACGACCGTGATCATTCTAGTTCATCGTCTGAAGCCGACGGCTTTGGTACAACTAGCGTGAATTTTGTAGCTGTAGTGGGTACAGGAGTCGAGAACCCACACCCTTTCAAGCGGTTCCCAGGGGGCCTTGATGCCGGTTCCGGAACGACGAGAATTGAAGTATCTTTTAAGTTTCGCCGACCATAACTATTTCCCTCAAATCGCACTTTCGACAAACACTGCGTGTCTTTTCTGGGATCCATTCGAGATAAATTCAACAACAAGTCTATCACAATAAGCGATATAGACCACATCATGTTCAGTCCTGTTCTTGACGACGGATGTCTGGTAGTCGTTACCGGTGTAAATGGATATGTGGGATCCTACGTCGCCGAGAAACTTCTGGAAAAGGGATATAGGGTTCGCGGGACTGTGCGGAACGCAACAAGATGCCTGTGGCTCTTGGATTTATTCGAAGAAAAGTACGGGAAAGGAAAGTTCGAGCTCACAGTGGTGGAGGATATGGCTAGAGATGGCGCCTACGATGAGGCAGTGAAAGGTGAGTGTCTAGATCAAATCCGATGATTTTACTCTGACCCATGCAGGTGCCTCTGGGATTGTGCACGTCGCATCCATAGTACAGCCAGGGCCAGACCCAAATCTGACCATTCCCCCGGTCTTAGCTGGAATCCGGGGAATACTCCAGTCTGCTATCCGAGAAAAAAGCATGAGACGTTTTGTTCTCACGTCATCCTCTGTTGCCGTCTTGGAACCAACATCATTGAAACAGACTGTTACCGTCGACATGTGGAACGACAGGGCGGTCGAGCTGGCTTGGGCTCCTCCTCCCTTTTTGGAGAGTCGGGGAATGGATATATACGCTGCAAGCAAAGTTTTGGGTGAAAAGGAGATGTGGTCCTGGGTTGATCGCGAAAAGCCGCATTTTGTGGCAAACTCTGGTACATTCCCAAGAAGATTCCGAACCACATTGAAGATACACAGCTGATCCGGATAAGTTATTCCGCCTGTGATATTTGGGAAACCTTTGAGCACGAAGCATCAAGGCTACCCCTCCACGTCTGCGATCCCTGTTACTATTCTGGAAAATGATAAGGCAGCAATGGCCGCTTTCATTGATCAGTTCCCACCCTGTAAGTTATCTTCAATCCCAAATGTTATCGCGCCGTTTAGCTGACATTCAAAGTCTTTTTTGTTGATGTAGAAGACGTTGCGCGGCTCCACGTTGCCGGGCTGATTCATCCCGAAGTGATGAATGAAAGGCTATTCGCCTTCGCCGGACCGTTCAATCGTAATGACATCCTAGCTATTCTGCGGCAGTTATTCCCGAAACGGGAACTGGCCCCTGAAGCTCCTGGGCTGGTGACCAATGAATCTGAAATTAAGCCGGCCGAACGATCTGAGAAATTGTTGCAAGGAATGTGGGGCACAGGATTCAGAAGCTTGGAAATAACTGTCAAGGCTAACGTTGAAAATTATCTGGGTAAATAATAAAGCAGCAAATCTATCAGATATGAACAGTCTATTGCGTCGGTGTCAAGCTAAGCATTCCCTGCATCATTTCAAATACATCATTCCCAGTCTATCGAAGTAGGCAACTGCCTGTATTATATTACCTTTGTTCGATATAAGTCTACTGGAATGTTTTCTTAGGCAATAAAATGCAATGGAAGGTAGGATTAAGTAGATATATGATAATATTATTGACTGGTTTTCTTTGGCTGGGCATGATAGCACCTATTAGTCCTACTGATATAGTTGACAATTGCTACAGTCAAGCTCTGAAGAAGATGCATTACATCTCATGAATAGAAAGCAATGATTACGTAAGATTGATATCCATATTTACCTAGGATCCTAAGTTTATAAGAAGGGAGGCTAGTACTTCGGTTTCACGGTCAGAGAAGGCCTTTCGGCCGGAACTAAGCATTCTAATTTTACCACCTTAGAGTATATGCAGGCAGGCATGAGCTGCAATGTCGGGCAAATCTTCTGAATATAGAACTTAACATTCACAAGCCATGGAATAAGCAACATAGTAGACACAAATGAGGGGACAGATAAATATAGACACAAGGAAAAGTAGTACTGTAGTCAGTCTATCAGATGATGCTCATCAAGGATCAACCTTGTGCAACATCCAGATTTCTTCACACAAAAGGAAAAAACAGGTCCCGCCTGTTAACATCAACGAGTGAGCAATTCAAATTGCTATCCATCAACATCCATCAAGCATCTTCTTCACAGATACTTCAAACAAATCCTTCACATCTCCTGCCCGCTCATTCGTGAGCACATCGGACCAATAGCCAAGCTCCGCATCCACCTCAGTAACACCGTCTCCCCGACTATGGATCTGCACACCGATCGACACGTCCCACGCAGTGGGATCTTCTGCCGAACGCAGCTCAACCTCCAGTTCAGTCCTCTCCGTGGCCTTCTGACCCACTCGCGAGTCCATGTACTGTAGACTCATAAGGGAATTCCACGCTGGGATCTGCCACACGTCTTCCATCTGGGCCAGTCCGTACTGATGCTCCAGCGACTCGAGGAAGTCATCTCGTGCTTGCCTCAACACGTCGCCAATCTCCTTGTTGCTGAGATCGATCCGACACAGAAGCATTTGAATGAGCGGACCAACGGTCTCTGCTGCGCCGGCGAACGGCGCATCCCTGTTGGCGGTCATGAAGGAGAAGAGCGTCTTGTCAGATCCCGTGAGGTGCTGTAACACCATTCCCCAGGCCGTCTGGAGGAACGCTGCCATAGTGACACCGTGCTGCACGCAGAAGGCGGGGAGTCGGCTGGTAGTTTCCGAATCCAGGTTGATGGTCTTTGTCTTGTGGACCCGGGGTTGGGATAGTACGAGGGTGGAGGCATCAGTATGAGGGATAAGCGATGGGCCTGCGCTCCGCGCGAACTCTAGCCAGTATTCCTTGTCCTTAACTAGTGTCTCGCCTTGGCTCATCCCGTTGACCCAGACTGAATAGCTACCGAATGACGGGGCTGGGGTGACGGGAAGCTTGCCCTCGTACGCCAGCATCAGGTCACGGAGGATCAGAGCGACAGAAACGCCGTCGGTAAGTGTGTGGTCTGTTTCGGTTTTGAAGGCAACCTTTTGCACGCCATTGACTGTTGTACTGAACAAGGTGAGCTGATGGTGTGGCTTTCTGTTCGAGAGGCTGTAGTTGACCGATCGGTAGGCGTCCATGCGAGCCGTCATCTCCTCCTCACTGGCACACTCGATCATGGGGACCTCGGGGTGCCAGTTTCGAATGATAACTTGATCGTAGGAGCCGGGCGAAGACATGCTGGGAAGGAAGACAGTTCGGAGTGCGGGATGGCGTTGCACGACCTGGTGCCATGCTTCGCGGATTCTATCCGCGTCGACGACACCATTGAGTGCATGAGCTTGGTAAGTGAAATCCATTTCGTACAAGCGGCGGTTGGGGTGCTTTTCGCGCTCTGTGAGCATGTGACGCTGTACTGGGGCACAGGGGTAAATTCCTTCAATGCTGTCGAGGGTGATGCATTGATCCTGGGGCTGGTGCTGCACGGGTGAGGGTTTGGGAGTCGTTGGCGGAGTGAGCGGCAGGCTTTTCACTCCACTGAGAACCTCAATGGCAAGGCTCAGAGTGGACTTTGTCTTGGCTGCCCACTCAACGATTCTATCCTGGTGTTGCATGTGCTTGTTATAGGCCATGGTAACGTGGGTTCTGCCGCCAACAACAAGGGCAACGATGTCGAAGAGAGACCAGCGGGGAAGCTTTTCATCTTGGACCAATTGGTCGAAGGTCTCGCCGTCTGGTAGTTCGGCATGCGAGAGAAGAGCGTTCTCACTTCCAACTTCAGAGGACCGGCCAAGGTAGTTGAACATGATCTCCATATCGAAATGAGAACCAAAGGCTTTGCGCCCTTTGTCGGAGAGATACCTGGAGCTGAAATATGACATGCCGTTAGCCGGTAGCCGGCGACGGAGATCCTTTACGGTCTGCACGGTCTTGATAATATCCAATTGCAGATCAGATACATGCAGTGGGCTCATAGTTGTGAACCAACCCACTGTGCCGGAAGGATCGATCTGGTTGTTCCATGACTCGCGACCATGGCCCTCAGAGAAGACTGGTGGTGCGGCACGGTCAGGGAAAACGGCTGCAAAGGTGTGGAGAAGAGAAGCCAGAATGATGTCGACAGGGGCAGCGCTTGAAGTCCCCTTGCTGACACTCATTAACTGGGTCGTTAGGGACTCATCGAGCCAAAAGTCGGTCACGACGGCGTCGCAGTATCTGTTGGACTTGTTGCCTCCCATTCCCCAATATTCAAAGTTGGCCACAGGCATGCTTGTGTTTGAGAAAGGTAGCAGGTCTCGTGGTTCAAGAGACTGCGCCATTTCCTTTTGAGAACGCAACCAACTCTGGAAAGAGAGCGGAGCTGGGCCGGCCAAGCTGCCAGTGGCAATGGCAAGCTCCAGATCGCCCAGCAGAACGTGCCACGAAACCACATCCACCACCAAATGATGAGCATGAACAAAAATCAACTGTTTGCGCTCTGAACGAAGATTGTATACGCGGGCAGCGAAGACTGGGCCCTTCTCGATGTCAAACACGCCACCCATGTTCCTCAGTATTCTGGACACTTGATAACCGTCTTCCACATCTTCGACGCTGAAATGGAATGAATTGGCTGAATCTTCAGCAAGGTACTGATACCACTGGCCGGCATCGTTTCGAGCATATCGGGCGCGGAGCATTGAGTGCCGCCGAACAACCTGTGCGAGGGCCTGTCGCAAGGTTTGAGGCGCCACGTCGCTGTTGACTTCCAGAAGAATGCTCTGGTCGAAATGACCAATGTTTGCATCTGCAGCAGATCCCACGAGATCGAAGTACATCTGCTGGATTGGCGAGAGATCAAAGGACCCGTCCTGGACCTTCTTCACAGTTGGTTCGGTATATTCCGCCTTAGACGCAAGCTCGACGAGACTCTTGCTCCTGATAATGTCCAGCATGGAGACCGTAACTCCCTCAGCGCGAGACTTGCTACGCAACTGCATGGCAGCGACGGAGTCGCCACCAAGGGCCAGGAACGAAGAGTTGAGGTTGAGTGTCTCCGAGTTCAAGCCAAGGATCTTGCTGATGAGGTTGCACAGAATTTGCTCCACCGGGGTGGATGGGCGGCGAATTTCTTCTTCTTTCTTATCACTACCTCCGTCGCGCAGCAACGAGGCATAAGTTTCCTGATCCATCTCTTCCATCCAAGCATCAACGGATTTCCGATCAACCTTCGAATTGGCGCTCAGCGGAACAGCCTCGACACCAATCCAAATTGTTGGTACCATGTAGCTTGGCAGGTTCTTCTGCAGCAACTCACGCACGGAGGCAAGTTCCTGTCCAACCTTAATACCATGGGAGGCTTCATCAAGCACAATAATTGTGTTTGCAACGGGGGAGTTGGTCGATGAGACATCATGGAGACTCAACATCGCCACCAGCTTGTCTTTGAGTGGTCCGTGCCGAGGGATACGCGCGACAGCCTGGCGCACTCTTTCGTGTCTTAACATGGCGTGTTCAACTTCGTCTAGCTCCATTCTTTGTCCGTGGAGCTTCACCTGATTGTCTTTACGACCGGAGAATAACATATATCCGTTGGCGTCGTAGCGTGCCAAATCTCCAGTTTTGTACATCCGGCGAGGCGAGGCACTCTTGTCCAGCTTCTTAGCCCAGACTGGATCCTCGATGTACGCAGCTGCCGTCTTTGCCTCATCCTTGAGATAGCCACGCGAGACAAGCGGGCCCTCGACAACAATCTCACCAACGCAACCAAGGGGCACCAGCCTGTTGTGGTTGTCTGGATCGCACAGCCACATTACACTACCCATTGGGTTTCCGAGGCCTTGTGCACTTGTTTGCCGAGTGGTGGGCGGCGTAGCCGATGCGTAGATGGTGGTCTCGGCTGGTCCCCAAATGATAACTAGGTTCACTTTATCGGACCAGGTTTGCACGTTGTCTTGAGTGGGTGCTTCACCACCGAGGACAAGGGTACGCAGTGTTGGAACGGCTTCTGGGCGGAGAAGTTTGGCCACCGACGGGGTGACCGACATGAAGTTTGCCTTATATTTGGTGATAGCTCCAGGAAGCTCGTTCAACCTCTCCCACTCAGATGGCGTGCAGATGGTGGCTCCGCGTTGGAGGGAAATGAAAATGTCACCGAGACCGATATCGAAAGTATAAGCCGAGAACTGGAACACCCTGGTGCCAGGGTTGACCTTGAATTGAGCACCATGTGCCTGTGCGCTCATGCGCAGATTGCCGTGTTCGACCACAATTCCCTTGGGCCGACCCGTGCTTCCTGAAGTGAAGCAAACATAGACTGCGTTGGAGGGCTTGACCTTGGGCAGTTCCACGTAGTCAACATCGGGCAGTCGATCCAAATACTCTCGGTCAATCGGGATGGTTGTGACAGCGGCATCATCAAAGATGCCAGTGTGTTGCGGCGAGACCAATACAAACTCGGCCCCGATCGTCTTCAAGATCTCTTTTCTGCGGTTCGCCGGGTGAGTAGGCCCAAGATGCACAACGACGCCTCCGGCTTTGATGATAGCTATGGTAGACACGATGGCCCAGGTGGACTTGTCAAAGCAGAGTGGAACCATGACTTCGAGTCCAACGCCCTTTAAAACAAGTGTCTTTGCTAGCTTTGTCGCGTAGTGCTCTAGCTGGGCGTAGGTCATCTCGCCATCCCAGCCTGAGAGGGCGAGGTTCTGGGGATGAAGTCGGCATTGCTCGGCAATGGCCTCGTGAACTGCCTTGCCGTCGATGGAACCCACAGGCCATCTAGCATTCCAGGCCTCGATTTGGGTAAAGTCACTTGGGCCGAAGAGGTCGAGTTCACCAACCTTCCTAGCCTCGAGCCCGTCAGATGCCATACGGTAGAGCTGGTCGACGACGTGTTCGAACTGTTTGCAGATCCAATCCATCTGGTGCGTGGGAATGACGGTCGGGTCATGTCGTGCCAAAACGTTGACAGTCTCCCCGCTCTGAGCCAGATGGCACTCAAAAACAATAGGGTATGACCAGAGTCCATCCAGCAGCTCAGGCATTTCTATCTCAGTGATGAAGCCACTCTGGGTGGAATCCTCCCCGAACTCGAACAATGTAGTGAAGTCAAGCGCGGGTTGGACGTCTTTGCCCAACTGTCGAAGTGTTTGTACGCCGGCATGCTGGTGCGGGATCATGCTGACAGATTGCTCTTGAACCCGCTGGAGGAAGTTGACGATGGCCTCGTCGTCATTGATCTGGATCCGAACCGGTACCGTCGTAACAGTTGGGCCGACAACTTCCACGATGCCAGGGACAGCGCAGTCGCGACCTGATTGGGCTGCACCAAAGGTAATATCATTGGACCCGCCATGCCTGGAACTCACGATGGCCCATGCCGCTCGGAGCAAGGTTGACTTGAGTATTCCAGTGGGTTGATGCTCGGGCGCTGGTAGACGGATGGTGTGAGAGACGTTGGCGCTGTTCTTGGCCTCGTATGTTTTGGAGGGCAACTTGGGGAAATGTGCGGGTGTACCACTGAGCTGATCTTTCCAGAAATTGTCCGACTCGGATTGATCAACTTGAGAGAGATGCCGAATGAAGACATTATATCCTGGACCCACCTGATATTGCTCACCCGCGTAGAACTTTTCCACAGCCCCAAGGAGTACCGTGGCACTCCAGCCATCATAAAGAGCGTGATGGAGGGCCAAGACAAATTTGCGTGCCTCGATGTCAATTGCAAAGGAGCACAGACGGCCTCCGTACTCAATCACGGGAAGGCTAAAGGATGTCTCATCGGTGATGGTCTGCCATGCTAGCTGTTCCTTGAGCACGACCTGGAGAGACTCGGAGGCACGACCGAGGATAATGCGCGTACGCAGGATCGGGAAGACGTCGGCGGCCTTTTGCCATGCCCCCTTAAAGCGATCAATGTCGAGATCAGCTGGCAAGTCGAAGATTCTTGTCGAGATGTAGGAGCCCTGCTTCCGAGTGGAGACTGCCATGAGACCTTCCTGCAGTGCCGAACAGAGATAAATGTCTTCGATGTCGCTCGCATCGACATTGCATTGGCGAACGGCCTCCTGAATAGCGTCGTCAACGATCTCTGGCTGGAGCAGCGAGAAAGGCGCAATGGTTGCGTCTTGGCTTTGCACACTGCTCTCCCAGAGCTCGGCCATTTGGTACAGTCGCGGCATGCGGAACAAGTCGCTCACTGCCAGCGCTTTGCCAGCGCGACGAGCCGCGGCCGCAAGTCGCATGGCTTGAATTGAATCACCTCCTCTGTGGAAGAAATTGTCGTTGGCTGAGATTGACTCCTCTGGGAAGATTCCGAGGACTTCAGACCACAATGCTCGGAGCCGCTTCTCAGCTTCGCTTGTGCATGCGCGACCTCCGTTGGTGTTTGATGAATCGGCTTCATCGTCCAGAGTATACTGTTGTCTTTGCTCGGACGACAAAGATGCGCCAAGTGTCCTGAGCGCTTTGCGGTTCTTCTTTCCCGTCTGTGTCACAGGCATGGATCGTAGAGGAATAAAGAAAGAGGGGACCATGTGAGGAGGAATGGTGTCCAATAAGTGGTTCTTGAGGGCGACGAGCTGGTCTCGAACGACGTCCATGCTTTCGACATCCCCAGATGCACCAGTCGACTCAGAGGATGCATTGAGTCTTAGGAAGGCCGCCAGAGCCACGCGGTCTTTGTTCCCATCCAAGAAGACCTTTTCGACAACGACAGCGTCTGCATCAATGCCGTGGGCCACGATGTTTTGTTCCACCTCGCTCAGCTCAATGCGCTGTCCACGGACCTTGACTTGGCTATCCTTACGGCCGACATAGAGGATAGTGCCGTCTGCATCATACTTGACCAAGTCACCTGTCTTGTAGATGCGCATGGCTTGGATGCCCAGAGCCCGCGCAAATGCTGGGTTCTCGATGTAGGCAGCAGCGGTCTGTTCGGGATTGGCTTTATAGCCTCGTGTGACGATTGGGCCTTCTACACAGAGTTCACCCACGCACCCAATCGCCACCAGACGATTGTGGTCATTTGCTTCGGTGATCCATGTCCGGCAGCCAAGTCCGCGACCGATGTTGTTCGGAGACAAGGTCCCTGGCTGCAGATGCGAGACACTGGTCCAGATACTGCACTCCGAGGGTCCATATGACTGTTATGGATTAGCACTGAGATCAAATAAAAGCAAAATAGAGAGATTTATAGAAAACGCACATTGAGTAATGTCACACGAGATGCCCAGCGGTCACATAGGCCTTGACTGATGGCCTCACCGCCTAATGCCAGATGCTTCAAGCCTGGCATCTGCTCCGGATCGAGTGTCTCTGCAGTTGTTGGAACGTGGAAGGACCAGTTCACTCTGTACTTGTTAACTGCGCCAGCGAGGTCGCTAAGTCGCTCGATCTCAGACGGCACGCACACGCAGCCACCGCGCATCAAGGTGGTAAAAACCTCCGAGTTGGACACGTCGAAGACATGGGAGGCGAATTGTAGTGTGCGAGTATCCGGTCCCATTTGTACATGAGGTCCTTCATAGTGTTGCATGGAACACAAACCACGATGTTCAATGATTGCGCCCTTGGGCTTACCGGTACTGCCGGAGGTGAAAACGATCAGTGCTGCATTGGATGGTTGCACTGCGGAGGTGACGCGGTCGGTTGTTGTTTGCTTGGGTAGGTATTCGAAACTGGCATCATCGATTGGCAGAACCTTGGGCGCCATGCCAGAGAACTTATCTGCATGGTGGGGTGAGCACAGTACCAGGGGTGCTTGGACATCCTGGAGGATATCCTGCATGCGAGCGGCTGGGTATGCCGGACTCAAGGCCGTGTAGCAACCGCCAGCCTTCAGGATGGATAACATAGAGACGACATTCCATTTGGACTTGTCAAAGCAAAGAGCGACCGTCACTTCTGGGCCGACGCCGAGGTTCTGAAGATGGGCTGCGAGGCGTTCGGTCACCCCATCCAGTTCCCCAAAGGTGTAACTTCCGTCCCAGGCACACACGGCCTCAGCGTCTGGACGCTTCTTCGCTCGCTCTGCGACAAGTTGATGCACGCACCCTTGAACCGTTTCAGGTAGATCACCATTCCATGACATGATCTCACTGATGTCGTCGGGGCTAAGCACTTGGATATCACGAATGCACGTCTCCGGTTGACTGGTCAGTTGCTGGACCACATGGTTGTATTGGCTAAGCAGTCTCTGCATATCCCGGTCAGAGATCAAGGTGTGATCATAGCGAGCTTCCACGACGATTGCTCCATCACTGTGGTCGTAGTTGCGAATGACCAAGGCATCGGTGTAAAAGCCCTCTGGAAGATCGGCGGTTACAATTTCCATGCCGTCAAGGGCCTCGCTGACGTCGCTGATGCTCGGCTCCACCGCAAAACGATGTCCCATATTGTCTACAGCCGCACGAGCCAGCTCATTGAGACGACGAATATTCTGCAGACCGGTGTGTTCAAACGGCATCATTGTAATGGCCTGTTGGTGGAGGGCGTCCAGGTACTGAGCTACCGTTGTCTCGCTATCCAACGGAACGGTCATGCGGAACGGGGCGGTTGTCATTGTGGGCCCGTTCATGGTAGAGATACCTGCAACCGGGGCGTTTCGGCCAGAAAGGGTCACGCCGAACAGAACGTCCGAGCTGTCCTGGTGTCGAGCCACGACGAGACCCCATGCGGCGCGCAGATAGTTCGTCACTGAGATCTTGGTTCCAGCCGGGCGATTCAGCTGGAATTGTAAGCGACAAGCGCGATGAGGAACAACCTGGTGACCTTGTGGCCTGGGTGGAAATTGGGGCGGTGCCTCGCCGTCAGCAGGGAACTGCTTCTGCCAGTACTCCCTGGCAGAGCTGTCTCGTTCCTGATCCTGCAAGAAGCGGATGAATCCCTTGAAGGAGACCGGCTTGGGGACCACGGAACCCTCGTGTGCCATCGCGTGGGCAATCTGTTCGAATGTGATGTCCATGCTGAAGCCGTCGCACAGTGCATGGTGTCCTGACCACACGATGTAACGTTCTCCGTTCTCCTCTACCATGGCGAGACGGATGAGCGCACTTCCATAGGTCACCGGAGCGTTTAAATCCTCGTCGAGATACGCGGCCAGATTGTCGCGCTTGATCCAGTCAACCGGGACATTCAGTACCGTCTGGAGGAGTCCGGCGCCACTGACGCTCACAAAGCGCGTTCGGAAAATAGGTTCGGCGGAGACAACGGCATCGAACGCACGGCGGAATCTAGACACGTCGTAATTTGGGTCTGTGAGGCGCAGGATGCGCTGATCCTTGTACGCTCCGGTTTGTCGCATCGAAAGAGCGACCAGACCCTCCTGTAGTGGGGTGGATGGGTACATATCAACGATGGCATCAGGCCTGACACCACACTGTGTTGCCGCTTCGGCGCGAATCGTCTGCAGTGATGACGTGGATGACAGTGGGACAAGGTCAAATGCTTTCTCATCTGTCTCCTGTTCTCCAGATTCATCGCCCATTCGCACGACTTGGGCCATGTCGGACAAGACGGGATTCGCGAAGATGTCCGCGAAAGTCAAGGACATGCCTGCCACTCGTGCAGCGCCTGCAAGCCGCATGGCCACAACTGAGTCGCCTCCAAGTTGGAAGAAGTCATCAGAAGCGCCCACCTTCTCCAAGGGCAAGTTCAGGACTTTACTCCAGGCGGCTTGAAGCTTCTGCTCACGGGGTGTCGTCGGGGCTTTCTTCGTGGTCTCACCCTGCAGCATGTAACGAGAAACGTCGGCCTCGGAAAGACCAGCGATTATCTCCCGCAGGACATTACGAGCCAGCTTGCCGTTCGCGGTTCGTGGAATCTGCGTGATTGGGACGAACATGGCCGGGACCATGTATTGAGGTAGGCTTGTCTTGAGGGCTCGCTTCAGGTCGGAGAACAGGCGGGCGAGCGTCTCAGTCATGGGAATGGACAAAGTGTCCAGGGGCTTCGCAGGCGCCTCGTCGAGGAACTGAACGAATGCTACCAAAGTTCGGTCCTGGATTTGGACCTTTGGAAGCATCACGGCATCAACGGAAACCAGACTCGACTGGTCAAGCTGGGCGAGCTGGGCCTGAACTTCGTACTTGATGTGGTCAAGCTCAACGCGCTGGCCGTGAATCTTGATCTGGCTATCACGACGGCCGATGATGGTCAGGCTGCCGTCACGGTTGAAGCGACACAGATCGCCGGTTCGGTAGAATCGCCGGTTCTGGTGTGGAGTCATACTCTTCGCCCATCTGGGGTTCTGGACAAAGGCTGCAGCTGTCTGTTCTGGGTTGTTCAGGTAGTGACGCGCGAGCAGCGGACCCTCAAGAAGGAGCTCGCCCACGGCACCCAGAGGCATCAGCTTGTGGTAGTCGGTGGGATCCGCGATCCATGCGTGGCAACCAAAAGCCTGACCGATGTTTGCTGGGCTGCCATTCGCGCTCAGACGGGTGGGTGTACAAGTGACGGCGACAGATGACTCGGCCGGGCCATAGCTGTTGTAAAGCTCGACTGCTGGCGCCCAGATCTCAACGTTCTCCCGGGTAAGGGGCTCGCCAGCGCTGAACAACCATCGGAGCTGGGGGACCTGCTCCGGGCGCATGAGACTAATAACGGTGCTGGTTAAGTGGGCGTGGTTAGCACGAAGGCGGTTCAATGCTCCAGGGATATCATTGACACGGTCCTCATCTGACGGCACGCAGACGCAGCCACCGCGCTGGAGGGTCGTGAAAATGTCCTGATTCGATGTATCAAAGGTGTAGCTGGCGAACTGGAAGACGCGAGCCTCTGGGCCGATACGAACCGCAGGACCCATGAGATCTGACAGGGTCGCCATCGAGGCATGTTCCACCACTACAGCCTTGGGCCGACCGGTCGTACCAGACGTGAAAACGACGCAAGCCGCATTGTTTGGCTGGATGTAACTGCATGCCGGGCCAGACTTTGAAGGGAGCTTGGCAACGAACTCTGGCGTGATCTCCACAATGGTCAAGTTGTCACACCCTTCGAACAAGTGCCGATTCTGCGGTGCCACACACACCACCTTGGCTCCGGCTTCTTGGACCAAACCCTCCAGTCGCTTTCTTGGATGCGTCGGATCCAGGCCGACGAAGGCACCACCGGCTTTCAGAATCGCAAGGCACGTCACGATGGTCCAACCTGACTTCGGGAAACAGTGTGGCACAACGGTCTCGGGACCTACGGCCAAGCTACGCAGGTAATGTGCGAGCCGGTTGGATACATCATCGAGCTGACTGTATGTCCACTCGCCATCCCAAGCACACACCGCCGGAGCGCGAGGCTGCACGCGGGCGAGCTTCTCGAAATTTGTGAAGATCAATCGGTTTGCCCGTGGCAGTTCGTGGGTGTTGAAGGACAACAGTTGATCCGTATGGGCGACGCCCACAAGTTCGACCTCGCTGATAGGGGTATCCGGCCGGGTTATAATTGCTTGAACGGCATTTCCGAGCGCACTCGCAATATTGCCTGCTTGCTTGGCCGTCAAGTGATCGGTCCAGTGACGGAGTGAAGCACGCGCCGTGTTAGAGCCGTTGAGCTGCACGTCTAGGACGATGGCGTACTCATCGGGTTCGTGATCCCCGATGTTCTTGAACATGAGTGACGAATCGGCTGGGCTATCAACATCACGGTTTACTGCAATGATGGTATTGAAGAGTGGACTGCCTCCTGTCTTGAGTGCGTGCTGGATATTGGAGAGACCAACGTGCTGGTGAGGCAGGGCATTGACATAGTCATCGGCAACAATGTGCACCGCATCGAGCAATGTTGTAACGGTGGCAGTGGTATCAACCCCATTTTCCTTCTCCTCTGTTGCAAAAGACAGACGGCTCACCAGCATAGTGAGGAAAGCACCAACTCCTTCTTGGATGCCCGGGAGGGGAGCGTCGCGCCCTGCCGAGAGGTAACCGAAGCAGACTTGCTCGGGCGACTCGGCATAAGCCCGGAGTACCAGTGCCCAGGCAGCCTGGAACACGTTGGCAGGGGTGACGGAGGTCCTCCGGCAGAAGTCGAGAAGCGCCTCATTTGAGACGCCCTCCTCTTTCAGGGGAACTGACACCACGTTCAACTGTCTCTCACCTTGGTTCTCTGTCTCTAGGCTGGCCAGCCTGGGAACCATGGTCGCACTCTGACCCCTGAGGTAATCTGCCCAGAAGTCGATTGATGATTCCAGAGGCGTCTCGCGGATGTGGGAGATGTAATTGCGGAACGGCATTGCAGGCTCCAATTGCGCCGCATGCCCATCATACGCCTGCAGTAGATCACGGACAATCACAGTCGCAGAGACGCCATCCACGATGACATGGTTCATCTCTAGTTTGATGACAACGTGGCTGGCTCCTGCAATGCGGCAGATAGACAACCGATGCGCAGGCTCGGGTCCTCTGATCGAGATGGGCTCTTGGTTGGCAAGGACGGACGCGAAATCTTCGGCAGGGCCATTGCAGTCCACGATGGAGATGCTAGGCTGGGTATGGGCCAGCACGACCTGGTTGAACTGTGCCTCACTGTCGGAGCTTTCAACGAAGATTGTCCGGAGAGACGTGTGTCGCTGCACGACCTCTGTCCACGACTTCACAAGTCGCTCAACAGACACCGACTCCCTGGCATCGCGTGGCCTCAGTTCCGCGATATGATAGACATCATACATGTCATCCGCGGACCGGTGCTGGCTAAGTAACAGGTCCTGCTGCATGGGCGAGCATGGATAAATGTCTTCGATCAACGAAGACTCAGGCCCAGGAATAAGGCCGATCTGGGGCAGTTGTTCGTTGATGAGCTTGTCCAGGGTGTTGTAGCTGATTCCGTGCAATAACGGGAAGTCTGTTGGGGTGTATTCAACCGGGGCGTTGACCATCTTGACAACGAGGGAAGCAAGCGTTTCCTGCGCGGTCGCAATCCACGCCTTGACCTGGTTCTCTTGAACAACCTTCTTGTTAAAAGAAAAGGCAAGCTGAATATTCTCATCGATGACTTCCGCCACAATGGAGATGTTGCTAACCAAAGGAGCCGCTCCGGGTGCAGGGAGAAAGACGGGACGCGGTTTGATTTGCACAAGGCTGCGAGGACCGTCAATAATGTTCGACAGATCGCGGTAGCGAAACGAGATCTCCGGGTTCTGAATACTGCTTGGCTCCATTATCGTTTTCCGGGCGTCCTTGATCTCCTTCAACATGCGCACTTGCGCGTCGTTGGTGCTCGTATCGGCCGTATCGAGATTCAATGCACGCAGAGTCTCGAATCGACCAACGGTTTGCGAGAGGTCAATGCCAAAATCTTCAGACGCGCGTCCACGCTCATCCTCCCACAAAGCAAGTGTGGGTAGGGTCTCCCGGCCGCCAAATGTTTGGCTAAATGAAAGCATCAGACTTGCCATCATGAAGTCGACGACGTGAGTCCGCAGTGGCTTGTGTACTTCCTCGCTCAAGAGCAGAGTAGTTGTTGCCTGGTCAAGCTCCACTGCCTGGTAGTCCATGTCAACCTCCGATGCTAGCAGAATGCGTGGCGCGACTGCAATCTCGTCACCCGTTGTCTCTCTCTCGACACTGATCCAGTTCTGGAAAGAGACTGGCTCCTGGGCTTCTTCGCCCAGAAGAGGCCCATCTGGGAGACTCAAGCAGGTCTGGAGCTGCCGTATGATGATGCTCCAGGAGGCGCCGTCGACCACAGCACTGTGGGCTCTCAAGACCAATAATTGCTTTTCCGCTCCTGTAACCAGACCAGCGGAGAAGATTGGCCCAGAGAGGGACACGGCGTCTGCTGTGGCTGCGATTGTGGTGATATCCTCAGGACGTTCTATGCGGTGATGCTGAAAGCTGTAAGAACCCTCGATCTCAGAGGTGACCGTCTGCCTGAGAGACAGGGCGCCCTTCTCTTCTGACTCACCAAAGCGTGCCCGCAACATGGAGTGGCGGGTGACAATGGCTTCCAACGCAGCCTTGACACGAGCGGCCGAAACAGTGCTATCCAGTTTTAAAAGAATGCTCTGCGTGAGATGGTTTGCCGCCCTCCCGTCACCCAGGCAGAACTGCTGAGCCCGCGAAAGTGGAAATGAGACATCCAAAACATCTGGCTTTGGTTTCATCCCAGAGGTCTTCTCCACGCGGCCAGCCAAGTCCTTGATGCATTTACTCTTCATCATGTCCGGGACTGTCACATTCAAGCCGGCACGCTGGCATTGTGAGATCACACGCATGGCAGCAAGACTGTCGCCACCAAGCGCAATGAAAGACTTGTTCAGCGGCAAACTGTGAGCGGGAGTGTTCAAGGCCTGAGCGAAGATGTCGCGAAGGGTTCGTTCAACCTCGGACAGATGGGCGTCAGACTTCTCATCCGAAGAGCCGTTTTCTGACACGTCAGTACCGAGCAAACCCAAAAGGCGATTGTACAGGCCCTCATCCATGTCCAACAGCCAGTTAAAGACCCGCTTGCGATCGAGCTTGGCCGACACCAATAGCGGCCATGCCTCGATCACGATCCAGACGGCGGGAACCATGTATTCCGGCACACATTCGCGCAGGTGGTTCCGAACGGCATCGGCCTGAACCTTAACATCTGGCCTCTCATCTTCAAATAGCACGTCGATGGGCGCATCGGATCGACCAGCTTTGGAGTCCTGAGCAAAATCTTTCAGACATACAACGGCGACGATTTTCTCCCTACACCGCCCAGTCTTGGGGAGGAACGCCGCAGCATGTTTGATGTGGGGGTGGCGAGCGATGTTGTGCTCAATTTCGCCCAACTCCACACGTAATCCACGGAGTTTGACTTGGGTGTCTTTGCGCCCAAGGATCTGGATGGTGCCGTCAAGGTTGAACCTGGCCAAGTCACCAGTCTTGTAGAAGCGCATGGATGCGCTTTCACTTGAGACCGTCGCGCCTGATGGTGTCAGTGACCAGCCTTCGGTCCAGATCGGGTTCTCAATGAAAGAGGCGGCCGTCTTTTCTGCATCATTCAAATATCCCCGTGCGAGAATGGGACCGGAGATCAATAGCTCGCCGACGGCGCCAAGGGGGACGAGCCGGTCGTGATTTTCGGCATCCACGATCCAGCAAAGACCGCCAACGGCGCGGCCTATATTTGATGGATCACTCGTCGGTTTTAGATGTGGATCGCCTGCCGCGGCGACGGAACACTCGGATGGACCGTATCCGTTGATCAGTTGCAAGTGTGGATGTCGATTTTGCTGAGTGGCTCACCACCCAGGGCGAGCGTCTTGAGGTTGGGAACCATCTCAGGTCGCAGCAGCTTGACTAGCGACGGCGTCAAGAAGGCCCATGTGATGTCGAATTTGTCGAAGATGGGCTGGAGACCCTGGGCCATGCTCGCCATGTCTGGGGTGCATACACATGCACCCGAGATAAGGGAAGTCATGATCTCCAACATGCTCACATCGAAACTGTACGAGGCGAGCTGCAAGACACGACTACCGCGGGAGAGATTGGATAGAGAGGCGTGAACGAGGGCACCCGAGATGAATGCCTTGTGCGGGATGAGACAGCCCTTCGGCTTACCTGTGCTTCCTGAAGTAAAAATAAGGTAGAGGAGGTTGTTAGGGGTAACACCGGACTCGAGGATATGATCCTCGACCGGCAGAGAGGCGGCGAATTGTTCGTCTAAGACGATGGTTCGCACGCCCATTTCGTTTTCCCACGTTTCGGCCTGGCTTTTCGAGCTCAGTACCCACTTACCGTCGATTTGTTCCATGATATCTTGCCTGCGGCTGACTGGGTTAGCTGGGTCGATAAACACAATAGCACCACCCGCTTTGATCACACCCAACAGGGCGGCGATGGCCCAGCGGCTCTTCTCAAAGCACAGGGGTACAATGGATTCCGGTCGGATGCCCTCTTCTCGAGCTAGCCAGACTGCGATGCGATCGGAAATAGCGTCCAGCTCGCCATAGGTGAAGCGGCCGTCCCAGGCGTCCACAGCGAGCATGTCCGGCTCCTCCTGCGCGCGCTGGCGGAAGAGGAAATGGACGCATGATTCGACCGTCTCCGGCAGCTGGACGCTATTCCAGGTCCAAAGCTTTGCCTTATCGTAGTTACTGACTAGATCGATGGCATCTAGGCGGTCGTGACGCCGGTCGGGGTCGTTGATCAAATTAAGAACGTGCGCAAAAGCAGCCGCGAGGTGATCGGCTCGTTCTTGGTCGATGGTAGATGGCGCAAAACGCACCACGAGTTCGAGCTTGCCAAATGGCAGAGGAATAGCCACGAGCTCAATTAGTGCGCCCGTAGCATCCAGATGGCTGGGGGAGGAGGAGTTGAGATAGGTCTTGTTGGAGGTGAGGGTCGTAATCGATTGCAGGAATGGCGAGGTAGCGGCCTCATTTCGTGAGGAGGCCAAAGGGACCTGGTCGGAGGCCGGCTCCTTTGTCGCTTGGTGTGTTTGCTGGATGAAGTCGGAGATTGTTGTTGCGCCGTCGAGCTGTGCGTTGCATACTTGGTAGGTGGATTCAAGATCGTCGGCCTCTCCCGATGTAGTGGCGGTGATGAAGCGAGTGTCTTCCTGGCCGGTATACTGCCAGACCACGATGCTCCAGGCAGCGTTGATCAGAGCGGCAAGCTCAGTGTCGGGGTTCTCGCGATGGGAGACGCCGACGTTCTCGAAAAGGGTAGTAGAAGTGGCTTGAGTAAACATTGTGATAGAGATTATGGGTCTAGGCGTTAGGGCAAATAGCGGTCGGTCGATTAACGATAGTAGGATTCAGGCAGCAACAATATGGCAGCAATAGAGTGAAAGATGTATGGAAAAATCTAAAGTTAGGATACTTGAAGCTACTCCGCCTCTGGGTTATATCGTAGCCTAGGGCTCTATACTCGACTCCAGCTGTATTCACACCACGTGGGGCTTAGCAGTAAGGCTTATTATCATTGTTTAATCAGGCTAGTCTACGGCCCCCGCAGTGAAGGGACTGAGGCTGTGGTTTACTATTTGTTATGAATTTCAATGCCTATTTTTGAATTTCGATGCCTATTTTCTTTGTTGGGGTTTAGACGCGCCAGAGTGGCTGTGGTAACACATCCCTGTCGCAGGATTGCTTACTATACAGTTTCAGAGTATATAGTAAGCAGTTACGGCCCCAACATCAGATCAACCTCTCACACTGTTTTCAGACTCCTCTGTCCACTGTTTCTTACTCCTAATTCTTACTTCTTACTTCTCTTAAGCTTATCTGGTTGTCTTTTAGCTCACTTTTCTTCCTTCCTGGTCTCGTTTTCCCCCCATCTCCACTACGAATTTTCTTTTCCCTTCTCATATCCACAGACCCCATTGCCCACCATGACGAACTGCACTACCGATTGGAGCAATGTCACGCTCGCTACTTTCAACCAGACTCTACTCAATGATACCTCATTGTGTACGAAATGCACCTGTCCTCTCGTCCTGGACGGCGAGCAGCTGTCATGGGTGCGATACTACCCGAATCTGGCGGGCAACGTCCTCTACGCAGTCCTCTTCGGCCTCTTTCTCGTGCTGCAGCTCTTCTTCGGCATCTCGCGCAAGACCCGGGGATACATGATCGGCATGACCCTTGGGTTGATTCTTGAAGTCTTGGGCTACGTCGGACGGATTCTCCTCCGCTACTCGATGTTCGAATTCTCATGGTTCCTGATGTGAGTTTCCCTCTAAAATAAAACCTTAGGCGTGAAAACTAACAACCATGACAGGTATCTCGTTCCTCTCACTATCGCCCCGGCCTTCATCTCCGCAGCCATCTATCTGACCCTATCGCGGATCATCACGATCTATGGCGCCGAGCACGCTCGCTTCCGTCCCCAGGTCTACACCTACATCTTCATCACCTTCGACATCATCGCCCTTCTGCTGCAAGCCGTGGGCGGCGCCGTCGCCTCCGTCGCTGACGCCTACTCATCCATGCAGGACCAGGGCGTGCATGTCATGGTCGGCGGCCTTGCGTGGCAGGTGGTGTCGCTGTTCATCTTCTCGTGCCTGGGTCTGGACTTCTACCTGCGTGTGAGCCGGGCTAGCCGCAAAGGAGTCCCTCTCAACCCGGCGTTTGATTCGCTACGCGCACAGCGGTCCTTCGAGCCGTGGTTCATTGTTTCCCTGTCTCTGGCCGTCTTGTTTATCTTTGTGCGGAGCGTGTTCCGGTGTGCTGAGCTACAGGGTGGATTTGGCGGCAAGTTGGCCAATGAGGAGATTACGTTCATGGTGCTGGAGGGAGCGATGATGGTGCTGGCTTGTGGGTTGTTGACTTTCTTCCACCCCGGGTTGATTTTGGGGGCTAGGGAGTGGGCGCTGGCTAAGTGGACTCGCGGTGGTAAGGGGGTCTAGATTAGATTCATTTTCTTTGGAGAATGAGGCTGAGTGCAGGGGATTGAGGGGTGATGTGACTGGGGTGATGTGTATGAGGTGATTACGTGGAAGAGTTTGTTTGCTTGCTTGCTTTCTTTCCTTACGGGTATTAGGCTTAGGCTTGGCTGGTCTTGGCTTCGGGTTCTTTGTTTTCTGGTTTTCAGCCTTGCGGGTTGTTTGTGGGCAGGGGATGAGTGAATGACAGCTCAGACGCGAGTGTTATCAAGGGCTAGACCCGCTCATCGGAAGAGATACCTTTTTATTTTGCCTGTATTCACTAATAGACTGGACATTTTACGGAAAATTGCTTTGAGACATATTCTGATAATGAGATAAGAAATGATTAACATCTCTTGAACGAACTTCTGCGGATAATTAGAGGTCGATCACGTCTCGGAGAGTAGAAATTCAACGGAAGGAAAGTGTTAGGTAAGATAGCTTGGGGACGGGATCTCCTGTCAGCAATCTGACACCAGCTAATGCACGGTCCAAGCCGCTCCGGGCATAAAAGAACGTCGATCAACGCATCTATACGAGTTGTTGGCAATTAATCGACCTAGCTTCCAAGGTGTCCAAGCCCTTAGCAAAGGCTCGGACCTTCTCTGAGGCTCTTTTCCAACATGTTTGCCCAGCACGCCTCCTTCGCCCGCTTGGAAGAGCGCTGAAATTAGATTTTCTTCCGTTCTGCGTGGGAATACGAATGACAAGACCGCCCCCATGTTACAAGTAGTCCAATCCCCGCAGCAGACGGGTGATTTCCATATCTTAACGGATGCTAACGTGTGGGCGGGTGGTACCGTTGGCCCGTAAATTTTTGGGGGTGGTAAGGCTGACCGTCGGGTGTTGATTGACTTGGAGGCTGAGGCGCCTCCTTTGTTCCGCCCGACGGACTGACTCGTTGGCTTGGTTTGGGGAATGTTCATCATTCGAACGTGGTCGACACATTAGCTTCTCTGGAAATGTTGCTGCTTAACTATCATTCTTGTTTTGCTTAGTGGCGTCAGTATGTAGTACTTGGTATTTAGATGAATAGAGGCAATTCCTATCACTAAACCTATTAGAAGTACTGCTTTGCTGTGACGGAGTTGTTGATGCCTAGGGTAACTGTTAGGGCTACACTTCAATATATATATTCTCCGCCACACTGTCCGCTTCAATATTCCCCCATACAACGGCAAACTCTCAGTCCCACAATTATCAGTAGTCTCACACTTCAACATAGCAATAACACGAGAACTAAATTGGCTGACCTTACATAATTACTCTAGATCAAGCAAACGACTTTGCTGTGCGGAGAGCGAGATAATGTGAGGGTCCGTGCACTTGTACTAGGCGGTGTAAACTATTAGTCGTATACTATTATATACTATTATTAACTAACGTTCACTAGTTAATCTTGGAAGTGACAAGTAACCGCCAATCAAAATTGAACTTCATTGTTGGAACCAAGCCAGCCGCAGTTGGGTATTTGTAGTCTAATCAATCAGATCTGCCGCTAGAAATCAAACCGGAGGACGCCTTCGCCAATTGACCCCAAAGATGACACCAAGACAAGTGATGTGTACAAAGAACACAAAAGAAAGAAAAAGAAATATAGACATATGGAATGATAGCGATCAGTGGGGAACTTGGCGGTCGGACGGTTCCTGTCACAGCCCAGGAATTCGGCCCCTCCTTGAGGTAACCAACCAAGCCCCTCTGCGATAATTGGTTCGGGTTTTGTGTTTTCGTTCGGATTTTAATGCACGCGTCCATGTAGATACGTCATAGTCCCGCGTCGGCACCGTGTTCAATGAGCAGTTTCATCATGTCTGTCCTTCCAGTGATGACAGCTCGTTGGAGCGGCGTGTAGCCCGCCCGGTCACGGACATTCACCGAGATGGGGTAGGTCATGAGCAACAATTGAAGAGTGTCAATTGTGCCGCGCGAAATGGCGATGTGGATCAAGGGTTCGTCCGCCTCGGGATCACGGCTGGACAAGGAACACCCTGAGGCGATCCGTTGATGTGTGTCGGAGATGGTGCTCGGCACGGAGCGCAGCATGGGGTCGACGTTGGGCGGCGACGGCGGAAAAGGATAGTAGACATCAGACTCCAGCCATCGCATCGCGTTCTGGGCGCTCGCTGTTGCGGCCATCGCCGAAGGTGACGCGGAGGTCGGCATGCTCGTGACAGCCGCTGTAACGTCTTTCGTTTTATCGAAGCAGTTGCTGAAGTCGTGGTCCAGGTCCGTCGGCCAGCTCAGTCCATCGCCTAGCATCTCCTGGTCTGGGGATGGGAAGTATGTGCTCGGAGCTTCGCGGGGTCCAGGCGAGACACTGCTAGTACTGACTTGCGACGAGGCTCGCGTGGGACGGTCGTCCACGTCGCTGGTACTCGCGCTCGTGCTGATGCTGCCGCTGTTGCTGTCGTTGGGGGTGGAGCTGTTGCTGTTGATGGCTTCTTGAAGGTTTTTGACTTGACTTTTGAGGAGCTCGACCTCTTTGGTGCGGTCGCGCATGTTTCGGCCTTGTAGACAGCGTTAGCGATGCTATTCGCGAACCACGAGTAGGGGATGTACTCACGGTATGCCCGTTGTGCTAGACGGTTCTGAATTCTCCTCCGCTCAGCGGCATCCGGGAGATCCTCCCAGCTCTCGCCTGGCTTCATCAAGTCGGTGTATGAATTATGTTTGGGACGTCCAGACGGCCGTCGAGTGTCGACGACGACGGGCAAAGTAGTAGTCCCGTTTGACCCTACCAGAGGGTGTTGCTGTTGCTGTTGCTGCTGCTGTATTTGATTCATTTTTTCCTCCTAGTTGTTTATCCAGACCAGATATGAATGAAAGAATTGGATGTAGATATACATACTGAAGAGAGGTACAGACGGTAGGTACCCGGCCCACTTTTAAACTTTGTCCTGCCCCGGAATCCCAGACCACATGGCGATTTTCAAAACTAGCCAAGACGGGCGGCGGCATGGCACGCCTCCAAGTCACCCCGGCAAGGCTGGCTTGTGGTTGGGGGCTTCAGTCTGGTAGGACCACGTTACGGAAAAAGCCCTGCACTGATCCCACCCTCACTCGCTTGCGCGCGAGACAAACCGTCGTGTCACAGCCCCCTCCCCTTTATTTTACCATCTTTCATTACCGAACCACTTGTCCCCCGCACTTCCTCCACCAAAAGTCAACTGCAGGAAATCCGTATTACCACTCTAAATCTGACACGAAGTTTCACCGTGGCTTGAGTTAGGAGGACCAAGCAAACCGGGATCTTCGTCAGCAATGCAATATCGCAGTTCGAAACAGGTGTTAGTTCAAACCTTGCAACGCTAACCTATGAATGTTGCGATCTAAGCCATGTTCTACCGTCGTCTGGTTTGTTTCAGAATAGGTTTTCGCCCCAAAAAGGTTGGAAATCCTTTGGGTGGGATGGAACATATCAATAACGTTTTTGGGGCGATAAGTGCGATGACAACATTTACTACTACTCTGATTACTACTCAAATGACGATACTTCCCCGGGCATAATCCAAGCATCCTATGGTGATGAGTTGCGTTCCTGATCTTTGTTAGTATTACTATTAGAGTCGTTCCTCAGATCTTCTTTGCTTATTGTGTGAGACGTTCCACCCACGTGGTTTCCTTCTCTCGTCGCATGTGTGCAGGGATCAGACAACGTGGCTGTGGAATACGGAGATCGTATTGGGTGTCGTGTTGCATCTTGGATGGATTTGCTTCAGCTGGAAAGGAAAGTCTATACACACAGTTGGATGGCTGGGCAAGTTTGGGGGCCATGAAGATGTTTGATGGGCAATTAGAGTGGTTGGTGCTTCAGCTGGGAATGATGCCATGACGGATGCGTGATGCGTAAACACTACCGTACTGACATCTTCTTGAACATGGTTTCACTGGCGACCAGCAGATTCTAAAGGAAGGGGATAGACTACATCTTGTGCTATCAAACTGACGGGTTAGACCTGCATATTTCCCTGCGTACTGCATACAAGATAAGAAGAAAAAAGCAATAGCAACATTGTATAGAACTGCCGAACCCCGCACCCTGGATTCTCTTCACAAAAGCAAAAAAGGTGTTCCTTTCCCTTGTAACCCATCGCCATGTGGCGCCATGTGCCTAGAGCATGCATTCTCCGATGAACGCCATCGCAGACCCAATCACCTCCTCCACACGGTCTGCAGGCCAGATTTCTTCATCCTTCGGGTGGATCTTAGTCTTCATGCTAGTACTCCCAATCTTACTTCCCGTTCGCACAAGCGAATCCTCCTCTTTCTCCTTCTCAACGCCGCTAGCAAAGATACCTCCGTTAGAATGACTAAAGTCATCACTCTTCTCCTCATCATCATCACCACCAATTAACAACCCCGCCCGCTTGAACACCTCCACAGGAGGCACCGTCACTCGTCCAGCCTTAACCACATACCGACTCACCAGCACAGCCAACACCATCTTGCGTAGCTTCTCATCCCTGAGCACCGCTGCGGGCCCTCCACCAAGTAGATCCATCTCCATCATGCCCCTGTACACATCTCCCCGCAAGAAATACGTAACCGTCCACAACGACCGCTGATCCCACGCCAGGATCCGAGATGTAACGCAATACCGCTGAAAGGGGCGGATCTCGCGCAAGAACCGCGCCTGCACGGCAGCCAGCATGGGCATTCCGCCGGTTGCTGCCAAGGCCGGCCCCAGGAGACGACTGAGGAGGCGGGCGCGGCTGAGGTCCGCATCTGTGAAGAAAGTGCTGTTGCTTTTGTGTAGGTTCAGGTCGATTTCCGGCAGGGGGCAGTGGGTTTGAGTTGTGTGGGGGCGGAAAAGGCTGGGTAGGGCTGGATAGAAGAGCTTTGGGTTGCTGATTGGTTGCGGGGATACGAGCTCTTTGGGTCGTGGAGCGTTGCGCGAGAGGCGGGGTTGCAGGATTCGGTAGAGGGATGGGAGGAGTTGGAGAGAGTATGTGAGTGGGAGGGATTTGGCGTTGGTTAGGAGGAGGAGGATGAGGATGGGCACTGCAAAGATGAGGAGGATGGTGGGCATTGTGATTGCGTAGGGTTGTTCGTGTTGCTGGACTTGCGATGGGACGGGATGGTATGAGGTAACATGAATGAATGAATTTAGAGACTGAGTTTGGAAGGATGAATATGTAGGTTGGAGTAGTTAAAATGTGTAAATTCTAGGAGTTGACTACTTGGGTGATTACTACGCTGGTGGTAGTCAGCGGGTTAGTAGGCGTCCTCAGGGCTTATTCACCATTTCTGACGGGAACTGTTTACTGGGTGGTGAGTAAGAACTAAGAAGTGGGAATTAGGAAGGACGAAGGCGTACGATGTGAATGATGCTAATTTTGGTTTATAATCTGCAGCTAGTGGTAAGCGATGAAACAATGCAAGACAAACACGAACCAACACTGGATGCTTATCGGGGAAAACGCCATGTGTTTGACATTCTCTGATCATGTCGATCCCCCGTGCAGACGGTTTGGTCGATGTTGGTGTTTCATCGTCTGCCCATCTGGTAAATTATAAACAGCTTACTGTCGATCCCTATATCCAAGGCATGTTCAACCAACATCTTGTTGTTTATAATTAACTTTACATAATCTTTACTAACAATTTCTATGTCTAACCCTTGATCTGATACACTCAAAATCCCGTCACCTCGAAACACCAGTCCTCACTGTCTGGCTGCTGTCCCTTCTGGATGCCGCGCATGATGCGGGCGAGATCAAGCAGCTTTCCCTCCCCGGTCCCGCTGAAGGCATACTTTTCACCTGTTGACAGTCGATCGATGGAAGCAACCGGTACCGCGGCGGCGGCAGTGCCAACGGCAATGACTTCATCCAACTCGCCCAGTGAGGAGAACGGGAGCTGATGTGAGATCTGTCAGCCCACCGGATCCACAGAAAAAAATGAAAAAATAAACTCAAAACAAACTTGAAGAAACCTACAGGCGCCTTGTCCACCTTCCAGCCCTCTCTCTTGGCAAGGAACTCGAGACTCGAGCCGGTGACGCTCTCGATCGCGTTCTCTGACTCCGGCACGACCAGCACATCCTGCCCATCCACGACCTTGTGACCCAGGAATCCACTCGTGGCAAATTCCTCCACGAGGGAATGGGTCTCACTGTCGAGATGTAGCGTGATATGATAACCCATCTTCATCGCCTTCCCCGCATGGCGCCACACCGGGGCGTAATTCCCTCCGACCTTAAACCGACCCATCCCCCTGGGCGCCGCCCGATCAAACTCTTCGCACACCAAGCCCTTGATCCCCTGCATCCCATGGTACGCCCGCGCCGGGTGGCAGTAGACCGCGAAAATGGTCTCCTCACACGGACCCAGGGGTAAGCCATCCGACGCGCCGAACAAGACTGGCCGGATGTACAAGAACCCCTCCGCGTCGACGGGGGGTACATACTCAGCGTTGGCAGCCACCGCGAGGCGGATGCACTCGAGAAAGAGATGCTCCGGGACCTGGGGCAGACAGACAGCGGCAGCAGAGCGGGCCATGCGCGCGGCGTGGAAGGTGGGTCGGAAGACAGCGATAGATTCTTCTTCCTGCAGGGAATCACGACGGCGGTGGCGGCGGCGCACAGCCTTCAACCCCTCGTAGCATTGTTGGCCGTAGTTGAGGCCCGGGCAAAGGCCGGAGATGGAGATCTGGTTTCCTGTCACCAGTGACGGGGAGGTCCAGGATTGGGTGGATTGGTGGAAGCGGAGCTCAACGTGGCCGTTGACAGGAAGATGTTTAGTCATGTCCAAGTTGGCCCAGTCTAAGATGTTTGTCATTAGTCTAGGGATTTCGATTGTGTGCATATTGGAGGCTGTGGTTGGAGGAGGGGAATGTGGGGGATTCTTTTAGTGCTCACCAAGGTCCGCTTTGGGCGCGGGAGGGAATGGCGAAAGGGATCCCATTGTTTCTGGTTGGGTGTATTAATTGGGGAGGGTGTGAGATTGGTAAAGTTAATTTGGGAGAAGGATGATGATGAAGATTGGATCCTGTTTCCCGTTCTTCTTTTCTTATATATCTAAGATCCTTGAGAAACGTCTTAGTCGGGTAGAAGTCATCAATCTTGGGGGATGTAGGATGATGTTGGGTTACTGTGGCCGTAGTAAGCAAGCACCCAGTAAAGCTGCCGGTGGCTGTGGGTACAAGCAGTCAAATCCTTAATCAATGGCCCATGATGATTGCACGTGTCTAGTAAGCTAAGGAATGGGGGTGCAGATGTATTACTTCGTGTTCTGGAATTAGCGGTTGAACGTTCGTGATCCTTCTCAGCAAACATATTAACCATAACACTGCCCTAGCCCAGCCTTTGGGTACTCTAGCATGCAATAGCCTGACTAAGAGCTAGTGCTTTTAGTAACTAGTGGACTATAATCCAATTTCGTCAAAATTAGCAGTCCTGTGTTTCAGATCCAGTGATCCAGAACAGTGAGCGTATGATTCTTAGAGGATTACTGTAGAAGGTTAGGCTCATCGCCACCCACTCTATCTTACGCTTATTTCTTACTATCCGAGTCTCACCACCACGTTTTTTGCATAGTTTATTTCCCGGCATATACTGCTTACTACGCACTAAGCGCACTGCATAGTAAGTTGAACCCCTTCCAGAACGTCACGAGATGTTTCCGGTGCGTAGGCTCCCACCCACAGCCTCTGTGGCAGGCAAGCAAATTGCGAAACAAGCGTAGCTAGATCATGTAGGAAAAGACCTGTATCTCTCCACTTCATGCACATAGAATTTTCTACAGGGGTAGCTCAACACCATGGGCGCTCAAGCATCCAAATGTCCGTTCGACGTCGAGACGGGGTTTGGCCCCGCCGCCGACTGCTACGACGGCTTCGACTTTACTTTGCTGTTCGAGGAGTCTATCCTCACTCTTGTGCCTGCGGGCGTCACATTGTTTCTTCTGCCGTTGTTTCTGTTGCGGTTGCGTAAAGAAGAGAGAAAGGTGGTGGAGTCGTGGCATCATGTGGTTAAACTGGTACGTGAATCATCCCCTACCATTAAGAAATGACAATGGGAATAATAACCTCGTGTATCATAACAACTAGGCTGGCTGGTTTGCTCTATCCACAGTGACACTCGTGCTGGTAGCCCTAACCGCTAGCAAGGGCCCCACGACACGGACCTCAATCGCGGCGAATGTTATTGTTTTATTACTGGATATTGGACTCGCGTTTCTCTCGCATTGGCAACATGTCCGCAGTGTACGGCCATCAGGGCTGCTGGTGCAGTACCTGGCTCTGACACTAGTATTCGATATCGCGCGTTGTCGCACCCTTTGGGGGGTGCAATCGGCTGACAAGCTGGCCATTGCGCTCAGCATCGCCATCGGGATCAAAGCCGTCCTATTCGTCCTAGAGGCGGCCGAAAAGCGCGGCATCCTGCTACCCAAGTTTGTGACTCTGCCTTTCGAAGCTACCGCTGGCGAGTTGAATCTGTGGTTCTCATGGTGGTTGAATCCGATCTTCCTGCGGGGTTTCAAGAAGCAGCTGTCTATGGACACATTGTTCGATGTCGACCCCAGCTTGAAAGCAAATGACAAAGAGGAGGGTGATACCTTGGCTGAAATGTGGAAGTACTGTAAGTGTTTCCTCTATCCACACTTACTAGACATATTCTGACCACCCTCAAGGGAAATTCAAGCTCCGCAATCCTCCCCTGCTGGTAATCTGTCTCGTGCATGCCCGCGTGCCGCTGTTGAAGTCCATCCTGCCACGTCTCGCCCAGATCGCCTTCACCGTCGCCCAACCGTTCATCCTGCAACGCACGCTAAGTTACATACAAAACGACGGGTACGAGAACAGATCGTCGGTCGGCACGGGGCTTATCGTCGTCTACGTGATCGTCTACATCGGTATCGCGGTGACGACTGCCCTAGCGCAGCACTGGACCTTCCGGATGATTACGCGTATGCGCGCAGGGCTAGTCGACCTGATCTACCGACACACGCTGGAGATGGTTCCCACGGCGCTCGATGGCGCCGACGCAGTGACACTCATGAGCACTGATGTGGAGCGCATTACCAGCGGGCTTCGCACATTCCCAGAGCTCTGGGCCAGCCTTATCCAGATGGGCATTGCCATCTGGCTTCTGGCGGGCATGCTTAACCTGGCTGTGCTCGGCGCCTCCGCCGTCGCCGTCGTCTCCACTGGCCTAGCCATCTGGGTGGCCACCGGCGCAGGTATCGCCCAGAAAGCCTGGTTGGACCAGATTCAGTCGCGCGTCGCCGCGACAGCCAGTATGCTGGGAGTAATGAAGGCGGTCAAAATGACGGGGCTGACGCAAGTGCTGGGCGACAAGATCCGGCAGCTGCGCGAGGAGGAAGTCAAAGCCTCATCTACATTTCGGTTGATCTTGGTGAAGCTCGTCACCCTATCTAATGTTTCCGAGGCCATGAACCCGGTTGCCGCGTTTGGACTATATATCCTCTTACAGCGGTTCCAAGGCTACGCGATCATGGATACGGAGCTGGTGTTGACTTCCTTAGTGCTCCTGCAGTTGCTGCTCGTGCCGCTGGCGATGCTGATTGACAGTCTCGCGGGATTTGTGGGCGCACTGGGATGTTTTCGCCGCATCCAGGATTATCTGGGCCAGGAGACCAAGGTCGATGGGGAGAGTGCTCGGGCTGCTACTGGCGGGTCTAGTAGTAGTAGTGAGGTGGAGAGTCTTGCGCGTCGGGACAGACGGCGAACGATTCCTAGCTTGGTCTTGCCGACTATCGAGGTGGCCGAGTTTCGGTTTAGTTGGCTTTTGGCTGATTATTCTGGGGAACAGGGACGAGCGTCCAGATTTTTGGGGGAGGAAAGAGGAGTTGGTGGAGGAGGGAATGGGCCGGGCAATGCGGGTCGTGTCGTTTCAGGTGTTGGTTCGATGAGATCCGCACGGAGTCGACGCCGACGCATTGTCCCTGCGCCGGTGATTGAGTTTAAGAAGGTGTCCGCCGGGTGGAAGGACGGGATGGTCGTACTTCAGGACATGTCATTCAAGGTGCCCCGAGGTCAACTAACGATGATTGTTGGGTCCGTGGGATCCGGCAAGTCGACGCTGTTGTATACCCTCTTGCGCGAAACCAAGGTTTATGCAGGCTCGATCATCGGCTCTCTGGACGAAGCGGCGTTCTGTTCTCAGTCACCTTGGGTGATCAATACCACGGTCCAGCAGAACATCACGGGCGACTTCGCGCTGGATCCCCGGTGGTATGCGACTGTGGTGCAAGCGTGCGCGTTGACCTTGGACTTGGCGCATCTTCCCCAGGGAGACCAGACCATTGTGGGGAGTTCGGGCATCGGCCTAAGTGGTGGCCAGCAGGTGCGCATCTCCCTCGCCCGTGCCATCTATTCGCGTAAGCGTACGATTGTGCTTGACGATATCCTGAGCGGTCTGGACGCCACCACAGAGAAGTACATCTTCTCCTCGCTCTTCGGACGTCATGGACTTCTCGCTCGGCACGGGGTCACGGTCATCCTCGCCAGCCATGCCGTCCACTTCCTCCCCGAAGCCGACTACATCCTCGCCCTGGGGCCCAAGGGCACCATCGTCGAGCAAGGCACCTTCACCGATCTGGCCAGACGCTCCCACGGTGGGTATATCCGTGGCCTGGAAGTCCGCGAGCGTCAAGCAGCCCACCACAAGCCCCAAGAAAGCAGCGCCACCCTCGAAACCATCCCCGACAACGAATCCCAAGCTGTGCTCCCAACCATGGACTCAACTGAAATCCCCGCCCGCGATTGGTCAGTGTATGCCTACTACGTGCAATGTTTCGGCTGGCCACGTATGGCCTTCTTCATCTTCATCAGTGCGATATTCGGGTTCGTCATCGTCTTCTCGCAAGTATGGGCCGAATGGTGGGGAAACCACAATACCCAGCACCCCAACGACAAGGCCGGATATTACTGGGGCATCTACTTTGTACTCGGCCTCATGGCCACTCTCTCCCTCGTCACCGGGTGTACCTTCTTCGTCATGGCCCTGGCGCCACGCGTGGCCCGGACCATTCACACGAGACTTCTTCAGACGGTCCTACAAGCCCCGATGGCCCTCTTCTACACGACGGACAAAGGCTCCCTAACGAATCGCTTCAGCCAGGACCTCGAACTCATCGACCTCGAACTGCCCGTCTCGGTAGTGCAAACAACCATGATCCTCTGCATCATTCTCGCCCAAACCATACTCATGGCCGTCACTTCCAAGTATTTAGGAGCCGCTCTACCCTTCATCTTGGCCACCGTGGCCGCCCTCCAGGTCTTTTACCTTCGCACCTCGCGCATCCTCCGTCTCCTCGACGTCGAGGCCAAAGCTCCGCTGTTCTCCCACTTCCTGGAAACCCTGTCCGGGCTCGTCACCATCCGAGCCTACGGCTGGCAGGATTCGTATACGCGGCGGAATCTGCATAAGATCAATGAATCGCAGAAACCGTTCTATGCGTTGCTGTCGGTGCAGCAGTGGCTCGGGCTGATGCTGGATCTTGTGGCGGCGGGGATTGCGGTAGTACTTGCCACGGTCGCGGTCATGACGAAAGGATCGACAGATTCCGGGTTGATCGGGCTGGCGCTGATCAATATCGTGGGGTTTGGTAGCGCTATTAAGAAGCTCATTGTGTTCTGGGCGCAGTTGGAGACGAGTGTTGGTGCGGTGAGTCGCGTGAGGTCCTTTGTTGGCCGAGTGGGGAGCGAGCATAAAGATGGTGAAAGGGATGAAGGGAGTGTTGGGCCGAATTGGCCTGAAAGGGGAGAGTTGGTGTTTGATGCGGTTGTTGCCTCCTATTCTTCTTCTGGTGATAGCGAGGATGGGGAAGGGGAGGGGGAAGGTGAAGGAGAGCCGGTATTGAAGGGAATTTCGCTGCGGATTGAACCGGGTCAGCGAGTTGGAATTTGTGGACGAAGTGGCAGTGGGAAGAGTAGTCTCGTTGCTACACTATTTCGAATGCTGGAGATGGACGCTGGGAGGATTCTGGTCGACGGGGTGGATTTGGCGTCGGTCAGTCGCAATCTCGTGCGGGAGAGGATTATTGCTCTCCCGCAGGATGCGTGTCTCTTGCCTGGGTCAGTGAGGTTCAATCTGGACCCGAGGGAGGAGAGGGGCGAGGAGGAAATCGTGGATGTTTTGCGTGAGGTAGGACTTTGGGAGGTGCTTTTGGAGATGGTTGAGGCGGAGGAGAAGAAGGATGAGGTTCAGGAGAAGATTGCTGCCGCTGGTGACACTCCCCCTCCCGTTCCTATCAAGAACAGCGATGTCCTCAACGCCCCCATGCCCACCACCGCCATCTCCCACGGCCAACGCCAGCTCATCTGTCTCGCCCGTGCTGCCCTCCGGCGCTCGACCATCCTCGTCCTCGATGAACCCACCGCCGCCGTGGACGTCGAAACCGATGCCATGATGCAGCGGATCATTCGGTCGCGCTTCGCCAGCCATACCATTATTACCGTCGCGCATCGACTAGACACGATCATGGACTTTGACCGGATCGCCGTGATTGATGCAGGTCGGTTGGCCGAGTGGGGCACTCCCAAGCAGTTGGTGACCGGAGACACCTTGTTTCGGAGGCTGTATCGGGATATGCATGGGGAGGAGGATGAGGATGAGGCTTGTCCCGCCTATGAAGATCACTACGATCATAACGAGGTGGATGAGGAAGATGGCGACTACAGCTCTGCCATGGAGACAAGACCTTCGGCGGAGAGTCAGGCGGGGACGGTGGTTGTCGATGAGCAGCAGAATACTTGGATTTGATCGTTGTACTCGTGTTTTCCAGTTGGTTAGAGCGTGGTTATGATTCTTGTAATCCTATTTAGATTAGTGTATATTTTTATAGCGAATTTAGTTTTCATCATGGCTATATAGAGACCCAAGACTTCACTTGTATAGTACGGACGTGATTCTACGTAAGACTCTCAACGTCTATACGCAGACACCGCATAGATAAAATGTCGACGCGCTAAATGCTAGACCAAAAACGCTATACCACGTCTGTCCAGCCTGGCGACGAGGAAATATGTGTCCCAACAGAATACATACTAGTGCGCCTACGATAAATTCTAGTTAGAAGAAATAATTTTCTGCTTCTTTTTGTGGTGCGAAGCTCAGTTCGGAGGGAGTATGTCCCCAGCTAATTCTGGAATCAAAGTTCCGCTCAAGTCACAAGAAACCTATGAATGAGAATACAGAGATCGAGTTGTCAAGTTACACTCGATAGAATGAGACTGGTTGTTCCCATTGCGACGTTTCAAAGTTTATCGCCCCCAATCTGTCCTGTCTAAAAATTCCCCGGTCTGAAAAATTCCTACCCAGCAGCACAGCCTTCAACGTTGGGGGCCGAAGACTCCGCCATGCACCAAGCTTGAATAATAGTATAGTCAGGAGGTAGTCATCATCATCATCATCATCATCACATTAAGTTTTAGTATAAGCTCATAATAAACTCCATGAATCAGCAAAGTAGTAATCAAAAAAGTAAACAACAACGCTTACCCCACCCCCTGTCGATCTTTGGTTCCAGGATCTCGTCCACGTGGATGCCACGCGAGATGGGTTCAACCTTGAGGATTTGATTACTATTGCTTACTAGAAATTCTAAGTTCTCGATCTAAGGAGTGAATTGTCGTTAGGGGGTTACGAGGATAGCATAGTCAGTTGTTTCATGTTGATTGCCTGGAACTTCTAGAATTTTCTGGGCTGATTTGGGGTGTAGCTTTGGGAACTGAGGATTAGTGCTTTTCTCTAGATGTTAGAATTAGTTGTGCAGCAGTGACTAGATTGTGTTCACATATGGAATAGCTTCTTGAAATGATGATGTGTAGAACGTGGTGCGGCTCCAGCAGGTGACGGAGTCTACGTAGTAATATATTCTGAATCCAGAATGTGCACGCAGTCTTGGCTGCTCAGAGGGTTCCGACTTGGTACAATGTTGGGTCTTCAATTCAAGTTTATAGAAGTAAAAAAAAACTATATTCAAGGTATAATGTATGATCACAGGTAGTATAGACAGGTATAATCAAGGACACATTAAAGAACTCCGCGAATCTCCGAACGCACAAAAGACACTCCTTCCGGCTTGGGTTAAGCCAAGACCACTTCCCTCATTTTGAAGTAGGATTACAGACCCTCATTGCTAAACAAAAAAAGAAAAAAGAAAAAAAAGGAAGTAAGGTAGGATCAACTAGGCAGAAATTTCGCGTCTGGAAAACCGCAGCCATGGGCCATCCTTCTGACCCGTGATATGCTCGCGCAACTGGTATTCGTTCTCTCGGTGTCGCCCGTACACCGCCCCCGGCACTCCCCTGCCGACCTTGCTCATGGGGCCCTCGGCGAACTCGAAATCGCTCAAGTACAACACAGTGGCTACCGTGGTCATGAGCTCGTGGTAGGCCAAGCTGCGACCAAGACAGCCGCGCATACCCAGCGAGAAGGGGTTGAAGACAAGTCTCGCCCGCTTGATGCTGCCAGTTCCATCATCCTCGAGCCACCGCTCGGGCCGGTAGGTGAATGGATCCACGTAGTAGCGCTCATCGTGGTGGATGGCATACAGTGGCACCGCAACCGTCACACCTCCCGGAATATGAATGTCGCCGACAGTCAACCCACCCGGCAGAACTTCTCTCGTCAAGGCGGCCCCGTTGGGTGGACTCATGCGCAAGGCTTCATCAATACACGCCCGGAGATAGGTACATTGTGAGAGTTCCGGGCCTGAGAGAGCCTCCTCAGACCCCAGTGACTTGCCCGCGAACACAGTGCGTACCTCCTGCGCTGCCTTTTCATATGCAGAGCGGTTGTCCGCCAAGTAGAACAACGTCGCCGCGATCGCCGTCGAGGTGGTGTCGGACCCGGCCACCACCAGCGTTGTGCTCTCGCTGACCATCTCTGACGGCTTGAATCCCTCGCCCGTGTCCGGGTCCTTGGCTGTAGCCAACGCGCTGTAGATATCATCGCGGGGCTTGCAGGGGTCCAAGGCGTCGGGCGCCCACTTACCCAGGGCGCGATTGGCGCGTTCGCGGACAGCGCGCACAACGAACCGGAGGAAGCGGTTGCGGGCAATGAGGGCATCGCGGAAGAAGATGCCGTCGACGGCGCGCCACGCGGCGAGAATAGGCATGTACGCGAGCACAGACATCCGTACGTTCGACTTGTCGATGACCTCAGGCATGTAGCGGAACTTCTCGCGGCCGAGCAGGTTGTAGCTTGCGCTGAAGACAAGGTCGGACATCAGGTCGAAGGTGAGGTAGCCGCACCACTCGGCCATGTTCATCGGCTCGCCCAGCTCGCCCTGACGTGCCGGGAGCACAGCCTCGCAGAACTTGCGTACATGCACCGCAATGCGCGGGTCCATTCCACGCTGTGCCTTTTCCGATAGCGCAGTTGAGACAATGCGTCGCCGCCGGAGGTGTTCGTGTCCTCCGCGCAGGCTGAACGTGCTCCCTACGCTGCCGGCTTGGAGGACTTCGTAGTGTGGGCTTTTCACCACCGAGGCGTATGCTTTCGTCGAGTAGATGGCGTGCAGCGCGTCTGCGTTGCGAATGAAGACCGAGTTGGGCATGTAGCGCACGAAGTCGCCGTGTTTCTCGTGCAGCCGCCACATGTCAAGGTGGGCGTCGCCTTTCCAGGAGTGATAAGCGCCGTAGCCATGGGTGAGGCTAGCGAAAATTGGGCCAGGGAATTTGGCCAGTGGGTGGAGGAAGAGGAGGTAAATGATTCTTCCAAGGATCTGCTGGGGTGTTAATGATGGACTTGAAAGAGGGTAATAAACTGGGCCAAGAGGGAGATCATGCTCGTACCAGGAGTGTTGCGCCGCCTGCGGCTGCAAGTAGGATGGTTTGAACCGACATGGCTTGTTTTTTAGTATGAAGGCAGTCAGGTTTGAGATGAAAAGAGTGGTGAATGACTGTGAAGCCGGCGAATTTCAGTTTCAGAGCTGGGCTTTTTCAAATGCCATGCATTTCCCACGTGGGAGTACAGTGCCCCTGCATAAGGATCAGCCAGGACACTGCCTTATAAGGAAGCAGTTCGCGCAGTATCAGGTTGCTTACGATTAATTAGTCTGGTGTTTGGGAGAAGTTGGTGTCAGAGGTGGTGTAGTAATAGAATAGTAAGCATATCCGAGACATGAGATGAGATGATGAGATAGCTGCGCATCAGGATGTCAGTTTCAGTCAGGACCTAAACTCCGGTTCAGAGTCAGTGGAGCATTGTGGTCTGACCGTTCGTCCATGTGGTTTCTGAAACTTGATCCTCGAGGCTTCCTTTGCGTTCCTGGTTGATCGTATTGTCCCCACTCTGCGTACCCAACACTCAGCCTGTCCGCGTACCTCATCGCTGTTGGTTCCGAAGACTTAAGTCTATCACATGATGATTCACCTCTACAGTAAGTCGCTGTTCCTTATTATCAGCTACTCATAATCAGCTGATGTATGCGGATCTGCCTATCGTTCCCTAGCAGAATGTGTCGAGGACATCCAGGTGTACCTGTCTGGGCAGCAAGCAGATTCAGGACAGACCCCCGGGCTGTGTACTTATGGGTAATTCATTCCAATAGAATAATGCTGGAGCTTACTGTACCTTTGGTATCACAGATCTGGTCCTGTTGTTTCAAGCCATCTGTTCATTGTTGGACCGACTCGGCGGTATGAAGCACTCCGTATTCGTGACATTATCCAAGGGATGTTTACCGCCCAGACTTGATTTTCTTGGCTGCAGGAAACTACAACAGACAAAAAAACGAAATTAAAAATGTCCTTAGATCTAATTTTAACTTCGAAGAAATATTATAAGATTGGTGTAATAACAAAAACAAAAACATACAACAGAAGGGATTCGCTGGTGGTCAGCCACCCAACTACTAACCTCCCGGCGTGTGGCTTAAGTACGGCTGAGCGGACGGGAAGCCCTGTTTTCCACACCCTGTGGTCGTATGTACCAGACACTACTCAGAAGAAGTTTATATAGTACAGTATATAATCACGGAAGGATTTCGTTCTTGTCCCAATTCAGAGTTGACATGCGAATTATGTGCATTGTAGCTCTTGATTTTTAGCTTATTTGAGGATCTTTTGTGGTTTCATGATTTGAATGTAGATCCAAAAGCATCAAGGCTCCTAATAGAGTATTAGCAGACACCGACGCACAACCACAGGGGATATATTTCTTTTGTTTTGTATGATTCCGTAGCAGTCAATAGTATGCCGTGTGACTATGTGTCAGTATATAATAGAGGATGAAGTTCATTAGAACGTATAGAATTTAATAAATCTCACTGATTGTTCTGGTAAGCAACAGCAAGCTTTTCATATGTAAAATGTACTACATGCGGTCCCGTCTTATACGACGACCTGTGTATATCGCACATCAGGAAATCGCAAGGCGAACAACCAGGGATGGCTCCCACGACGATCACCCTAATCATTTCATATCCCACTTAGGACAGAGGTCGGTTCAGATATGCATCGTCATCATCGTCATCCTCGTCGTCAGGACATGTAACCTCATGAAACTTGAGGGTGACATAGGGTGAATTTTTGGGATCGGCTCGGTACAGCTTCTTGTCACTTCTTACTTCCAAACCCGTGAGCGGGCTGCTTTCTTCGGTCGCATACCCAATTGACAAACGGATGGTGGGGGCGTTACTCTCTGCACCGACTGCATCTTCATCATCGTCGTTATTTTGGTTGGCCTTGAAGCTGATCGTGTTACACCACCCCCCGCCGGCGGCAAAGAACCAGTTCCAGCCAGAGGTAGCCAGGTAGCCCGGTCCAACTTTGGTGTTCTTATTCCACCCCTGGTAATCCCAAAGCCAGAAGGCATGGCTGCTGCTCACCGATTGACCTCTACCCTTGGGCTGCTCGTTGAAACATGAGTTCTGACGATAGCAAAGTTTGAAAATTCTCTTCTCTTCCGAATTCCCAAAGGTTAAGATATTCCAAGTATTGGAATCACCTCCTACCTTTCCATAGCCTTCTTTGCTGAGCCAATAGCATTTGCCATACTCTATATCCAAGAGCTTAGCCTCGGAGACGGGCTCGTCGGCAGTAACTGGCACTTGATGGCTATTTTGACTCGTGCCATGATCGAAGTCACCATGAGTTGCATCTTGGCCCATGAAATTAATCTGCACAGCTGGCGAGTAGTAAGGCGAAGCATCTGCCTTGAAAATGTAGGCTGCAAGCAGCAAGAGAGTACTAAAAGTCTTCATACTTAGGGCAGTTTTTAGGGCACGATGACTTGAGGATTTGAGAAATGATAATTCGATGATCATTGAATGTGCAATTGGGGTTAAACCAGGTTTGCTACAGTGTTGAGCACGTTATATAACTTTGACAAGGCCATTGTAATTACCTTTGTACCGATGAAATCATCATGACCATCTCATTTGTTTTAGATATAAGACCGAAAGTCGGATCACATAGACTTTATCCCATCGTGCGATTGAACTTGCGATTTAAGTTTGTTGATTTGGAACTTGCCTGCTTGCGTCGACGACCCGGCAGATCTCAATTATCGGTTGATCCGCATTCGGTGTCCCTCCGGGGAACGTTACCACAGGGAAAGCTTCCGCGACCAATGAATTGGCCATGAATGGAGGAAAATACCTCAGACAACAATTGGATTCGTAGCTAAGTTTACTGATCTGGGCATAATAGCCATTCATTGAGATAACCTTCACGGTAACTTCAGGCTGACAAGCGATAGAAGGTGCGACTAGCTACGAATGCCCCAAAGCTAGTAGTACCATGGTATAGCTGAGGCTTATATTTACAACTACCAAATAAAGGCGCCGGCCGAAAGTCTACTATATGTCCTGCGTGGCCGGCCTTGCTTCCTAGTAAGGCTATTGCGTAGCCAAGTCGAGTGCTTCTGCTTAATACCATACTCGGAATCATGAACATTCCTTGAGCGATCTGCCGCAAGATGCCTGGCATGCTTTGGTGTTTCACCCTTGACCAGAAGTTTTCCTGCTATGCTGTAGTATTGGCGTAGATCTAAATACTTGTATCTCAAAAAACCATACAGATCCCTGACTGCAGCCCGGGAGTTTTGCTGCCACATGTGGCACCAACCTAAAATACTTCTATGGACCACTCCACAGCGTGCCTCTTCCGGGGTTACCTGCTGTCCTTCCCAGTGGGTGGATAAGTGGTATGACAGGGTAGGCAATCTGCTGGTTGCTCTGCTTCTGCAGGAAGGAGTAGGATCACATCGTCGAATCTCAGTTCCCTCGGAGCGCAAAGGGATGGCGTCAATGACAATCGTCGGCCCGCCCAGACATGCTGTGATGCCCTCCATCGGCGATGCTGCTTTCACACCGCGAACGGGAATGGCGTAGATCTGGTACGTGGTCCTAGTGACTCCAGAGAACGCAAACATGGCCGCCTGGCACGAGACTGTGTAGTTGCTGGACTAGCCCGACTTTCTATCTCTGTATCGCTTCATAGAAGTACGTCATCAGGCTAGCCCACTGAGACATTGTGGTTTTCAATTCATCTAGAGGACAAGACCGGTCGGAACCAGCAAGCTTGTGTAGGCAGAGATTACCCAGTTCGTGAAGCGGAGGTAACATAGGATCGCATTCTGCAGGATGGTTAAGGAGCTCCCCAGATCGAGTAGGCCGGCGCAGTCTACTTATAGACAGTCTAGAGAATCCATCACACCTAAGGTAAAGCAAGGGTATAAACCGATAAGCGATATATGTTATCATTACTCTCAATCATCCTGGAGACTGCACATGCCAGAGGATTGTTTTTTGATCTCCAACTCTAGATAACATCTTGAAAGAAAAACCTAAGAGATCCATACTTCCGATATCGAGAAGAAGTTTCGGGCTAATTCTGGTAACCTAGAGACCTGAGCAACACATCAAGTTCAGCTGAATCTTTTTGCAAGGTCTATATACCACTTTAACAGGAAATGCCACGAAATTCCCTTTTTCTTCTTCCCGTTTCCAGAAATGAAGTTATTGAATCTAAACTACTAAACAGGCTTGCTTCTGCTGTAGGTCCTTAGCCAGCATTTTCATCAATTTCCCTGCTCTTGTTATATTTGAGCATCTTTAATTTTCTTCCGATGAAAAACCTCAGCTCCATCAGAGGCCAAGTTCGGAATAAACAGAGAACCAGTAGCCTCTCTTGACTGGAATGTACTTGCAATCAAACAGTTATAAGTTATTATTCCTTTTTCTTCCTGATGCAAAGTAAGTGTGAGGGCTCCGGGGATAGCTGTACCGATTATACTTTATCTGGAAATATATATTTACTTACTATTATTTTATATTAAATATTTATCTTTAATTTTGTTATTTTCTATCTAGATTACTGAAATAAATATGAGGTGCGAGAGGAAGCCTCAACTAGGTACATACGAAAAAAACGTGTCCCAGTCGATTGCCGTGATATCCACATTGAAATCCGCCGCAGACAGGTCCAGGTCGAACTGGAAATCATCGCTGGCGCCTAGCCGGGGGTCTAATGCCTGCTGCGACTGCTCCGCCCATGCGCTACCCTGGGGATACACAGGGATGGGGTTGGTCAACTCCTCCAGTTGCGGTGGTGGATGCGAGACATTGGACACTGGGTTGTGAGGGGAATGAGCTGCGTGGGGCAGGGTCAGCTCTTCGGCGCCGACGTCGAGGTTCATATGTTGCAGGATGCGACGGATGGTGGCGATGGAGCTGCAGACGGGGTCTCCTTGTCGCATGCGGGTCAGGAACTGGAGGCCCTGGTGGACAAGCGGGGAGTTGGCAGTGCGGTTTTCGGGATTAGAGGCCATATCGTAGAGGAGGAGAAAGAGACAGTTTTCGAGGTAGAAGCAGTTGAAGCGGAGTTCCTAGGTGGGTGGTCATCGTTAGAATGGCAGAGGGAAGGGTGGGCTTGTGAGTGGTTACCCGAAGGAGAGGGTCGTCGGCGGCAATATTGCAGATGTAGCTGACGATTGTCCTGGCGGCGTTCAGGCAGTTAATGCAGGCGTTGTTTAGCCATGACGGAAGTTCGGGGGGAGGTTGATGGCCTGGCTGCTTGGAGATCTCGGTTTGCACTTTGCCGCGGATGATAACGAAGGGGCGGAAGAGGAGGAAGGACATGAAATTGTACACTAACATGTTGGTTAGCCGTAAGAAGCGTGAGAAGCAAGTAGACACAAACATGTGATTAGGACGACGGGTCTCATGCCGCGCGGATCACTAGAACGGGGAGCATCCAGCTCGAGGCCAAAGTCGGCCCGAGCCCTAGCGCGGAGGGCATCCATTTCTTTGCCGACCGCCATGGCGCAGTTCCACAGGACAGAAGGAGCGGCTTGCGGGCGATAGACCTGATGCACTATCTTCATCATCACCGTGGCGAACTGGAGCAGGGCGGAAAGAAAGATGTCTTGCGGGCGGGGGACTTGGCTGGTATTGAAGTATTCCAGCATGCTGGGTCGGCCCAGGTAGAAGCTTATCCATCTGCGAACTGTCAGCACTTCCCACCACGGGGTTGAGAAAAAGATGTCACATTTCCATGAAATACAGGGACGAGAAGGTATGCTGTCGTTCCATGGTCTCAAGGCTATCGTCTTCATTGAGATGAGTTTGTTGTCGGTGTAGCCCAGCAGCAAAGGCCTTGCGAGAGGTGTCACCGATGATCATGTATGCGATATTGGACTGGGCATACTCCAAATTGAACATGGCGTGGAGACTTCCTTTCAGTCAGCAACAGCCATACATGCTTTAGTCAGAGACTTATCATCAGAATCCCCAGTTGGATACATTCCAAGCTGACGACGTACTGCATCTTTGAGCGCTGGCCTTCCACGTATTCGGCCAGTCCCACGCCGAGCTCGAAATGCTCCGTGTTTGCTGCAGCAGTAGCCATAGCCATGATGCAGATATTTTGCTGCACCTCGCTAAATTGGGTAGTTCCATGATCGGTAGCATACAGGGCCTTTAGCAGTTGGTCATATCTGGTTTTTGGAAAGAACGGTACTATGTTGTAATGCGTTGCTAGGAATTGGTTCAACAGAGTGTGCGCAATATGTGGCGGGGGCAGAGGTCTGTTGACTGGCACAGACGCGTCAGCTGCGGACCGCATGGAACTCTGCCCGAAGAAGATATGGCGGACGCGGAAAAAGTCCAGCCCTTGACCAACCTCTTCCTGTTGGTTCCGGTTATGGTCACTGGCCGAACTGAGGTAGAGGGTGTGGTAAAGGTGTTGCAGCAGCGAGAAGTCAGAGGTCGGCCCATAGTACAATTCTACAGAGCCAGACGGAGAGCGTTGTCGCGCAGACACACTCTTGTGGACATCCTTGTAAACGTCGGACGGCTGATGCCGCTGCCTCTCCGTGCTGTGAAGCTCCACTACAGCCGGTTGATCACCCGGATGCTGCTCCAGTTTCTCGTCTGAGGGGGAGTCAGTGGCCCCTCGACGCACTCGAGCTCGCTCCCGAAAGACACAAGCCGTATTGCGCTGCTGACATGGGGTGCATGGGTTCAATCCATCACACCGAACCTTCCGAGCTCGACATTCCTGGCATGCCTTGGAAATCTTTTTCCTCAGCATGGCGCTGCTGGATGATCAGAAGTAACTATGGGATCAGAGGCTGTGGTTACGGACTTCACAGTAACAAAGTTCGAAGACATTCAACAGCACGTGACCGAGTCAGGAGGGGTTGACGTCGTTATTCATATTAGAAACAGCAGGCGGTGAGGCTTTTCTTTTCCCCAACCTTATTCTTTTTTTTTTTTTTTCCCTTTTTCTTCAACCAATCTTACTTGGTTCCATTTTTTCCATTTTTGATTGAAATTTATTTTCCCCCTGAAGCCGAGCTGTAATTACCGATTACTATTAGTGTTACTCTGCCTCCAATCAAAAAATGTTTATTAATCCGTACTAGTATGTAGTGTCTAACTATAATATACTGCTCGCTAGAAGCATTTCCCAGCTCATTAAGGTTCATCTTGAGAAGCCATTTAGGGAATCAAAGTATGTTACACTTGCTGGGCAGCCCACAGAGACCTCCCTCGACTTCCTCCGACTCCCTCTCTGGATCTAGCCTTGCCCCTTGAGCTTCGCGCTCTTTCACGTCCTGCCTACCGAGCTCCCGACTCATTGCATCCCCTCCAGAGCTATCATGTAGTCAAGCAGAGTTCAGCCGAGAAACGTGACTATAGAACGCGTTGCCCTGAGCCTCGGCAATGGAAAGCTCGAGCTCGCTGGGCTGGCGGGAGCCATCTCCTCCCTGTCAAGTAATTTATATTAGCTTGCCCTTAAATGTCCCGAAGAAGGAAAGAGATAAAAGGGGGGTACCAACAGCAAAGGTTCCTGCGCCCCATGCGCTGCCACCATGGATCTCAGACATGTTCGTGAGAAGCGGAAATGCAGTCTTATAACCTAGCGGCACGTAGATGAAGCCATGGTGCGCGAGCGTGCTCATCGCCGCTAGCGCAGTAGACTCCTGGCCACCACCGAGTGTGCCGGTAGAGACAAAGAGACCAGCATACTTTCCCCAGTAGCCGCCGGTGGCCCAGATCTTACCGGTCCGGTCCCAGAAGGCCTTCCACTGCGCGGGGAAGTTACCGAAGCGAGTGGGAATACCGAAGAGGACGGCGTCGTACTCGAGCAGCTGCTCTGGCTGAATGACAGGAACGGAAGACTTTTGCGGGGCGTGCATCAATTGTAGCACCTCGGCGGGGAGGGTCTCCTCGATTCTTATAGGATGCGATTAATGCGCTGATTGTTAATTACAGTGTGAGGGTGGCTCACTGGTAGAGGTCTGCATTGCCACCTGCAGCTTGAATACCCTTCAACTCGGCCTGAGCCAGCCGCTCAATATGACCGTACATGGAGTACTGATCAGGAGTAATTAGCAAATGGTCAAGATGAGCTATCCGGCAGTTACCGTCCAACGTACAAAGACGATAGCAATCCTGGGAGCCATTGCGACGAATTGATTTATGACAAAATACAATGATCTTGTTGCAGTAGAATCTGAGAGATGACGAGATGTAAGAAGCACCCTTTTATAAAGTCGCTGGTATGCGCGTGGCCAAGCCCAGGTCTCACATCGCTTGCTCTCGTAATCCAATGTCCTTCTTACCGGAATTCGGATTTACACGGGTTTCGGACTTGACAAGCTGTGGCGAGAAAAGGTGTATGGACCGGGTACCATCTACAAGCTCGGCCCTTCTGTGCTGTAGAGCCACCGGTACAATCATGTCGTATTTATTTACTGTGGCAGCAGGCGCACTGCTGCGTCAAAGATCAGTTTCAACTTACTTCCATTGCATGTCCCAACAGTCGTCTCGCAGTCGCGCCAGACAGTTCCGGTGCTGCTCCATAGGCCACCTCTTTACCAGTACCATCGCCATGAACAACACCGCAGAAGAGCTTCCGCCACTATCGGTGCAGGATTTCAGAATATACAACCGAGGTGCAGAAAAGATGGACTACTTTGTAAGGCTCTCCTTTCACCCAACCATGCTTATGAGATTACTAATCAAACTTGCAATCTCATTGCAGCACGGCTTCCTCCGCCGATCCTGGAATATCCTCTGGGATGCCGCTACCAGCGGCCAGCGGCCGTCCAATATGACTGTCCGGCAATTTATTGCTGAGGGCCTGCAATTTGCCGACCACCTCGAGACTCATCATGGGATTGAGGAAACTTACATCTTCCCCTACCTGGCGAAGAAGATGCCGGAATTCCGCACGGGGCGCGGGCGGCACGCCGCCGAGCTTCTGCGGCAGCATAGAGAGATCCATCATGGCCTAGAAGAACTCCGGGAGTACCTTGCCAGGTGCTCGCAGGGGGAAGAAGATCTAGATCTGCGGGTGCTCAGGGGCAAACTGGAAGGGTGGAAAGAGGTGCTATGGACTCACCTTGACCAGGAGGTAAAGACACTGGGAGCGGAGAATATGCGGCGGTACTGGACTAAGGAGGAAATGATGAGGATTCCCATGTAACTAAGTTAGAGTAAAAATGATCAACAGTAATCACTGCTTTGTGCTGGCTGAATGAAGTAGAAGAATTGGTTGATGGATTGGTTGAGCTAAATCCGGTACTGTCTTTCGGAATTAGACAAATCCGGGTGTTTCGGACTTACGCCTTGCCATCAGCCACTCTCTCACGTCCATGTGTGGATCTACTCGGGTAATTGACTTCTGCCCTAGTGAGTAATTATACTTTCTATTCTAAGTCTAGTCTATGTCTATTCTATGTCTAGTCTATGTCTAGTCTATGTCTGTTCTAAGTCTAGAATACATGATGATCAATGTTGTACAGAGCCTCCCAACTCGCCGCCAATCATTCCCCACCATCTAGTTTAGATGGCACCACGCATGGAACTCACAACGCCAACCCTCTAGCAAAACACCCCACCCGCCTGCCTCCAATTAAGCAGGAAATGAAGAAAGGAAACACATTTCCTCTGTAGTCTCTTCAAAGATACTGCTCGCCATAGCCAGTCCCCTCTCCACGCTGAACATCGGCCAGCGGCACACGACCATACTCATACCCAGACTCAGGGAAATCCCCCTCCAACACCGGCAGCGCCTTCTTCTTCCAAATCGCCTGGATCTTCTTAGCCGTGGTTAGGAACCGTTCCCGAAGAGCTGGATAGCCACTGGCAACAATCGCCCCATCTCGCTTCTGGAATGCCCCGCCCACAAGCACATGCTTGATGTCACCTACATTCGCATGCAGCACAACCGCAGCCACAGGATCATCCCACCCCAGCATACCGGGAGAGTTTCCATTCCAAACAAGAACATCGGCTTTGGCGCCCCGCGCAATAACACCTAGATCCGGCCGGCGCAGCGCCAGCCCTCCCCTCTGCGTCGCGAGCAGGAACGCCTGGTTGACCGACATAGGGTTATTGGCGGGGATGTTCCAGTTGTTGAGGACCCAGCGGTAGAAGGTCACGCGGGCGCTCTGCAGCCACATCCGGGCTTGCGTGAGGATGTCCGAGGAGTAGGTAAAGTGGGTGTCGACGCCCAAAGCAGCTTGGTCCTGCACTAGGTGGCTATAGGGGTGGTCGTGCCCGTAGTGCATTTCAGACTCGGGGGTAATGGATAGGTACTGGTTGGTGCTGCGGAGAAGAGAAGCACCCTCGCCGGTGAGGAAGCTGCCGTGTGAGAAGACCACGGGAATGGAGGTGTTGAGGATGCCGAGGGCTTGGAGGTCTTCGGGGGAGTTAATAGCTGCGTGGAGAGATTAGTTAGTCAGTGCTCGAGTTACGGAGCAGGGGTCAGCTGGATGCATACCTCCCCATATACCCTGGAGGGAGTGGGTTGTGATGGCTGAGACGTTGTATTTCTTGGCAAGAGCAATGATCTCCTCTGTCTCAGAAGGACTGCCCGGGTTGAAGCCGTCATAGGCAATTCCCAAGGTCGTGGCAGTTCCGTCCAGGCGGCCACTTCTGGCCACCTCTTCGAACTTGGCCACCTGCTCGGCGAAGGTAAAGTTGGTCACGTTGTGGAAGGTAAAGCACCAGGCCATGCGGACGCCACTGTCAATGGAGGCTTGCAGACCGGCGTCGGTTGTTTCATTGGACCAGGTGTGGTGGGCGTGATCGAGGATGGTGGTGACACCCGCGTTCATAGCTTCGTAAAGACCCGCTAACTGGCTGATGTAGACGTCCTCAGGGGTATACTCGCCGTTGACGGAATACTCACTGTAGCGGTCAAAGTATTCCGCCAAAGTGGTGTTGGATCCCAAGGTCTTGAACGCAGTTTGCCAACTATGCCGGTGGGTGTCGATGAAGCCGGGAGTGATGATGTCACCAGTTGTGTCGACAACTTCAACGTGCGAAGGCAGCTGACCGTCATAGTTGCCGGAGTAGACTGCCTCAATCGTGTCGTCCACGATCAGGACTGAGCCGTTTCGAACCACTTGGAGACTCTGACTAGTGGCATCATAGGCAATGACGGTGCCGCCGGTCAAGAGCTTAGAGTTAGAGTTCGCGTCTGCTGCGGCTGCAACTGCACCAGCAGCAGTGGCCACTGTTAGAGCCAGGGAAGAGATGGAAGGAACGATCATCGTACTGTCCTTCTGTCCTCTGAAGAATGGATGCGTAGTATGATGTATCTCAGCTCCAGTAGCGAGGGTCTTGATTTATAGTTCGCAGAATGCATCAACATGTCAATATCATGTAATTGAGCCCCACGATGATAGACGAACCTAAATGATCCGCCGGAATTACGAAGCGCGGAATAAACGGATTTAGTAAACTCAAGGCTGATCAACCTTACCTTTTCCGGACTGAGCTTGGCAACAACAGGAGAGGCAAGGCCAGCCTCGGCCAAGGAGCCGATCGATGAAGTATTAGTAATAACAGGTACGGAAAAAGTTGGAATTAGTGAACTAAATCCGTGTCTATTTACCTAATTATGGAATCGAGACTACTAGTTCGGTCCTGGGATCCGAGAAACCAGTCCTGGTGGATCTAGAATGTGAGAAATAAACGATGGAGGATAAAAAGGCACGAGGCGAAGAGCATACAGAGTACATATCTCACAACAGGAAGGAGACATACCGATACCATGCGCGCCGTTGTATCTGCCAGCCTCTTGTCGTAGCATGCATACCGCTGCAAAACCTTTAATTTTCGCCTACGTAGTGGAAGTGACGCACTGTAGAGATTAGCTTCAAAGAGCTCTGGTCTATAGTAGAGAGGTAAACAGGTAAGACTGATCTGAGCTTAGAAAGTCTGATAGGCGTATGAGCTTATCGAATGGAGGAAGCCATGGTAGTAGGTTGCAGATCGTGGAAGGATTCGTACCACGAGACTAGTAATGGAGCTTGTAAGGCACTATTTATGTCATCTAGTCAAGTGCGGGGAACCCCGTGGGCGACCCCAACCCGGCAACATTCTTCTTTTTTTCCCCCTTGGCACTCCCTGCATCATTCAGTATGGCGACTGGCTTGAACCGCGAAAGGCGTCGGCGGCGCAAGACGGCACAGGAGGAGCGCATCTGTCCCATTTGCTCCCAGTCGTTCAAAAAGGCAGAGCACCTGGCTCGCCATTTTCGGACACACACCAAGGAGAGACCATTTATTTGCGTGAATTGCGGCAAGTTCTTCGCGAGACAGTATGTGGAAAACACCACCTGCAGTCCCAACCAAGCCTGATCGATCTAGGGACACCCTTCTACGCCATTCTAGGTCTCATCACCGGAATACGAACGACTGCAGTAATGTGCTAGCAAGCAATGCCTCTTGTCAAGATGACCCTTCTCAGCAGAACGTACATATAGCCCCTTTGACTTCGTCCGAGCATACTATATCTATGCCTGAACAGGAGCCGCCACATCCGCAATGCCCACTGCTCACCAACGAGCCGGATTTGACAATAACCACCTCTCCTACACACACGCCGGGAAACTTGCCGATTGACGCTACCTTCGACACTGACTTTTTCCCAGATGGTGGCGGTGACATCTTTCAGCCCCAAACTACTAGCGGGCCCGCATTATGGAACTGCTTGTGGGAGACAGACTGGATCTCGTGGCTAGAGGGATCCGAGTTTACTATTGGCGATTTCAATCTGACCTTACCTATAATAGGAAGCACAGAGCAGTTAGACACTCCCTTGACTACCAACATGGGCGCCTCGGATTCTATCCAACGCGGATGGCATACCTTCTCTGAGGCAACCATCTCCTCAAGGGAGGACTCCCCGGATGCCACTACTAGCAGCAGTGGATTGGCCGGCGACATTCAGACCCACGCAGATGACGCGTACAGGAAAAAGCTAGCAGAGACTCTGCAGCAGCGAGTACAGCAGCCAGATAGCTTACCCTCCGCCACTTTCTTGGTACGACCCTAACCTGTCCACCCTCTCCGGAGACGGCCCTGATGATGACTTCAGGACCTTTGCATCCGGGCTTACTTTACCCACTTCCATCCGATCTTTCCGTTGATCCATGCAGCGACATTTCAGCCTTCTAAACAGAACGCGGTGCTACTTCTCTCCATCTGCTCTATCGGGAGCCTTTGCCTCGGATCGGCGAGAGCTGTTGCCCGTGGCATTAGCATGTTTGAGCGCCTGAATAAGGCTATGCTGGCTTCGGTATTTGCTACCAACTGTCACTACTATGCGGCGTTTAACAGAAGTATGCAGTGGGACACCTACATATCCGCAAGGGGTTCACTCCGAATCTTTGGTCTGCAAGCTGCTTTGATCGGTCAGACGTTTGGTCTGTTGGTTGGGGTGTGCCTTCCTTTCCACCCTTTCCTTTGTGGTATACTGACGAACCGCCTATACTAGAGACCGAAAGACCTGACTGGGAGCGAGACTTTCCATGGATGTCTCATTGCGGTAATTACCTACTCATTTGTACGGAAAAATATGCTGATCAGCTACAGTGGGCGCGCAAAGCTGGTCTATTCAAGCTGCAAGGCGAAAATGACATCGCAGCCGAGATTCGAGAGATTGCTGACGACAGCCCAGCCCTCAACACTGCATGGAAGGCTTGGAGCCGCTCAGAGGAGAAGAGAAGGTAGGTAAAAGATGTGTACACTCTGCCCACGTAGTAACTAATGTCAAAGCGAAGAGTTATCCTAGCTATTCACATCCACGACGCAGAGCTCACCAACCTGCACCACCACGAGCCAATCCTCCGCCATACCTCAGAGAGCCTCCCCTGCGTATCCCCTCCAGAACTGTTCACAGCACCCAACGCCCGCACCTGGAAATGCCTTCTTTTAAACTCCACAGCACCACCCCGTCACACGGCAACCCCATCCCACACCACAGAGGCAGCCACACGACTGCCTCTCAACCGCCTCGCAGCGAACGACTTCCTCTCGTACGGCCTCCTTCAAGGCATCGGGACCTGGATACACGAACACCGAGCTCCCGTCAGTGTCCACCAATGCGAATCCCTCCTGGCAACGTGGTACCGACAATTCAAGCAGTCGTGCGATCCGACGAAGCCCGACCCATTCTGCCAAATGATCCTTTGGCACGCCGTAGCCATGCGCCTCTACGCCCGCTTTGACGAGCTCGAGTGTGCCTTGGGCAGGGAGGGCCTGCGCGCCGCCCAAGAAGCCTCGGCCTACGCGGCAGCCTGGGCGGGCTCACTCGACGCCAAACGCTGTTTGCTCCATGCAGTGTTACTACAGCGACAATTCCAGGCAATGAAAATTGGGGTCGAGCCTGCTATACATGTGCCTATGGCCCTGTATTACTGTGGGATTGCGTGGGCCTCGTTTACGCGCTTTGGGACTGGGGATGGCGTGTCGAATTTGGGTGTTAATTTTCCGGAATTCAGAATACTGGGCTTGGATCAGGGTAAGCTATTCCGTGAAGCTATGAGGGGAGTCCAGTGGGGAATGACGGCCTCAGGTCCGTTTTCCATGATTATCAGCTTGCTGGGGAAGATTGACCATTGGAAGGTTGCGGAGAGATTTGCAGGAACTTTGTTGCGGTTGCAGGATGTGCTTTGATTTGAGTATATAGACATAGTATACCCCGCATACTAGGAATACTGGGCTTGATATCTTACTACTTATTTCTCAAGGCCAGCCTACAAACCAATCCGTGCTGCTTGGCAAAGAAAAACGTTCTGACCCGCCACTCGTTCTCGTGCGAAGCCCACTCGATCTCGAAGTGCCGCAACAACTGCGGCACAAGCTTGCCCATCTCCATCATAGAGATGTTTTTCCCAATACACGTCCGCGAGCCGTAGCCGAACTGGTCCAACAAGAAAACAAGGGTTCAGATCAAGAACTCGAAAAGTATTGGCTAATCTCATCAATACGTACCGTCAGCAAATGTCGATCCATGATCTTGACCTGTTCCTCGGTTGACTCAATCCACCGCTCGGGCCGAAACTCGCCAGCATCGTCCCCAAAGATGCTCGTGTCGTGATGAAGTACTGCCGGATTGATCCCTACAACTGTTCCTGCGGCCAGATGTACTCCGCAGAGGTCCGCCCCGCCCTCTGGTACGACTCTTTCAAGCGGGAAAGATACGCCTGGGTGACAGCGCATTGCTTCTTTTATGACAGCTTGGCTAGTGCGTGGAAGGCGCTTGCATCAATATAAGGATCCTGTTATGTGCTGCTGCGGAGCAAAGCTTACAGGTATTCCAGCTCCAGGCACTCGCCGTATGCTACATACCGGGAAAGCTTTCCTGCCTGGTCGGCCTCGTCGATCTCCTTCTGCAGGTTTCTATACACTCGCGGGCTTTTTACCAGGTAGTAGATGATTGCTCGCAGTGATATGGCAGTGGTGTCGCTTCCGGCCAGACTGCCACATGTTAGCTTTTCCCCAGTGCTGAAGGGGTAGGGAAAATGCAGTTAGGCTCCCACAGATTGTTACTGAGGTGATTGATCATATCCCTATGCGACATGGGTTTCCCCTGGACTTCCTGGGCCTGGAGCCATGAGAGGAAGTCCGGTCTGCCGTCATGATCCGATGCAGATTTCTGGTTGTACTGCTCCATGCATTCCTGCGTATACTGTGGATATGGATTAGTTACTGGTATATCACGATGGTCTGTGAAGATGTCGGCCTAACCTCTACAATAGTCCGCAGCGGATTAGGAATATCAAAGAATGGCTGCATCTCCAATACCTTGGCGACAACACGGCTTCCCATCAGCCACGGATGAACAGCCGGGATTTGACCAATTATTGATGCATAGTGGAGGCCCGAATCAATGGCGCCTATCATCCCGTTGATATCCCTCTGTTCCTCCATGAAGCCGAATCGCCGCTGGAAGCTTATGGCCCCGATCACGTCAAAAGCATACCATTGCAGCCAGGTGGATAGATCAACAGGCTGGCCCTCAAGACTCCTCATCGCACGAAGGAAGATCTCATTGCATTCATTAACAAGGGGCTCCATCAGTTTGACTGAGGACATGGAGAACTTCTGTGCAACCGGTCGTCGCAGTGCGCGGTGCTGGGCTGGATCCCGGACTGAGAACATACTCGCCATCGGGGAGTCTTCGTAGAGAGGACTGGAGACGTCGTAGTACGCAGACTAGCCCTATTTAGTTATTTGACCTCCCAGTCCGCGATGCTGATAATCAACGGTCTATACAATAATACCTTGAGAAACCCACTACTGATACCATACACCACGGCGAGCGCGGCGGGGTCTGAGATGTCGACTGTCTCGGGCCCTGTTCGTACAATACGTCCATACCTTCTGTGCAATTCGCGATAGGCCTCAGGGGCATTCCCCTTGGCCACGAGCCATGGACGGTAGAGGGTGGTAAATTTCGCTAGCAGTGGGCCTGGGACAGATGCCAAGGGTTGCTTGTAAGCTCTCAGAAGTGAAAGGAAGAAAGCATACAGCAGAGCAGTTGAGATTGCAATGACAGCGGCAGGGATGGGGTGCATAAGAAGGCCGCGGGCCTCTTCGAAGAGAGACCAGTCAATCATATTTCGAGAATGAAGGCAGATCTGGTCATAAGGCTGGCTACCATGAAACAGCACTTCTTTTAACTTGAGTCTGGATATTACCATCCCCGCGTCACATGGATCATGTACACCCTGTGTTGAGCTCCCCGCAATGAATCTCCCCCGCTATTCGACCCCATGATATCATAGTATAACCAATCACGGTTCTGCTAGCTGCGGGGTCTATCAAAAGCACGGAGACTCTTGCACAAGGAGAGTCCTAGAATTTCCTTGCTCCCCGGTCTGCTTACCTATTCGCAACGCTTCTGGTGGGTCTATGGTCAGCATAATACACAGTATGTAAGTCCTGTCGTCCAGATACTAGGTTGATTGCTTTGTAGTGTGCGGCCTTTATTCTCTATGCTAATGCTTACAGTTTTCCCCGCTACTAGCACGTGTGACCTTGGCACAATGTCTATAGATACGCAATTCTGTTCTTAACCATCCCAACCCCTTCAACTTCGACCTCAACCACATCGCCATCTTGCAAAAACTCGCTGGTAAAAAACCCCACCCCCGCCGGTGTCCCAGTCAAAATAACAGTGCCCTTCCTCAGCGTTGTTCCTCGGGACAGATGCGCAATAATCTGCCGGACCCCCCATATCATGTCCCCCGTGCTTGTCTCCTGCTTCACCACCCCATTCACCCGCGTAACCAGATTCAGCGCCTGGGGATCGCCCACCCGGGCCGCAGAGACAACCACTTGTCCGACCGGCGCGAACTTATCGAATGACTTGGCGTAGCAGAATTGGCCCCCCGAAGCTGCGGGCAGCTGGAAGTTGCGTGCCGAAAGATCGTTTCCCGCTGTGTATCCCAGCACATAGTCTAGAGCCTGCTCTTCCGACACGTTCTTGGCGTCTTGAGCAATGATCACAGCGAGTTCGCCCTCATAGTCGAGCTGTGGCTGGGCGTCTGGGTGGATCTGGATGGTCTCAAAAGGGCCGGCCAGGGCGTCGGCGGGTTTGGTGAAGACAGGTGGGTAAAGGGGGATAGGGAGCTACTTGGATCGAAGAAGGTTGTTAATCCTTGTCATTCTTTTGGTGTGTAATATGATGCGGGTGTGGGACGTACATTGGACTCCTGGGCGTGGGCATGATAATTTAGTCCGATGCACATGATGATTGGAGTGTGCTCGATTGGGCAGAGGAGCTGCACATCATATCAGCAATATTCAGACAATGGGTCAGTAGAATCATTTGTCGTACAGTCTCTACTTCATGCTGCTCATTTGTCGGTTGTAGTCCATCGAACGGATTCCCCTCGTATCGCTGGATGCGGTATTTCTCATTGGCGGTGGAGAGGAGCTCCCCGTAGTGGATTTGGTCTCCGACGGCAAAGCGAACCAACTTCTGGAAGACGGCCATTTTTAAACATGTGACTGGGGGAATTGAACGTATCTATGTATGTGGCATCTTATATATGGGAGGCGGGGAGCCCGGGGGGTGTGAGTTGCCGCATAGTCCCCGCAGACTGTGTGGCAACTATCCTCCTCAGGTGGAGCGGAACCACTATGGGAATGCTGCTTAGTGTCTCTCAAAGTACCTAGTATGATTTACTACACCATAACAAGGAACAGCTGAAGGCAATAAATACCGCCAGCAGTCCCATAATTTCAATCCAGCAAAATCTGAAAAGAATCTACAACAAACGATCCCTGCATAATGGCCTCGCCTGTCCTCCAACCCAACCGCAACATGTTGCAACCGGACACCGTCGCCATGGGCAAAGACCAGGAATCTCAGGAGAGCTGGCTCGAGAAACGAGGAATTGACCCAGGCAGTCGAATCCGTCTCAAGAAGCTCTCGCACGTTCGCTACCAGCATCCCAACCTAGACGAAATCCACCAATTTCTTCTGAACTTTGGACTCCAGGTTGCCCAAAAGACAGACCAGGAGGTCTGGTACTCGGGCTATGGGCCGGATGCGTACGTGTACTATGCGAGGAAGGGTCCACGGAAATTCCTTGGTGGGGTCTTCGAGGCCGAAAGCCGTGAGGACTTTGACCGGTAAGCCAAAGCCGTGAATTGGCAGAAATGAGTCTAATAGGGGGTATTGACTATAAATAATCAAAGAGCATCTCGCCTTCCCAGTGCAGGAGCAATTGAAGAACTGAAGCACGCCCCGGGATGTGGGTTACTACTAACATTGACGGACCCAGAGGGGTTCCCGTTTAATTTGATCTATGGGCAGCAGGAAGTCACCGCCAAACAAGACCTCTTTTTTGACAAGGTCCTTCTAAACTTCCCCGATGATAAACCACGCGTTAGGCAGTTCAACCGGTTCCAACCAGGCCCAGCCGCGGTGTATAAGGTATAATGTCTAACCCAATCCGATCTCAGTCTCGTCTAAGACATACTCAAAGCTAGGCCACTACGGTATGAGCACCCAGATGTTCGACTCGCAACTGCACTTCTACACCTCCACCTTCAACATCAATCCCACCGACTTCGTCTACATGGACCAAAACGGGGAGCGGATCCCAGTAACCGTCTTCATGCACCTCGATCTTGGCGAGACATCCGTCGATCACCACTCGCTGTTTCTCAGCCTCAACCCAACCTGGGCACATGTCCACCATTGCTCCTTTGAAGTACACGACTTCGACGCCCAGCAGCTTGGTCATCAGTGGCTGGCGCAGAAGGGGTACCGGCCTGCGTGGGGAGTAGGTCGGCATGTTCTTGGGTCGCAGATCTTTGATTATTGGTGGGATGTCTCGGGGAATATGATTGAGCATTATGCGGATGGGGATTTGGTCAACCGGGATACACCGGTGGGATTTGTTGAGGCTGGGGAGGACACGTTGGCAGTATGGGGACCTAAAGTGCCTGCTGAGTTTGTGGAGTGAGTATGGCTTGACTACAGCGTACATAGCAGGGTTGGTTGATATGATTTCCTGTCCCAAGAATATATAGTCCTCTCCTGGTCGTAATCCTATTCTTACAAAAGCAGAGTACACGAATGTAGTGGACAGTCATTGGGCTAACCGCAAAAAAAGTTGATGACAAAGAATCAAGCCTAGATGAGAGAACACAGCTAGTATCCGCTGCTCTTGAGACACGACAAATGCTTGACCAAGCCCAGCTCACTATCAGTCTTTCAAAGGCAGAATGTCCGGGTAAGGCCCCACTGGAACAATTACCGAGGCAGCCCGATCCTTCCTACTCGCTTTGAGGTATCCAGATTTATACTAACATGATTAGCACCTGCCTTGTATAACCGGACTTGTTCCACTTACAATGTCAAAAAAGGTCGTTTTCTTGAAGGCACCCCGCGTCCTTTCGGTTTCGTCGTGATACAATCGCCGGTACCACCGATCAATCAGCGGATAATCATAGCGAATCATTTTCAGGTTGCACCGAAAGATCCCGTAGTAGGCCACGTCAAAGCGACAGATCGTCGTGTATAGCCGGATGTCTGCATCGGTGATGTGTTCACCAAATAGATACGGGAGGTGCGGTTGTTGGCTCAGGCGGGCCTCCACAAGGTCCAGTGCCTGAAATAATGGATAGACATTTTCCTCATACGCCTCCTGCGTCGTCGCGAAGCCAGTCTTGTACACCCCGTTGCTGATCTTGTTGTATACCCATTCATTGAAGGTGTCGATTTCGGCCCGCAGATGCACGGGGTAAAACCCCCCACCTGGATGATTGGGTTCACGCCTATGTTCTTCCAGGAGACCATCGAACTCAGTATACATCATTCTGATAATCTCGCTGCTCTCATTGTTGACTATCGTCTCTTTCTGCGTGTCCCAGAGGACCGGAATCGTGCATCGGCCTGTGTACTCTGGATCCGCCTTGAGATAAAGTTCCCTCAACAGCGTGAAACCGTACCGTGGATCTTTTTCTGCTGTTCCCAGCCGCCCGGAGAAAAACCACCCGTCCGGACCAAGGTCGGGGTCCAGAACGACTAGCTCAATAATATTCTCCAGTCCTTTGAGTGTGCGGACAATATTGGTGCGATGCGCCCACGGACAGCCCCAGGCTAGGTATAAGACATACCGGTCCTTTTGGGCGGGGAAGTCGGAGCTTGGATCACTTGAGACGTAGTTTCTGAATGACGACGGCTTTCGGCGAAAATGGCCATCTGAGTCAGCGAAGCTGTGGGTTTGAGCCTGGTGGCGTTAGCTTGGGGCGTTCTGTGGATGTGAGGGGGTATACCTTGTCAGTCATGATGAATTTACACGTTACTACGTTAGATTTGAGAAGCCGCAGCAAACAGGAAGGTGGTGACACAATAAATAAGCACTGTGTTGCGGAACCAGCCGGATTTATCGGATTAGCTGGGGCGAAAATATGTACCGACTTGTATTAGGTTTCTACCGTATTACTTGGTTCCAGTCTTGAGACTGACGTAGTGCTAGGGCTGAAGATCCCCTATAATAGTGCAGCAACTACGCTGTTTCTTGCCTAGTAGTGAACAAAATAATGTAACCCACTAAATTTGTAAAACATTTATTGACAGAATCAAAGATACCTCGTTGCAATCCAAATTTCCCAGTACAAACGCCCAAAAAGGACAGACAGCCCACAACCCAGATTATATATCATGCCGCGCAAACTTGCTAGCCAGCCGGAATCGCCGACCACGAAAGTAAAGGAAAAATGGATAAGGCAAGAAAACGACACAGAGGCAACCTAGGAGCGTGCACGCCCACCCAATGCCCAAGTTATGGAACATGGCTGTTGCAAACAATGGGAAACCAGCGCCAAACGAAGAGCGGAAGAAGTCGTTTCCTGCCAGCACCGAAGCAGCATACTTAGGGTAGGCGTGTGTCTGGTAACAGAAGATGGCGTTGAATATCAGCACCGCCCCGACAGTAAAGACTAATGAAGCTAAGACAGGTGCAATCCAGTGGATGGATGCAAAGTTGCCTGTCCAGCCAAACCAAAAGAGTGAGATCGGCAGACAGACGGCGCCGAAGCAAGCTGGAGGCAGCTGTTGCTCAGGAGCGAGGTTGCCATTGCTGTCAATTTGCTTGGACTGCCGAGTATATTTCCAGTAGAAGTATCCTGGCACTGCGACACAGCAGGCGCCTACAAGACACCCAAGAAAGGCAAGGCCGTTTTCACCTGGGTTGAAGCCTCGCAGCTCCTCGAAGACTATCGGAAATGCTTCGAACCAGATGTAAAGGATGCCGTAAATAAGGGCGATGTAGAGATTCATGAGAAAGACGATCGGTTCAGTGAAGCAGAGCTGGAACGGGCGAATCAATGCTTCAAACACAACGCTCTATAAACTCGTTAGTCACATTGACATGAGGTAAGTTAGGCTGCGCGTGTGTCACCTACCGTCTTCTTCATATTTGACAGCTCAATCTCCGCTTCGCAAAAAAGGTTCGGGTTTCCCGTGATCTTGCGCAGTCGGCGGGCCCGGCGGTACAGAATGTTTGGAGCAAACGTCTCTGGCAGGAAGATTAAACAACATACGAGCACTGCGCCTGACATCCAAAGCAACGGCCATATTGTCCAGGTCCATCCCATGGCGGAGCTGGCGAAGCCTCCGATAACGGGGCCGAGAACTGGGGCTGAGACAGCAAAGCAGCCCCAGATGGCAATCATGTAATCGCGCACACGAGAGTCCCAAATGTCCCCCATAGAAGCTGCTCCGCTGGCAAGAACAGGGGAGCCAAACATCCCGGTAAGAAACCGAAAGGCAAGAAACATGCCAAAGTTTTTAGCATATATCACAGCAAAGTTGAAGAAGACAAACACCGTCAATGTTGTCATGTAGATGGGTGTTCTTCCAATGACCGGAAGTTCTCCTAAAGGCGACCAAAGCATGGGTCCTGTTTCATAGCAATTAATATGAGCGACTAGCCATTTCCATGGGCTAACCAGAAAGGCGGAGGTTCATACCTATTCCATACCCAAGCACGAAGAGCGTCAGTCCTAGCGTTGCAGCCACTGTACTGACGTGAAATTGTTCGCTAACACCGGGGATTCCCGGGGTGTAGATGGCAGATCCGATGTAGATGGCAAATGTGAGCACCCATATCTGCAGGCTGACAAAGACTTTTCTGCTGAGACTCCAGTTCTGGGGGTTCTACTGTAATGTTAGTCACAGTCTGCAAAAAGGAATTCCGGCGTATTAGTCGCACCTCGCTGTCCCCTGACTCCCTCCATGTGATTATCTTGAACTCGTCCCCGAATTTCACCACACTTTCTGGCCTATCATAGGAGCGGCTCTGGGTCGCCTGCGACAAGACCGTATAGAGACCATACGAGTCTGTTGGCTCCGGGCTGAACTCGGGATCGTGTGGGTCTTGCGAGTGCTGAACATATAAGGACCAGGCTGAAGGACAAGTCTCTTCCGGATAGGGCAGGACTCGGCCTCGTGTGAGGACGCGGATCAACTTGCCCAAGGTAGTGTCCCGAAAAAGTTCCATTGCGTATGTGCTGATGATAGGGCTACATATGGTTTCCAAGGCATACTTTTATACTCAGCACCAACAGTCTGGTGCCTTCGCTCTGGTAGTGCGATGATGCGTGGAATCCCGGAAATGCGCTAAATCCGTCAACTCCGCAGCTTATTCCGCCGGCCCAACCATGGTTTGATCTACATATCCATGGAATCGCTTCCTCCCTGCCAATAGGGTTATTCTTTCACTATTGATTCCCTCGAAGTCTAGGCCACAAATAGTGGACGATCAAAACTTTGACAGAACCTTAATTTGACTTTTTTGCCCCTGAAACTCATACTGTGCTTGTTTGCCGAGTTGTTGCTGCATTCTTGGACATGGAATATAGTGGATCTATTGGTAATCGAGGACAGAGATATACTATTCACTGATTCAAGAGGTACTTAGTAATGGAAGATGTTCTCCAATAGCCTATGTCGCAGTAGAAGAGTTTGAGACACGTTCTAAGCAGCGTTACTGCACCACATCGGGAGTTGCTCTCTGAAGATGACTCTAGAGGTAATACTAATTTGGGAACACATGAAGAGGAAAAGGGAACTTCAATCAACTTGTACTTAATATAAATATATCTTAAGGCTATCTTAACTTTATCTGAAGGCTATTAAGTCCTATACAGAAGAATGGACTTTTTACCAGCAGCTCTCCAGTCCTTGTCTTCTTGCTCTATTCACCGCTTAATTAGAGTAATAAACTTCTAGCCTAATAAAATTCATATAAGTGCTACTGCGTCTTACTTCAAACTTGTGTCTAACTTTCCTATTATTTCAAACATTTTCAAGTCAAGTGTCTTCCTCAAAGGCATGTTTAATTTTCCAAGAATTGAGTTTGATAAGTGAATGTGAATCGATTAGTAGTAAAGAAACGGTAAATAAATTATTATTAATTATTAATGAAAAATAGGGATATGTAGATAAGCAGTCCTGGTATTCTATTATTTATAGTGGAAAGGTACGGGATTCCCTGAAGCCTATGACACGCATAAGCCTAGTAAGTATACACAATACTGCGGAAATGATGTCATCAAGCTTCAACTTGCTATTCTGCCGCCTTACCCTCATCCAGCGGCTGAAAGATGTCCCTTCTCTTCACCACGCACTTGGAGGCCCCCTGGACCTTTGGGTATACCAGGACTTCTCCAAGCCGGCTGCAATAATCTGTGAACCCGCTTGTGAGACTCCACTCTGAACCCCGATCCAACTTCCGCTAGTGCACATTCGCTTAAACGGCACCATCCAATCAGCGTATGCCAGTGACATGCTTGCCGTCGAGTGCCCTGGGCGCTTACATGTTCGGGTCTATGAATACAATCCACCACCACACCAGTAGCAGGTCTTAATCGGTGCCCAAAACGTGCTATACTAAATACCCCATGGCCGGCCGTCTCAGAATCAACTCGTTACATGGGTTCACTTCATTCATTCATTCAGTGATACTATCAATTCCCAGGAGATACCACACAATGGCGTGTTCTGCTGCTGCCCAACCTGCGGCTACTATCCCCTCCTTCGTCAACAAACTTTCGTCTCTCGCTATCCCCGAAAGCGAGGACAACGCCGATATTCGCCAGAAGTATCGCCCCTTTCTTCTCACAGATGACGCAGCTGAGGACTGGGTCAATACGTTAGAGCTTACAACCGCCATGAAAATGGCAGCGCAGGAAATGCGAAAGTCAAACAACAGAATTAAAGTGCTAGTCTTGTACGGCAGTCTCCGTCGGAGGTCCTATTCGCGCCTGGTGGCTTTGGAAGCCAGCAGAATTCTCTTCCGCCTGGGGTGCGATGTCCGCGTGTTCAATCCCGAGGGTTTACCGGTAAAGAATGATACCGACCACGACCATCCTAAGGTACAGGAGCTCCGCGAGCTCAGCAAGTGGAGCGACGGGCATATTTGGGTATCGCCTGAGCAGCATGGGAATCTGGTTGGTGTCACCTTGCCTAGTGGTAACCGCGACCGGCTGGTTGATTGCATGGAGGAGTTTGTGAAATATACTATCGTCATGCGATCTCACCTGGAGCTTTTTGGTGATCGGTTCAGCGAGAGGGAAGAGAAGCGAAATAAGGAGATAAAGGAACGCGCCAAACAAGTTTAGCCCGGCCGGTGCTCCTTTGTAAATAATGTGCCGGACTCTCATTCTGTCAAATAGTTATAGAATGTCTAGGACAGCAACTCAATTCTCTTTGCTGCCCTTAACCGGCAGAACCCATCAAAGTAGTATATTTACTCAGCCCATGCGGATGCGTCGTACTCATTTATTAAATCCGTGTATTCTTTCCCTGCTGTCGCCCATCCTTTAATCCCCCCTTCCAGTACGAGACTCCTCAACCGAGTCTCTCCTTGTAGCTCAATGTAGTCGGCAAACCAACTCGCGGCCCGCACTCCACGGCCCTTCGATGAACCTGATGCCAGTGAGCATGTTATACCGCTCTTTACGGAAGGAAGTGAAGGTAGATGACAGACCACAGTACCAGACAACCTCCTTAACCGGGCTTTGGCTGAGAAGAGGATAGATTGTTGGGATCGTAGGGTATAGAGTCTGGGCGGGAAGGTTGATAGACCCTCGGATGGTGCCTCCCTAAAAAAATGTCAATTACCTCCACCTTTCATCCTAGCCAACTAATGTACCTCGAAATCCGCCCGACGTAGGTCTACTAATAAGAAATCACGCCCGGCCTGTCTACCCGAGCGAAACCAGTGCAGTACCTCCTCGCGACGGATACCGATCGCTGCGCTCCGAGGTGTGGGATAGACTGCATGCCAAGGAAGAGGATGTGTGTGCATTCTGACTTAATAGCGGTCATTTAAACAGAGATTATCAAGGATTGATGATTTTATTGGGAAAAATTCTCAGAGGATCGTTCATACTTAACTTGTTCTGGTTGGGTGAAGCCAAGATCGCTATTCCACGACAAGAATTCTCTGTTGGCCAATCAGCATCGACCAGTGACATTCAAGGGCAACATCGGCTCTGAATAACATCGGTTTGCTGGACCACTTCTCCTATTTCCATGTATAGAGCTTCTGAATTATTGTAAATGGCATTATTCTGGGGAACTATGTTTTCGGGAAGCCCTACGAGTGGATGGGGCAATTCACTCAACTTGATAAGCTACTGACAGTCTTGTTGCCGCATGATGTTTCTACCAATGTCACTTTGTCAGATGTGGAAATGCTTCGCGAGCCGCTGTCACAGTATATACGTGCATCTACTGTCATTCGCAATATTAGGATCGAATAGAGCGTCTCGATAATGCGAACGAGTGAATCAGACACTATTGAATGATTGCGATCGCACCAGGTCAATACCCGCGGTCTCCTCATGGTTGCCAGGCAGTTCGATCAAGATGAAACATTGAATTGGTGTTCATAATTCTTCATGATTCGCCTTGTGATGGCTTAACATCACGACCGAAGTAGACCCTCGCTGTTTCTGATACCCGGAAGACAACCCCGCCTCTCCACGCCACAACTAACGCCAATCACGCAATTCCACAGTAAGATTGATAATAACAATCCCCTGCCTGCCACCTTATCGAACCTATCATTGTCTCCGATGTCACGAAGTAATATAAACGAGGAGGACTACTTAAGTGCGGGCGTTATCCGTAGGATTGTCAAACGACATTCCGATGTGAATCTCGCCTTCTGCAATCAAACTCTTGTAATCAGCCACACCAAATGACCATCGACTCAGTACTTCCAGCTAAACTGCGGGTTGCTATAATTGGTGCTGGTCCTGCAGGACTGGGAGCAGCCATTGAATTTGCCAAACTGCCCTTTGTGGAACTACGTGTCTATGAGCAGGCTCGGGAGCTTCGGGAAGTTGGTGCAGGGATCAGCATCCAGCAAAATACTTGGCGTATGCTCGATGTGTTTGGTGTATATGACAACATCGACCCGAAAGATCTGTTCCGTCCGGCAGATGGGCACTCAGTTCAGCATCGGTGAATATTCATTCTCTATCCTATGGACTTGATGGACTTAACTGAGCCGTTGGTATATAGAAACGGGAGGACTGGGGAGCTATTGTTGTCGAAGGCACAGGAAGGTTTGGACCCTTGAAACTGCAATTGCCTAGCTTCTGACCATATCAGGCACACCTCCTCGCTATCTTCACGCCCGCACGCTGCGCTCCGTGCTGCAACAGGCTCTCTTAAAAGGTGTCGACAAATCGAAGCTCCGACTGTCAAGTCGACTCGCCGAAGTTGTCCAGCTCGCCTCTGGCGCATTCTTCTTACGCTTTGAGGATGGCCACACTGATGAAGTTGACCTTCTCGTTGGGGCTGATGGTGTCCGATCAGTCAGTGACCGAACCTTCTTTTACAATCGACCCTTCACTCACACTTTAGGTCGTCCGACAATTCGCCCACCCCGATCACCGTCTCAAGTACATCGGAACTACAGCATACCGTGCACTTGCAGATGCCCGTGACATCCTGAGTATCCCTGGAATCCCAGACTCCGTGACCTTCTGGCATGGACCAGCCGATCGTCTGTACACCTGCAATTTGAACAACAATGTTTATGAGATCGCTGCGCGAGTACCTCAAACTGCGGAGACTGCTCCAGTTAGTTGGGGGCAGGATGCAAGTGTGGAGGAGTTCAGCTGGAGATACAAAGTATGTAGCTTGGATTTCACCCCAACATAACCTCACTGACCATACCGAGTAGGACTTCTCACCAGCTCTTCAAAGCGTACTGGATAAGATCAAGGTAGTCAAGAAATTTGCACTTTTCTCTGGACCACGGTTGTCGAGTGTTGTCTCTCATGGATCGATCGCGCTTATCGGTGACGCGTCGCATCGTATGTTCTCATCGGTCTATGATTCGCCTAGATGCTAACCATATGCAGCTCTATCCGGTGCATTCGGTAATTCAAGTAAGTTCCATCAGGAAAGACGGAGTACTGACCGATCTAGGCGCTGGCGCCGCCTTTGCCCTTGAGGACGTTTACGTACTCACCCGCGCCGTGAAATGGGCCCACGAGCGAGGTCTTCCGATACAAGAAGGATTGGAACTCTTCGATAGAGTTCGAGCACCACATTATGCGGCCATGGTCAGTACCGTTGTGCAGATGTTCATCTCTACATCTACTAATGACATTGCAGTATGACATTCTGGATGGTTATGGAAAATCAGACGTTTCGGTTAAAGCAACGGACGACTTCGATGAAGCTGTATCGATGATTGTTGCCAACAAGTGGGATGATGACCATGGGTGGTTGTATAGCTATAATGTATGTTGCCATCGGAAATACTGGTTTAGAATACTAATCTGTGTCTTAGGTCGAGGAGGCGTGGAGGGAAACCTACGAGGCAGAGGATGCTCGGCGCGCCGCGGTGGAGCAGTCAGCTCGTGGAGAAGAGTTGAATTCGCGGCTGTAGACACAGAGGTAGGGTAACTTAGGCGATTTAGGGCAAGGGTCTCAGATAGGCGACGGATAGAATACAGGCATCAAGGGGGAGGACGCGATATGAATAGTCTTGCAAAGAAATGCTTCTCGCTCAGGCTCTCCCTGTTGATTAGTCGTATAGTATACATGCATCCGCAAAGCATCTTGACTCAAAGTCACCGGTAGCATGAGATAGTATCTGTGAAACCAATGCGCACACAGTAAAACTCGATCTCGGTGCTCGTCGCATCAACCCAATTTGTCAAATCCACTCCTGTGATTTGTCATCATATCCTACACCTAATCAGCAAGAATTAACTCAGTGCCAGCAACATATATACGTACCAAAAACCACGTCGGCATGAACGACGTCAAAAACCACCCAATGGAGGCCATCTTCCCCCTCCAAATAAGCCCAGTCTTCCCACCAACCAGGTCATCAACCACCCGACGCGCATAATCCGAACAAGGCATCGTGCCGCCTGTGGTCGCCCCAGTCGCAATATCCATCATCTCCTTTGTCGCAGGCGCATATCTAGATCCCTCGAGATTGAACTCCGGCGCGCGAGTCCAGAGATTCGACCCCACGACACCAGTCATGATGGTCACGACTCTGACTCCGAATGGTGCGAGTTCATGGCGAAGACCCTCGCTATAGGATTTCAATGCTGCTTTTGAAGATGTGTAAAACGCTATCTCTCAAATTAGTATTATCATTCCGAGCAACTCCTGCTCACGCCGTAATGAAATTCGAGCACGGACCATTCCACGGAACCGTCATAACCCCACCCATGGAGCAATGATTTGCGATAACGCCTTTTGAGGCAATCACCATCTCGGAGAACGCATTCACCATTCTTACGACTCCCCAGAAGTTCACCTCGAAGACCTCTCTGGCTTTCTCGATGTCTGTTTCCAATACCGGAAACGTAAGCGGGAGACCGGAGTTGTTCACAAGGTAGTCTAACGTCCCGCCGGTGAGTGATTTAACCGCTTCCACAGCGGCAGCGATATCATCGGGAGAAGTTACATCTAACTTGAGCAGAGTCATGTTGGGGTACTTGGACAGATGCGACATTTTGTCCACGGAACGGGCAGTCGCAATGACGTGGTGGTTCCGCTCGTGGAATGCTTCGGCTAGGGCGGAGCCGATACCGCCTGCGCTGCAGCCGGTGATGAGGACGGTGGGGAGGGACATGGTTGATTATTTCGATGGAGTGGTCTGTGATGCAAGTATTTAATGGCAAGGATCGGGGATGATGTGGTTTATAAAGCCAGAGGAAGGAGGTAAGCTTACGGGTTGTGGAGATTCTCGTATCCAGGCAGAAACCGGATCCGTGGATTACGGGACTCGTGGGTTCTATTAATAATAACGTTATCGTATCAGCCTCAATAGGGAATAGTCTGGTTTGTTGCGGTGAGAGGGTTCGTTGGGAACTTATAAAGAATTATAAATATACGGCGCAAGGGGTTGTGATGTGATACCTACTTGAACTACTATATTGAAGTAGCTGGTTGAGGTGGATTTTATTTTGTTTCTTTTTTTCAGAGGATCTGTCCGCATCTACAAATAGCGGGCTGGGGGCAGACAACCCGACTAGCATTTAACAATACAAGCAAGGCCACGCTAGATCATTAGCCAAATTCTAGTCAAATTCTATATTTTTTGGAATCTCCAGAAACTCTCCAGAAACTCGGTCAAGCTATCTTGGTTCGAGTAATAATATGATAATCCGAGGCCTGCGATACTAGACCTTAGGATGTGACCGGCGCTAGCATATCCACGATAACGATAACTGCTGTGATTGGACACCATGATGTATTTCATTATACAATAGGTTCGTCATGTGCCCAGTTCCATCCATCCTCTCGAATATAGTTCAGACACTGTTCAACTTCAAAACTAGCAGGACCATCAACGAAGTCGTAAATTCCATCGTCTTGGAAAAAAGGCGTAAAATTAGGTCTATCGTATTTCCAGAATCTGACTCTCGTTCCGATTGCCGTAGCTGCAAAGATTCGCGTTGTTCCATTGACGTTCCTCATGCAGTAATCCAGTAGCTGATCCTCTGCTAATTTCCACCCGGCCGGAGTATCCTTTTCTGGACTTTGACACTGCACAACGAATACTGGCTGCTCAGATGGAACAGCTTCCTTGGAAAGAGTTTCAGGGGACGAGTTAAGCATGGAGATTTGGAGCACGGCGCAATCAGGCCGTTTGTCATCTCCCCGGACTACCCCTTTGTTGGCAATTTTGAATCCCGAAAAGAGTGGAAAGAAGGCGATGCATGCGTTAGTCCAGAAGATGCTGACAGGCGATGTGGTCGAGCCCGGATTGATAGCCTTCAGCGCACTGAACAGAGTGACGTGACGGGAGAAGACTGAGACATGCTGGAATGTCTTAAATATCGTATTATGTATATTGTCTAAGCTTGTTGTACACGATGTCGCAAAATATCTCATTGAATACTGCGGAAGGGGGTGTGATGGTGCACTATGAACAACGTAAGATGCAATAGGTTCAAGCATAAAGTCCCTCCAAGTATATATGGACGGGCGCTAACACCCACCTGTCGGGCTGCGCTGGCGGCTCAGCGCATTGGGGCTGTGCACGCGGCTGCGCACACGGTTATGTACATGGATCCACATATTATTGCGCGCACAGCTGCGCCTGTTCGACGTCGGGGCCGCTCATTACCCGAGCACCATATTCCAGATGGCAAAGTAGTGGGTCTTTGTGTTTCCGATGCTCAAAAGGAGTTGGACGTAGGATTAGTTCTGTTGCAGGAGAATTTCGACTAGGATCACGGTTGTAATAGCTACATACTGTTGCCACACAATAAAGAAACACATGAATCAAAATCTACTTCCTCAGTCTCTTGGAAAACTATATTCTATGAACACCAACCAATACTAGTCCAACCGCAGAATTATTGATTGCTTTGTTGATTATGGTAAGTGTCACCCGAATTCAGCACGGCCAGAATGATCTTGCCAACATGCCTGTAGTCAGTAGAGCCATTGAGCTGTAAGATTTCCTCTATGTCATATATTCAGCTATGGTATTCAGCTATATCAATCAAATCCTGAGATGTATTTATAAAATTGGTTCTGGGTTTTATTCACTGACCCGAATACTTGGAGCTGACTTTTTCCTAATATAAGATTTCATATAAGATCTCTCCATAGAAATTACTTTTTCTGGTATTGTATAGTTCTTTGCGCACTCCTTTCTGATAAGTTTTTATGAGAGCCCGCTCGCACCTGTTTCCAGAAAGGCTATCTATGGCTCTACTATACCTTTAGGGAACCTCATGTAGCTGACTTTTAATCCCGTAGTTCCTAGCTTGATGATATCTTGTCAATACAGTAGTTTAGGTCCTGTTTATCCTTGTTTTGCAACGCTTTCACCCCCGAGCATCCACGGTCAGCTATTCTCCGTCAGCCCTGTCTCAGATCAGAGGAGGAATAATGATAATTAATGACGCATTTAGCCAACTTTTTAGCGTGCTATACCTGGTTTCCTTCTGCGAAATCCACTTCGGAGGTGCCACTTTTGCCGAAGGCGTACCCCAACCCCCAACTAAAGCCCACGAAGATTTGGCCCTCTCCCATTATTCATAGCCTTCCACCTCCCGAACTTGACATCATCCAGAAGCTGCTTCAACAAAACTCTCCCATTCCGAACCTCGACATCAAACATCCAACTCCCCGTCCTAAACATCTCAAAACCTTCAAACTTCTGTGTACACCTATACATGCACACCAACTTGCACCCATACGCCACAGCGCACCAAGGCTGTCCTGGAATGTTACTCAGCTGCGACAATTGACTTGAAGTCCGATCCCATGTATCCTTGCGATGGTACTCATCAGCCCCCTTGCACAAGATGACGGCCATTGGAGAAGAAACAGGCTCACTCCCAGGTCTAGGCCAGGTGACCTGTTTAACAAGACAGCAAATGATACGTGCACCGTTGATCTCAGCGGTGCGGAGGTCATGGGTGAACCCCCCATTTGGTGGGTAGATCTTGACTAGGATTTTGTGCCAGAGCTTCAAGGTTTGTTCTTCGTTGAGGGCGTGTTGATCAGGTGTGGACCTGAGAATGTCTGCCAGAGGGTCTGAAGTTGCAGAAGAGGAGGGAGATGGAAAGGAGGTGGAAGGGCTTGTCGTAGTGGTGAAGGGTTCGAGGGTTGAGAGACGCGGGGACGCGCCGGGAAGCATGAGTGGAGGTAAGCGATTGTGCATGGTGCGAGGAGATGAGCTGTTGCTTCCTGTTTGGCGGGTGGAAGAGTGATGGTGATGGTGGTGGGGAACGATGTTGGGTATGGTAGTTTGAGGAATGCTTCTGGGGACGAGTGGGCTGAGGGGCTGTTTGTCAGGCATTTTGGATGTCTTTTTGACGCTTAGTGGTATGAAGAAGGGAAGTTGGTGTTTGGCAGTCGAGTGTAGTTATGTCTTCTTATGTCTGTGAGTAGTTATCACTGTCAAGGTCACAGATTGCATCTGTGGCGGTGTGGGGGTCGTTGATTTGTGTACTTCGCGTGGGAAGAGCCATGTTGTGTCGGCTGAACTTTGTCTATACCCGTCTAACAAGGATTCAGATTCTGTTTCCCGATGCCGTTGCTTATCGTCATTCAAGCCAAGTAGAAGTGGCGCTTGCTTGTTATAGAAACTTTGTTCTCGATGTGTGGAAAATCCCGTGTTCAATGCATTATTTGGTGTTGAACTATACCACTTACTTTCTTTGTGGGTGGTTCTGCATGAAAGTAGGTTTACAAAACACATGCTGAGTATTCAACAGGCACGTTCCTGTTTACGTTATTGCTTCACACATGTATAGAGAGCATGTAACGAACATAAATTATTTGTGGATTGAGCCTTTTTCTATCTTGCTCTGTCTGTATTCTCAGTCCAATCCAACCAGAGGCTGGGGTAAGTAGAGTTGGTTGGAAATTTGCCTCCCTTTCTTGTCCATGGCTTTCAGAATTATTCACTCCCCATAATGAAATAATATTAATCCTCTCGTAGAAGGCCATCCTACAGATATTCTTCGACGTTCTGTGCGGGAATATGTATTTTCAGATCCTCCATGTTAATGAGATCTTCCAGGCTGGTCTACCGGTCTTGACGCCCCATAAATTTGGTGTCATTCCATACGTATCGGCATGCCCGTGAATGGTAAGGTCCCAGGAGCATTTGTCCCCATTACCGTCGCGGTACGCACTCGGCAGATTATTTTCCAAGTGCCAGCGCGGGATTTTGAAGCGGCAACTAAACGCTACCGAGTAGTCAATGAATTCTCCCATTGTCATCCCGTTGTTGTTGTTACTGCTGGAGGTCCTCTGACCACTGGTCTTCTTACTCTTCCAAGTGTAGGATGCACGCTTGGCTGGACCTGTGAGTTTGACAGATAACACACACGGGATATTTGCGAGGAGCGTTCGTCTCCAGGATGCTTGCGGATGAAACATGGCTGTTCGACGCCGTTTATCGATGAACCATTCTTTCAGGGAGATCTGATGGGTAGAAGGTACTCGCGTTAGATGCGGAGGTCCTTTCCAGTTGCAAAATTGAGTCACAAAAAAAGGATTGATACGTGGCTTTTCATGCTCCCTGGGAACTAGCCATAGGACTTGTCGAATTTTATGGGACTGCATGATAACGGCTTGCCATTGCGAACACACGCGTTGAGCAAGGAAGAGAAACCGGTAATCCTTCTGATAGAGCAGAATTTCCTCCAGCAACTCGGGGAGGAGGAGCACCTTAGTTGCAGCGTTCATTGCGGCCGGTCCTATACTTTCGTGAAGAAGTCAGTCATTTATCGTTCTAGGCTGGTCATTAATATCGAGTTTATGTAGGACATTCCACTCTTACCCCAAGCAGTGTCCGAAATCATTCAGATAAACCTTGGTGTGTTCCGAGATGGAAACATACTATTATTTTCGAGGAGGAAAGAGAAAGGAGATCAGTTGTCTACTTTGTGCACAAGCCAAATAGAACCGTCAGCAGTACCTCCAAATGAGCCGCGTGTCTTCATTCACTAGTGTCGCTATTTTTTGGTAATGGCTGGTGAGGTGGCTTCCACGGAGAGGTCATGATATATTCACTCTTTCGTTGACTGTGTCGGCCTTCCATAATCTGAACCTGTCGGCTAAACAGTAAGCCGCAGAAGATATTACCAGATTACCTATTTTTCAGAGCCGAGCACTCATTATTGAATTTTGGTATAACATACGATGCGCATTCGAGACAAAATTTCAATTTGTTAATTCAAGGACATGGGAACGATCTTCAGTTGTACACCAAGCGAGCTTGTACGCCAATAGCCGAGTTCGGTAGCCTTCTGAGGTGGCCCTTCTTTTATCAGTGGCAGACTTCAGCACAGTGTAATGTTTATTTTAGGATCTATCTATTATTCTATCAAGCGAAGGATCATTTGTAAAGCAAGATCCGCAGCAAACATCTCGACTTCCCCGTTACATGTTGACCGCCATATACTGATATAAGTAGCAACAGACCTGCTGAGCATTCATCAGTAGTCTATTACCAGTCAACATGAGTGTTATAGTATTCATCCACCCTTCTGGTCCAGTCGAGGAACTTGCTCTTCTCAGCATCATCGAGGAGGTCAACGAACCTCGTCTTCGAGATCTCAGGATAAATTGGATTGGTGCCGAAACGCGGTGACATCAGCTGGCTCGGACTCAAGACAGCAACTAGTTGCCAACGTGGCCTGCTAGTATTACTTTCTGCCGTCTTCTTCCAGAACAGCGTGAATTGCGGTGACTTCGAATGGTTCATAAGTGATACCATTGCTTCCAAGAATCCGCAGAGAGTCATGCCGTTGGTATCACTCCCTAGGAGACTGTGCTCCCTGTTCAAATCGACATGTTCACTGATTCCCGGCCCCGGGTCCTGCCTACTCGTGTGCAGGCTGACGGCTTCGAGGACGACAGGCACATTCGATGGCCACATCCGTCGCCACGATGCCTGCTCGTGGAGGACAATTGCCTTCAGCTTGGCATCCTCAAACCAGGCAAACTTTCCGCTGGGCCCGTTTTGAATAAAATAGTCCCCGGTGTACTTGCAGCAGTGTAGGGGACAGAACCACTTTTCAAAGAAAGGATTTAACGCCGGCTCTTCGATAGAAGAGGCCAATGACTGTTCGAAAAAGAGGGCCCGTCGGATCACGATGGACTCCCGCATTATGTGTTGCCAGGACCGACAGACGCGCTCCATTATCAACAGATCCGCAAAGGCGAGCCGGATCAAGATCATCTCCAATATCTCTGGTATTGCTAGCGCCCTCTGCGCTGCCGAGTGCCGTTTGTCGCCATCACCGTCGTCTCCGGGGAATGTTGGCCTTTCCATTGGGTTTCCGGGGGCTGGGGAAGCATCATCCCATGCCACGAATGATGGATTTTGGTGTTCGTCGAGGGCGTTCATCGGCGTCATGCGTGGCATGCCTTGACGGTATATGAGACACTCTAGAAGAGCTTGGAGTATGGAGCAGATCTGAAGAAATGGGGAGCAGACGGCCATATTTATGCTTTTCTGAAATGCTGCCAGCTTATTGTCACGTCGCTGGAGAATCTTTCCTCGAAATACCGTTCGGACTATCAACGTACTCCGATGCAATCTTCCATCATTCCTTCAGTGTATCACTGTCTGGTTCCGGCCCTTGCAATGTTGTTGCATGCGCCACACACGCATCCATATACCTTTTACGCAATGACTGCGGATATTGGAGTTTCTAGACTGGAACTGCTTCTTACACGATGTTGCACAAACAGCTGTCATCTCATGATAGGCTGGACTGGAAGTGGTGGCGCTGCCAAAATTTTGACTCACGTACTTGATAGAGGGTAATGTATCGATATAGCAATGGAGCAATCCGGAGAGAAGCATTCTTCTTCGATTTGTTTACCCCCGTGCTATTTCAGTGAAGCAATGGGATCACGTGAGTGGTCTTTTACGAGATCCAATGCTCTATTGATCAGAGTTATACTATTCAGTGTGCAGGACAATTTACGTCTACATTTCGGCAAGTGCACAGACGAGGTCTAAGGACAATATTGCTCTACAGGCTACATCACTGTCACATCCATTCCATGATTTAGCCAGACAACCCGCTTCGAATATCTAACAAATCATTATCGCACAGTCCCAGTGGATACTCCGACAACCCAGCATTACCAGCATAATCAGCACCGCCAGTAGAAGACAGTGATCTAACAAGATAATATACACCAACATCTCAACCATCTCAAGCCGGCCTATAATAAGGCACCCAGTAGCAATCCGGCCTATCAAAATACTCCTTAACCTCGTCCCAAGACCACTCCGTACCGCTATCATTTTCATCCTCAACAGGCCGTATTCCATCATCCTCATTCTGCTGTTCACCCTCTCCTTGATCCCACGGCACACCATCAGTCCCATCATCATTAACCCACTTCCAATCCCCTCTATGCGCAAACTTCGGAGGCAAATCCGGACCCCAAATCTTCGAATCAAACTTATCCAACGCCCACTGGTTCTTCATACCCAGATACTCCCTCGCCATAGTCTTCATCCTAACCGGCGGCTTCACCCTCACGAACGTGAACTTCTCCCAATCACACTTCCCAAACAGGGGATCCGGAGTCGACGAAACAACCGAGCACTCGTACGGCGCCCTCAACCTCTCCTTCTCCTCATCACTCACCCCGTCCGTCCAATTATTATCCCACTCCCCGCTCCCCTCCCTAACAGGCCTCCACTCCACCGCCATCCCATTCGTCGGCCACCTCCCCAGAACATGCAACAGCACATCCCACACGAGATCCATCGTCGCCCCGAGCACTGGATCCTGCCCAGCCTCTTTATCATACACCATCAAGTTCTTCGCTGGATCCTGATCACCCTCAACGGTCAAACTGACTACTTTGCGCACCCGGCACGGGATATTCATGGGTCTCATGCGTCGCCAGGAGGCTTCGGGGCGGAAGACGGCCTTGTGGTAGGCTGTGTCGTTGCCGAGGCGGATGGTCTGGATGTCTTCAGGCATGAAGATTGGGGAGGTGTGTTTGGTAGTGTCTGGGGCGGGGTATATCACTGGGAGGAGGTATCGGATGAGTGGGTTGAAGGTTGGTTCGGTGGGGTACGGGTGGGGGAAGTCGTAGAATAGGGCTGTTCGGAGCGGGCCGCGCGTGGTGATTAGCGTGCGCCATTGCCGGCAGACCAGCTGGGCGCGCATCAGGTCGAATATGTCGAAGCGGAGAAGGATGTATTCGACTAGTTCGGTGATGCTGAAGACGGTGTCCATTTTGGGGGTTGGGGTGGGTTCTGTGGTTGGTTTTGAAGCTGTCATTGTGGTTTGCTCTGCTGTGGTCCTTGTGGATGTAGTGGTTGGTGACATTACTCAGGGTTGGGTTTGTGTAACGGGGTTGGGTCTTTTTTTGGACATTGAAAGGTCGTGGCTCTGTTTGGATGGGCTTGCAGGGATGGGGTATATATGCTTGTGACACAGCATAAAGGGTAAGGAGAAAGCCCTTGTGAGTATGGATATAACATAGAAGATGCGATTGAATGAAAGACTATTGTGAACATATTTCGTGCTCTTTGTATTTTAAGGTTTACCATCTTCTTGCGCTTTGTGTGTATACCAGATCCTCGATCTTTGGCGGGAACATCCTTTGTCCAGGGTAGCTATAAATGGGAAAACTTACCTTCAACATGCGCCATGTACTTACAAGTTACGCATATGTCACTTAGATGCATGTTACTTTCCACCGTTTTCTATTGCATCAAATATCTCGTCATACTTACAGCTACATACTACTATGAGTCACTACGCCTGCGATTGAGAAACGGACACAGCAGCAAAATCATAGTAGATATTGTCATTTGATTCAAAACATAATCGGGTATCTTAATATAGCCAACTCATCAGTTATATAGAGAAAGCATAATGCTCTGCGCCATCTGAGCGATCTCAGTAGAAAGGAGCCATGAGTTCACCCCATACTCCAATCACAACCCAAAGTGCTGTGAGCCAGCCACGAACAGACAGCAGTGTTATAGTATTTTTTCCATCCTTGATGAGTTAAGATGAGTGGTATAACAAGTATCCACCCTTAGAGTCCAGGCATGGAACGTAGCCCACTCACCATCACGAGGTATACAGTAGCATGTCGCAGGAAAGTATGCAGAAGACAGTTGTAATTTGTCACCGATTGGACTCATGCTTCTTGAGATAGATGCTGTCGCGAAGCAGAGAAAGTATAAATATAGCTCCACACGAGGAAGCACAACCCTCCATCGGGAAGTAGTACCCATTACATGAAACTCTCAACACAAAAACTTCGGGTACTACCCCCACCTTCATCTCTACCGAGATGCTCAGCAGCCCACAGCGCCACCTCTCTGGCAGCATAACAGTCCTCCGCACAATCATGCCCCCCTTCCACCTCTTCTCCCCTCTGAATCTCGACCCCACAACAATCCCGCACGACATCTCGTAGGCGACAACTTCTCCCTCTCCTCTGCCCCCTCATAAGAAGATACGTATCCACAATCCTCTCATGCACGATCCCCAACACATCCAAGTCGAAATTCAGACTCTGACCGACCAGAATCGTCTTCTGGTCGATGTATTCCCACACACGGGCTCTAGCCCCTTCATACCCGTTCACCGTTCTTCCAGCGGCGACGTGTTGCGCCATGAGTTCGGCGGTCATACCGCTCCATTTTGTCCGCCAGTCGGAGACAGGTTCGGTTGGCAGCACAGGCTGATCGAGGAGGAGTTCCCCCGTGAGGACATCTACCATGCTCACTTGGCAGAGTTGGGTACGGCCCGTAGTGTCGGTTACCATTTCGCAGTCTAAGGAGACTGCACGACGGGCGGAAGGGTTGTTGGTGTTTGGGGTTTGTTGGAAGCGGATGTTGTTCTTTGTTGTGTCTGGGGTGATGGTGTAGTTGGCTGCTTGGAGGGTTTGGATTGTGTGGTAGTTGTTGGTTAGGAAGTCGAGAGCTTTGGTCTGCTCGGCTGGGGAGGTTAGGGTCGTCCAGCGGGAGGGTGCAGCGTATGTTGTTGTTGTTGGTTTTGGGTTGATGGTGATGGTGCTTGGTTTGCGGGAAGTGGTATTTGAGGGGATGCAGATGCCACTGTCCTTGCGTTCGATGGTGGTGGTGTTTGTGTTGGTGTAGATGGTAGTGGTGTGGGCGAAACTTGTGGATCTGGTATATGGCATCCCCCAGGGGTATAGGGGGGATATAGGGACGTTCATGTGGAGGGATATATAGTAGGTTGGCGGCAGTTCGATTGGGGTGAACATGGTGATAGTCATTGTGGCGGTTGATGGTTATTATTAGGACGGTTTGTTGGTGTAGGTGGTTATTAAGTTGTTTGGTTGGTGGTAGATTATTAAATTTGGTTGGTGTATTGGTAAAAGAATTATAGTAGGAAGAATGTAGATGGATAGTTATAGATTCAGAAGACGGTGTCTGACTCCCGCTTTTATAGTCCATGTTCTTAGGGACTGCGTAAGTGCGCATCATCACATACCACCCTCTTGATCTATTGGACGTCCCAAAGTCTATACGCGCCAATGCTGTCAGTCTTCCTCATCAAGAAAATCTTGACTGGCCATGGCCTTCCGGCGTTCCTCATAAGCGCCGAGCTAAATATAGTAACCCCGTCGTTGCAGCGCTAATGTACTGTGAACCCTTACCCCGGCTCCTGAAACAGACAGTCACATCCTCACTGGCCACATTTTTTATAGAGCGCTTCGGTCCGGGAGTTTCATGTTGTATTGGAGTTTGCTGATAACAATAATTCTCTCCTCCAGTCATGCTGTGTTCCTTCTACCGTTGGTTTTCGACAAGTTCGCAACGAGCCGTGCGGGTGAGCCAGTTTTCCATATCCGCAGAGAAACGCGAGAAACTATTGTATCGCCATGGTTTGAAAAACTCCACTCGATAGATATTAATTCTAATAAAAGGACCATTCATGGTTTCTTCTCCGTTCTCATTTATCGAAAGTCCTCCAGCTGTTCTCTCTGGAGTATACCGTAATCCGGCCCTTCGTCGTGGTCGAGACACCCGTACATGGCTAGCTGGTCGAGATAGACAAAGATAGCTGGTGAGAAAGTCTGACATCCGTCTCTCTTCACTTACTTATTACCCGTATCAATATATATCAGTGTTATCCAGAGCGTCAGTGCGAAAGTCGGAGAGGTGGTGGAAGAGTGAGAAAATATCCATCTAGACCAAAGCCTGTTGTATATAGGTTATACTGATACTATCAGGGAGGCTATTCTACCCGCCGACCAGAAGGCCATAAATCGTTTTGGAAGCTGTTAGCGAACGTATAAGCCTCCCCTCGGCATGTGTTTTCGTCATTATTCAGAGCGAGTCGCAATGCCATGTCGAAGTCTCTCTGGAATACGGCCTTGGAAACTTCCCAAAACCATGACCGGTTCATCAATGCAGGTACCATCCCCCACTTCACAGCAAGACATAGCGCGCAGTAGATGTCTCTTCCAGCATCCATGCTTTCAAGAACGAATTCCCATCAGCCGGCAGGAAAACCAGACTGGAGACATCATCTTGGATAGCTATACGTCCGCGACGACATAACACACAAACAACCCACCATAATATATATAAATAGAAACCATGTCCTGCCCAACATCTCCCTCCCCCCCTCCTCCTGCAGAGGAAAAGAAGTACACAACTGGTACTTCTGTCTTCTCTTATATACCTCCTCGTGACCCCCTCATGTGACATCAATAATAAAACCATCGACACAGCGACGGAGACACCCGAAATACGGATATTTGGCAGATTCCCAAAATTATACTTTAGAATATAGAGATAGGCTTGATGACGGGAACATGCCGGTTGGATGGGGTCATGTGGTGAACGGGAAGTTACCAAGAATTCAAAAGTAAGCATAAGCGTTGCATGTTGCCGATCGACGCTTCGAGATGTCTCGGTGTCATCCTTGGAAAAGCTCCGTTGTTCTGATTGGTTGGGGGGAGTGGCGAGGGTGGCGATGTTGGTGTTCACGTGATGTTAGGTTTGGTGGCGCAGCGAAGCATTTTGTGCTGCCGTGGTGGAAGTTGAGGTAGTGAGTGTGAGGGGAGTTGTTGGTTGGGTGTGTTGAGGAGGGTTCTGGCGTATTTATGTGGTGGGATGTGGACTATTTGGAATTACTATGACAAGGTTATTATTGAATGAGGGAATTTTGTCACACTTGGGTTCGGGTGAATTTTATGAACTACAATAGGAAAGGTGAAGGGATGGTTGTTGATTAATCAATTTGAGCTGCAATTATCGGTTGATGAACCTAGAGATTGAACTATGAATACAATACTATTCAAGGCTGACTCTCAAGGACCCCTGTTCAGATGACTCAATACGAATCACTACAAAAAGACAGGAAAAGAAGCGGAATCGGACTCTAGAATGAAATTTTGAAATTGAGCTGATGCATCAACTCTAAAATGAATTAACAGTACATGGTATAAAAACATAAGGTATCATGCGAATCATGCAACATGCAAACATGCAATAGTATCATGCAAGCCATAGCCATCAACATATAGACAATCTCCCAAAACTCCAAACCCAATATTTACGCGTTCTCAGCGTGGTAAGAACGAGACTGCTTGCGCTCCTCCTCGTACTGGAAGGAGTGCAGAGCAGGGATCTCGAAATTGCTGCTCTTCCAGGGCTTGATCTTGTTGACGTACAGCCAGTCAAGCTCCTCGAGAGTACGGCCCTTACCCTCCATGACGAAGAAGTAGACGACAAAGGCACCGACGAACATGCAGCCAGCGAAGACGTATCCGTAGGCGAAGTCGATGGCGCTGGTGATAAAGGGAGTGAAGAAACCGATCAGGAAGTTCCAGGCCCAGTTGGCAGCAACGGCCAGAGCCATACCCTGAGCACGGTACTTGGAGGGGTACAGCTCGGCGGTGATGGTCCAGACCATGGGAGCCCAGGTCATGGCATATCCGGCAATGAAGAAGCAAGCCAACACAATCATACCCTTACCGACGCCGGGGGTGTTCTCGGGCTCAGCGACGTCGAGCATGAAGTGACCGATCGAAGCGAAGATCATGAAGCAGACGAACATCCACAGGGCTCCGAAGATCAGAGACTTGCGACGACCGAAGTTCTCAACGGTGTACAGACCACCGAAGGTGCAAGCGAAGTTGACGGCACCCAGAATGCACTGGGTCACGAAGCTGTTGGACAGACCGGCACCCTTGAAGATGGTGGTACCCTATAACAGGTTAGTATTATGAACCATTGAAGAAATATCTGCAGGGGATACATACGTAGTAGAAGAAGTAGTTGGAACCAGTCAGCTGCTGGAGGGTCTGCAGGCCCATACCCAGGCAGATACGGTAGAACATGCGAGGCGCAGTGAGAAACTCGTACCACTTCTCGCTGCCGGTTTCGGCCTCGAGCTGGTTCTGGATCTCGTCGAGCTCCTGAAGGATGACTTGGTGGTTCTCGGGCACACCGTACAGCTTGGCCATGGTAGCGCGAGCCTGGTCGACGCGGCCGTGGCGGAAGTCGAAACGAGGCGACTCGGGGAAGAAAGCCATACCACCACCGAGGACAATGGCGAACAGGAAGGTCAGACCGAGGGTGATCCGCCATTGGGCAGTGCCCTCCAGGGTGTTGGTACCCAGGTTGATCAGGTAGGCCAGGAAGATACCGAAGGTGACGAACAGCTGGTAGCAACTGACCATCGCACCACGCACGTGACGAGGGGCACTCTCACCCTGGTACATGGGGACAAGCAGGGAGCAAGCACCAACACCCAGACCAGTGGTCCAACGACCCATGACCATCTGGACCCAGTTGCCCGAGGGGGCGGAGATCTGGACAATCAAGCCGACCATGAGGATGACACACCAGATGGTGATGGACCACTTACGGCCCACCTTGTTGGCGATGGGGGCAGCGACGAGAGCACCGACCAAGGTACCAATGGACAGCAGACTGGTCAACAGACCGGAGCGGACGTCACTCAGGTACCATTCGCCCTGGGCATTCTTCATACCATAGCGGCGGAGATAGTCGGATTCCTGCTCGAAACCGGAGATCTGACCAGTGTCATAACCAAAAAGGAGACCACCCATGGAGACGAAGACGGCCATGATGAAGGCCCGCAGAGTAACGCGGGGGACAGGGGTGTCAACACCGCCAAGAGGCTTTTGGAAAGACTCCTGGCTGGAGTGCTGCTGGGGAGCGACCGCCGGGGAGATGTTCTCCCCGTGGTCAGCGGAGGTTTCGACACCCATGGTGGACACGTGGAGAATGTTTTGTTTGTTTATCAGTGAAGGGAAAGTGTCAACCGAGACAATGTAAAGAGGAAGGAAAAGTAAATAGAGGGAAAGGAGGAGACCCTAGGTTGGTATTGGTTGAAGATCACCGTAGGGTAAGAGTCAAGATAAGTGATTGTCGGGAATGAGATGGAAGATTGAAACAGGTTGAATCTGGGGAGATGCAAGCCCTTTTATGTCCCCCATCGTATGAGACGACAGTAAAAAAAAAAAAAATTTCTCCAGGGAAAAGAGATCCACGGGGAGGGGGGCGCGTCAGAGCCGACCTGTGGAGAGCCGACATCAGATGGAGGAGGCAGCGAGTGCTGCCGGGGGAGACCGACCAGACGATTCATGAGCGAAAGGCCGTCAGCCAGTGACGATGGACGGCCGGCCGAAACCGATAGACCAGTCAGAACCGCCGAAATGCTGGGGAAGGGCCGGCCATACCAGGGGGAGCAGGCATAACTTCGGGTTCCACGGCCCTTTCGGGGCAAGGAGGGTCGGGTGGCGGACGCTCGTTGGCTCAGCGCATCGGCACTGGCGTCTGGCGACAGAACTTTAGCCGGGAGAGATGAAAACGGATCAACATTATTGGGTCAGAATGGGGTTCGGATAGGAGGCGCATGTTAGAGAACTGCCATGGATCGGGGGTGGAAGATGGCAGAATGACATGGCGTCGTTTAGAAGCCTGTTTTGATAGATGATAGATCGATAGACTGATAGATTTGAGGATGGCTATACACAGTGCTTGCCGTACACCTACTTGCCGGGAATGAGGGAGACGGGATACCGTGTTAACTATTGCTAACAGCTGAATCAGCCGAGTTTCTTTAGTTACAGAGAAGCTGAAGGAGGGCAAGACCAAGTGAAAGAGGAAGGGGAGGCGAGCAATACTACTACACACTACCGAAAGGGATTCTTGCCCAACGTGGAGAAGCCGCTATTCTTTCTCCAGTCACGGGCTAACGAGCAAGAGGCGACCCACTGTTTCGGGACTAGACCGGTGCGCTAAACCGCATCGGGCAGGCCTCCAGAGTTCGGCAGGCAAATCGCCGCTCGTGGGCTCGGAAGCAGACGGACTGGAGTGGACTGGAGTGGACTGGAGTGTGGGAGAGCCCAACGCAGGGATTTCCTGGAGGGCCGGAGATGCCAACCTGGAGAAGTTGATCGAGGGGAGTTGTGCCTTCCCATATTCGTTGACCGGTGAGCCTACATCCCGGATTTCCCAGTCCTTGCAGAGGGGGGAAAAAGAGGGGAAAATGCGGAGGTTAGTAGACGTCAGTTCATTATCATGATCGAACTACGCTCAGATACGTTTCTACATTTTCTGGGGAACCTGCAGATGGCCATTGCAATCCCAAACCGTTCTGTACCGATTCAACCTCCTAAGCGATCCCGATTCCTGTCGGTCACCTGCCCGAAAATCTGCTGCGCTTACGAGGAAAATTCAGCCCTCAAGGTCTGGGACTGACCACGGCCGACCGAGAGAATCGGGGCCGATTCACAGCATGACGAGGGCCTCAGCCAGCAACGAAAACCTGCAACGCTCAGCTACGACAAATCCCGACCGAGCCGACCGCACACACACAATTCAGTGCAGTGGCACTCGGGGCGACACCACTGGTTGGCTCTGGAACCATCCACTGGTTCCAACGAAGCTTTGTGGCTGCCTTGGCTGCAACATCATCGTCAGCGGACTGCATATTGCACCTTGGCATGACGACGCAGGCTGACCTGACGTGCTCAATTTACCACTAGAGTAGAACCTTTGGACTATAATCTTACTATGCAAATCAGAATATACGACCCAGGAATGATCAGCGATACTATGCGTTGTTTTTCCTTCCCTTCCCCCTCCCTTCCCCTTCATTTCGCGTGGGATGGTCCCTGACCACTCCAGAAAAACCCCATGCGACCGGGGAACATGAACCAATCGACCTGCAACCCGGAAAAGATGTCATCCCCAGGGCTAGGGTTAGCAGGCGCACGTGGTCGGCTAATGCAAGATGACGTATGTCACATGGGGGCGTAATCTCCGGCGGCACCCCGGCTGACTAACGGAAACCCCGTGGAACCTGCCTGCTTTGGAGAACCGTGAAGGAGGCCCCGGCCCAGCTTTCCTCCGCCCTTCTGGAACAGCAACCGGGAAATTTCTGGGAAGAACCCTCTCCGCGCCAGACCACATGTCATCCTGGTTTCAACTGATCCCCGGCAGCCACAGCGCCACTTCCGTAGTGACGCGGAATCCGGTAGCGACGAGAGTCCAGATCCTGGTCGAAGATTCCAAGGCGATAGCTTCAACTGTGAACTCGACCGAAATGTGGTCAGCCGACTGCAGAGTGTGACCGGTGATGGTGCCATATGCGAACAGCCTGATGAGGTGGGAGGGAAACAGGGTATCTGGGGTGGTGTCCCTGCATCTGCCTCCGCGGGGAGCCGCCCTTACTCCAGGCTGGGGAGAACGGGGATGAATGTTTTGTCACCAACACATGGATAATGCAGAACCACCCTGTCAACCACACGAGCGTTGGAGTGGCTAATTATAAGCTTACCCCTGGCAGAGATAGATCTACATCAAACTCTATCTACCAACATCATCTAGATATCTATAGATATTTAGATGTCATTATGTGTTGACACAACGAACATGGATGACTAACCTACCCCATATGACTACGGCAGACCAAGCCGACCCAACCCGCACCCCGCTCGGTACATTTTTCTCTCCCCACATGCCGCCTCCCACAATTTGTCCTCAGAAACATTTTTCCGACCATGTCCTTCCAACTTCCAGGTCCGAACTCTGGAGGAATGTCTCCCGAGCATCGGCTCGTCACCTGCTGCACTGCAATTTACGCCGATATTAACCCAGTCAATTATGCTTAACGCCGGCTCGCTAGCTTCGTTGGGCTTGCCGGCCCAATGGTACTATTCTCTAGCATCGGGCCGACCAACACAGCTCGAGAAGGGCCAATCATGGAAGACCTGGATGGAAAATTCTGTCTCTGTCTCCTCTTTCAGGGACAGTGCTTGGTCTTTTTCAGCCCTGTGTTCCGGATCATACTTTATCCTCTGTCGTCTGGCTTCCTGCATTGCAGTCGGACGACTGCTGGGCTAGTATACACTGGGAATATGAGAGCGTGGGGTGAACTCCGAGCCACGCAATGAGGTTGAATTTTCACTCGGATTTAAGATGTCCGCACTAATAGACTCGGGTTTGGGGTGGTTGTTCGGTCGTAGGCTTCTGTTTGTGGGCGACTAGGACATGCGAGCAGCTGATCAAGCTGGGAAGGGGTAGAATTTGTTGTCATCATGCTTCTCCTTTCCGCGCATTGGGAATTCACGGCAAATCTTCGGATAGCACTGACAAGGGTATTATCTCGGCAATGTTTGACCAGTATGCCGTTGATATCACTGGCATAGTTCAACATCGCAGATACATTGTAGGCTGGCACTTGTGCAACACTGCTAGTTCAGTTTTGACTTGTTTTGGTACTATTACATAACATTTATCAGTTCGATTGTGGATGAAAGATCAAGGGAAATAACCATCGGTCAGTAATAGTGTTTGAGACATCCTTGTCCTCAATACCTGATTATGCCATGACGTATATTAGGACAGAGGGAGTCGTCTATACCGACTTAAATTATGCATTAAAATCATTGTCAACATTATTGGAACACAATCTGCTGCTTTCATTATAATTACAGCAAATAGTACTATGAACAGCATGGTGGTCTAACTATTGTATTTACTCTCTACATACCGGCGCAAATATATATAGTTGCGAGGTAGAACCGAAGCATGGATGACAAACCCGTTAGGATGACAAACCCGTTACACGCATCATTGAACCCACTACACCAGTAAACTAACACGGGAGAAAGTATTAACGACACTGACAGGTGATTTGCACTGGAGATACTGTTGAACTTGGGTTGTTTTTTTCTTATACTTTGTTTATGGACGGTTTCCAGTGGTTCTGGGGTCACACGCACTGGAATCCGCCGATCTTCCCGCTGCCACACACGTGGTTATCCAGCGTGCCCCACGCCGACCGGTGAGAGAATTAGACCATCTTCTATCATACATGATCTATTTTAGTTTGCATCAATATCTCCATTGATGGATTCACCTCAACTTGTACACTACCCTATCTCCCTTTCGCGTTCTCGTACCTTTCGCGTTCTCACTGACATGATTACATGGTAGACAAACTTACTCATCTCCGGTCGCACCTCGTCCGCACCCCATCAGCCCATCAGCCCATCACCTCTGAAACCACATCAGCAACGAACATAGAAAGAACGGCAGGTTCTTCATCAAAATGTCTTAACGCACATGTAACACTGCATCTCCACCAGCTGTCCCTGATGCAGGATCCCACCACTCAGAGGACCTGAAACACACGGCAGAGGGTCTCGCCATACCGAATCGAGCACGGACAAAACACCTGCATCTGCAGATTGATTACCTGCCACGATGATCGTCGCCGCTCCGTTCTCAACTCGGTATCCGGGTGGTCCAGAGATGGAGCCAAAGTCCCTTCCTGCTCCTCCTACAGGCCACTGCTTATTTCAGAACGGAGGGTCGTCCGTGTAGCAGAAAACGGAAGGGACACTGAATAGCTAGCTATAAAGGCACCTGAACCCTCATATCTTGAGTATCATAAACAAGCCAAAGGAAATCAATCAAACGGTCACAATGAAGCTTTCCAACGCCCTCCTCACCCTGGCTAGCCTGGCGCTGGCCAACGTCTCCACGGCTCTGCCGAAAGCCTCTCCTGCACCGAGCACCAGCAGCAGTGCTGCCTCCACCTCCTTCGCCAGCACCTCCGGCCTCCAATTCACCATTGATGGCGAAACTGGCTACTTCGCCGGAACGAACAGCTACTGGATCGGTTTTCTCACTGACAACGCGGACGTCGACCTCGTCATGGGCCACCTGAAGTCGTCCGGCCTCAAGATCCTCCGCGTGTGGGGCTTCAACGATGTCACCTCGCAGCCCTCTTCCGGCACAGTCTGGTACCAACTGCACGAGAACGGCAAATCGACAATCAACACGGGTGCCGACGGTCTCCAGCGCCTCGACTACGTCGTCTCGTCTGCCGAACAGCACGACATCAAACTCATCATCAACTTCGTCAACTACTGGACCGATTACGGTGGTATGTCTGCGTACGTGAGCGCGTATGGCGGATCCGGCGAGACGGATTTCTATACCAGTGATACCATGCAGAGTGCCTATCAGACATATATCAAGACGGTCGTGGAGCGGTACAGTAACTCCTCGGCGGTGTTTGCGTGGGAGTTGGCGAATGAGCCGAGATGTCCGAGTTGCGATACTTCTGTGTTGTATAACTGGATTGAGAAGACGAGTAAGTTTATTAAGGGGTTGGATGCGGATCGTATGGTTTGTATTGGTGATGGTGAGTTGCCCCATACTCAGTCCTTGATTTTGATTTTGTATAATGGGTGCTGATGAAAGGTAGAGGGCTTCGGTCTCAACATCGACTCGGACGGCAGCTACCCTTACCAATTCTCTGAGGGCTTGAACTTTACGATGAACCTCGGTATCGATACTATTGACTTTGGTACCCTTCACTTGTACCCTGACAGCTGTACGTACCACCCTCTCCCCCTTACTCTCCTTGCCATCAATATCCAGACTAATAAAATCAAGGGGGCACCTCCGACGACTGGGGCAACGGCTGGATCACCGCCCACGGCGCAGCCTGCAAAGCCGCCGGCAAGCCATGTCTCCTGGAGGAATACGGAGTCACCTCGAACCACTGCAGTGTGGAGGGCTCGTGGCAGAAGACGGCGCTCAGCACAACGGGCGTCGGCGCGGATTTGTTCTGGCAGTATGGTGATGATTTGAGTACCGGGAAGTCGCCGGATGATGGGAATACTATCTACTATGGGACTAGTGATTATCAGTGCCTGGTGACGGATCATGTTGCTGCTATTGGTAGTGCTTGAGGGGAATACTGAGACTGAGCTGTGGTAGAAGAGATGTGTGTTTGTTGGTGATTTGAGAATGTATGTACAAAAGGGAGGAAGCGGTGAATGAGAGTTGTTCGTTGAGTCTGGTAAAAAATTGGACAGTCAAACCATTAGCCAAGACCAGCTAAGATACTGGGTATTACTGGTCACTGCGTATCATAATTAAACACGCTATTTATAAACCTAACAAGTGAAACATAAACAACAAGATTCCCATTCCCATCATACGCCATTGTCATGACCACCCCATATCCCCCTTCCCCTCAAAACCAATCTAATCCCTCCTATCCCCCGTCCTAACAGCCACCTCCACCTCACTCCCACTCTCACTCCTCTCCACCCCCTTCACCATCAAAAACGGCTCCGCATCACCAACCCTCTCCGCCGTCAACCCCGCATTCCCAGGCCATCTCATCCCCGCCTCCAACTGCCTCTGATACGACACACGCCTCAGCCTCGCCGACTCCGCCGGAGTAAGATGAAGATACAGCTCCGCCGCAAAGACATGAATAGCGACAGCCAGCCACGCCGCAGCACTGAAACTGATATCAAGGCCCGCGGCAGTCTGATCGACGTTCCCGGTGCCATTGCTGCTGAAGGCGTTGACGAGAACGTGGTGGTTCGGATTAGCGCCGGTGCAGGATGGGTGGAGGGATTGCACGATGGATTGGTTCCCGTTCAGCATGAAGGAGATCTCGGCGCAGGAGTAGGCTACGAAGTATTGTTCTGGGCTGAGGGCCACGAGGACTTTGTCTGTTGTGATGCCGATGATGCGCATGGTTATGATGAAGCCGCCCTATAGGGTTCAGAATTTAGGGTGGAAGAAAGAATAGGGGATGGGGGGGAAGGGGGAGGGGCTTACCACGACCCAAGCGCGGATCATCCATGCCCGGTGCTGCTCGATCTGGAGTCGTTTGATGTTATAGTAAGCGATGCAGATGCAGCTGAGGAAGATAATGAGCGCTAAGCCGAGGGCGATTTGGATGCTCAGGCCGCCGCCGAAGCTGTGCTCGGCTATCATTAGGACGCCGGCCATGCCGATGAAGGAGCCGATGATGACCAGGTAGCCGTTGATGCGGTGGAAGAGGATCACTTTGTGGCGGATGACGGGGACGAATTGCAGGAAGGCGAGAAGACAGGCTGGGAGGATGGCGCCCAGGTGGAGGAGGATGCCGACGCGGCCGCGAGTATCCTGGTAGTAGAAGCATTCGCCGGGAAGAGCATTGGCTTTGTTCTGGTCGGCGGGACAGAAGATGTTGTCGAAGTCGAGGTACATCAGACGCGCGAGAGAGAAGCCGAGGAGTGCACCGGCGGATATCATCCATAGGATGAAGTTGTAGCCTTTGGCGAAGCCGATCGGGTTGTAGATCTTTCGGGCTGTGGCTACGAAGTTGTTGGCTGGGGGGCGGTCGACTTTGACCATGTTGGTGGTTTGATGAGTGGTGATCGAGAGGGATTAAGGGCGAGTTGGTCGGTTGATGAGGTTGGATTCTTCGATGTGATATTTCCGAGGCAATTTGATAGCTATGAGGAGGTGATTTTATACATCTTCCGTGCTCAGGCACACCTACGAACAACCCCAGTGGTCTCGTTCCTGCGGGCGATGCATTGTTTCAGAAGCCATAAACTTGTCCGATAAGGGCTATACTTTCGCGATGGGATGAGCTTAATCAGACGAACGAGATAGACAAGAACGGGACAGAATCTAAGCACTATTAATAGTTTAGGCAGATATGAACCCTGTAGATTTGGTTATCAGGGAAGCTGAAACCCCAGACCCACGCATGTTTAAAGGTGAGGCCCTGTCACACTATACCAAACCGGGTATCTTTTTTGCGACAGCACATGGCCAAGATCCTATGCCGTCCGACAGAATCTCAGCCGCAGTTGCAGCCACCCCGCAACTAGTCGGCTTAAGTGTTGTGATTAGGCTCTGAGTGGGGGCCGAATGTCAGCCTTGTCTGGTCGGACCTCCTATTTAATCCATTTATTGATGAAGGATTGCAGATACCCATCCTGTCGCAACACCATCGCTGCTTTTGGCACCCCCCCACTCTCAATATGGTCAATCGCGGACCCTCTGGAGGATGTGTTACATGCAAAACACGACGTGTCAAATGTGACGAGGCGAAGCCCGAATGCCACGCGTGTCAACGCCTCAACCTTCGTTGCGGGGGCTACAAGCCAAAGCCTGTCAAGATTAGGTTCAAGGATCAAACCGCCAAGGTTCGCAACGACCTTGTTTCGAAGCAAGCCGCTCAGAATCAACAATGGGTGCCTTGCTTGCGATCGCTAGCCGAACCCGACCCTGCTGTCCCATTCTTCATTCGACATTACGGCGTCATGGGTCGCAATGCGAAGTCTGCCCGTGGGTTTTTCGAGATATTAGCTCCAGTATACGCTACTCAGCAGCAGAGCTCGCCTCTCTCGCTCGCGGTGACTGCCGTGGCTTCGGAAATCCTGTCGCGTTGGCGGCACGAGAGTAGCTCCCGAGCATCTTGGGAGACTTATACCCAGGCCATCAAGCGTCTTCGGGAGACTATCCAGGATCGCAATGAATTGACCAACCCGGCAACAATGTTAGCCGTGTTGGCGCTGCAATTTTATGAAAATTTCGCTGTTATATACGGCAGTCACCAAGCCACGGGGGTACACCACGAGGGAGCCGTCTCCTTGCTCCCACTCACCGATCAGGATCATGCCAGTGGGTCGCTGATCGCACACATTCGGCGATGTATCCTTCACAATGAGATTTTATCAGCGATACGTCATAAACGGCTTCTGCATAGCACGGCCCACTCGCGTCTTGGGTGCATAGAGCCGACAATTGCGCCAGGTAATTTAGGCCCCGCACTCGATGCAATAGGCGTGTCCGTGGCCGAGTTGAATGCAAGTTATTGGCAGCAAGCAGCACACATAGGTTCCATGTCTTCGACAGAATTCTGCAGAGACTGGAGAGCCGAGGCAAAATGTATTGACGAACGACTCCTGGCTTGGGCACAAAACGTCCCGCAACATTTGCAGCCGGTGAGACTCCCAGATGGAATTGCTCTCGATCCTTCGATCCCAACCTACAAATCTATCTGCGACGTCTACATTTCGTGCCAGATTGGATCACTGTGGAATGAATGGCGCGCTCAACGCCTCTTGCTCGTCAAGATAATCCTCAGCTCGCTTAGTACCATTCCCACCGCTGGCCATCTTGAGCAATCAAATGCTGAAACCGAAGAGTTCGCCGAGTATAAGCACCTTCTTCAAGAGCTGGTCGATTTGGTCTGTTACAGCGTGCCCTTTTACCTTGGGAACCAAGGCGGATGGTTAAGTATTCCCGACTTAACCGATCCAGCAATTGTGTTTCCTAGCCATCGCTTACTAGGAAATGTCAACCAGCAAAAGTCTGCGCAGAAGTCAGAAGACGAGCACAGAAGTCATATTATCGCCCAAGGGCCGTGGCACGTCATGAGTGTGTTGAGTCGCGTGGTGGCATTCTTTATCGAGGACCATGGTCCGGGGATGGTGTCTTTTCTCCGACCTGGACAGCTCGAGTGGATCCGGGAGCAGTTCCTGCGTGTCACGCAGCTACTCCGGATTCCGTTGGAGGAGGCCGGTGATGGTAAAGCGAGATTCTACCCGTTGGACCGGTCTGTACAAGCAGATCTAGATGCCAAAATTGACAATCTCGCAAAGCGGATCAGGAAGGGCGCGTTTATATGACTGTTCTTAGGGACTTGGTCTGACAATCATTGTTTGAAGTGTTATTTGGGGGATGCAAGATCGAGAGAGGACAGAAGTGAGGTTTATGATGATGCTAATAGTACGTTGATGATAGCTACGTTAATCTTCTGCAGTTGGAGGTAAATGTACTACATACCCTGAAAGTAAGCAGCAACCTGAGGCCGAAACCATCAGCCTCGCCGCCAAGCCCGAATCTGCCTGCAGCACAGCCTCGTCTCACTCTCTTCCTTCACGACAACTGATCATTAGGCTGCACAGTAATGTCGCTTGTTTGATTTATCTGTCTTCATTCTATTGCAGAACTAGAGCAGCATATAACCTCAAAATCACTGGCCATCTACTTACTACAAGATAGGCCGACCGAAAGACCTTCCTCCCTCCTACGAGGAGACGGTGGCTAGTGATTCCAATCTCCCCGCCGCCGCCTCCCGGCCAGCACCACCACCACCACCACCTCCTCCAACCACTTTCTCCTTTCCTCAACTCCCCGATGCCCCCATCCCGGACAGCAGACCCTATCACAGCGTCCACTCAGGCAACCGCGACTCTTCGACGGTTACCCTCGCCCCATCCCTCAGCGAAGATGCCTCGTCCCTGCACGCGCTTATCACCCAGCAAGCCGAGTTCCCGCCGCGACCGTACCTGACCGTGCGCGGTTCCCACACCGAGACCCGCCACGACCACCATCGCAAGGAGGATCGAAAGGAGACCGTGGTGGACTTTACCTTTAAGGTTGATCTCTACGGATATATAGTACGCCACGAGCATGGAACCCAGCAGTATGGCGATGACGACAACTTGGGACTGGACCTGGACCCAACCCAGGATGGATGGCATGTGCTGAGTGTCGTGCGGGATAATGATACCCGAAAGACTTACCGCGGAGGCCGAATCAAGTCGGAGACATGGCCGGGCCGTAGAAAAGGGCCACTGGGACAGCGACTGCGACAGCGAGTGTCACAGCGACTGCGCTCACGATTCGTGCAACTGGAGGATGGCCTTGATCCCGAGGCGGCCGGGTTGGTCCGACAGGACGAGGACGGTCCTGGTTTGATGGGCTGGTGTGAGCGATACTGCGATGATCCGGCTTCTGTTAAATCGTGCGCCATTCCCAGTTGGTCTTCCTCTATGTACGATATGCTGACATATGCAGGTTCAAATTCTCCCGCAGCGTCGTCGGCTTCGATGGCTCCGTTCTCATCTCCTCATTAACATCCCATCTGCGCAGTCTTCACTACAAAGGCGACATAAGCATTACTGTCGACATGGCGAACCGCGACTTAGTAGTATACAACCCTCACTGGGTAAACAAGCTACGCAACAATGCCTGGGTATACTACTTCTGTATTATTTGCCAGGTGTGGATCCTCGCATGGCCGATTATCTGGTTGCTCGAGCGTCGCTACGACGTTGTCCGCTCGGTGTGGTATTTCTCGCGCGTTGAGGACGGTGAAACGCGATATGCGCGCCATCGGGATGAGGCAGCCATCGCGGATGAGCTGGCTCCGGCTGTGACGCAGGCGGCGTTGGAGCGGATTCAGGATGGGAGGATCTTGACGGCACCGGAGATGCGACTGCTCGATTCACTGGGGAGAGAGAGGCGGGAGCGTGGCGTCGTGGTGATGCAGTGGGATCGGTTCCTTGGATGGGGCGGTGATAGTTACTCCTAGCTGCCGGGCGATAGCCGGTGATGGGTGCTATCTAGGAGATATTGTGCATGGGCTACAAGCCACGTCAAGGCGAGCATTTAAGTCGCATCATATCATTGGTGTAGACCTGTTATTATCAACAGCCTGGATGTCAGTGACCAGGCATGTGACTAACGACCACAACACATAAGTCTGAGCAAGACATAAACCATAAGATTGCAAAGGATTGGTCCAGTATACTGCTTATCATATATCAAATGCATACCAGACTTAAGCGAGCCTTGATCCTGGCTCAACGCTGCAGGCGCATATGTACAACACCGGGTAACTACCCGAATAGGCTCACAATTTCTCGACCAAAACCGAGCAGCCGGACCGGTAGCCGGACCGGTAGATGGCGTTGTTAGAGTCTAAAAAGAAGGATCAGGGGTATCAAGACCCTGAGCCAGGCTAGGATTTCGGCGATACGAGAGGAAGCGATAGCCAGCTGGACTGGGATAGGGCAGGATAAGACACGCTAGACGGAACCGAGGCACGGAACGCCACAGCAGCCAGTCAGGGGGGAAGAGGTCTGTCCTCCATCAGCTGCCACAAGGCTGTACCTCACCAGAGATCCTGCATACTAGTCCCTTCCGGGGGCCGGTCAGCAAGCGCATTGGCAAAGGAAGCGAGGCGAGGCGTGGCTGATAAGCGTGTCTTGAGCCCGATGCCGCTCACGCAAGCACCAATCACGCCCAGCAACTTAATTTCCCCCGCATCTTCTTATCTTGTCCCGTCCATTCCCAATTCATCTGGAAGCCCCCGACCGTCGTTATTATCATGCATCCCACTGGTTAATGTCGCTGACCGTCCCGGTTGCGGGGATTGTCCTAACGGTAAGCGATGTCATGCCAAGGGGGGTGGTACGAGGACCAGCGTGATGCTTTCCCGTTACTTATAACCAAGGCAGCTCGCACGACGTTGCTCTTCCGTCACCTTGAGATGTCCACCACTTCACCCTCACTCGATCTCCCTTCCCCCTTCGCAGTGTCTCGTACACCATGGCTCTGTCAGAGAAACCAGAAATGGCGTCTACATCACATCCGGACCCCGAGTCCGGCATGGCAGCCGGCGATCTGAAGTCGGGTGCCTTGCATGAGATGATCGCGCGCGACCTGCTCGATGAACGATACAAAGTTACTCAGCGTGGCCTCAAAAACCGCCATGTGCAGCTCATGGCCCTGGGAGGCACAATCGGCACCGGTCTCTTCGTCGGGTCGGGTCAGGCTCTACATATCGGTGGTCCGCTGTCCCTCTTGCTCGGTTATATCTTCATTTCTGTCCTCGTCTTCGCCCTCGTCACTGGCATCGCGGAAATCGGCGCCTACATGCCCGTTCACGGTGGAACAATGAGCTATCACGGCTTTCGCTATGTCTCGCGCAGCATGGGGTTCGCAATGGGATACTTGTACTGGTACTCGCTGGGTATTTTGGTCCCCTATGAAGTTGTCGCAGCCTCCATGGTCATCGATTACTGGCATCCGAACGTCAATCTGGCCGTCTGGATCACCATCATGCTGGTCGTTATCGTGCTTCTCAACTGTCTCCCGGTGGGCGTATATGGCGAAACTGAGTTCTGGTTCTCCGGAATCAAGATCATTACTCTGATCGGTTTGCTGCTCTTGTCCTTCATCCTCTTCTGGGGCGGTGGTCCCAACCGGCAACGCCTCGGGTTTCATTACTGGAAAGATCCAGGAGTCATGAACACCTACCTTGTCAGCGGTGATGCCGGTCGCTTCGTCGGACTTCTTCAGTGCATCGTCAAATCAGCTATCGCCTTCATCTTCGCGCCCGAATTAGTCGTCATCAGTGGCGGTGAAATGGAATCCCCGCGTCGCAACGTCCCCAAGGCCGCACGTCGCTATATCTACCGATTGGTCATCTTCTACGTCCTAGGCGCTCTGGCCATCGGAGTGATCTGCTCCTCCAACGCCAAACAACTAACCGCCGGCTCCGGCACCGACGCCTCCTCCTCCCCCTTCGTCGTCGCAATCTCCAACGCTGGCATCCCCGTCCTCGACAGCATCGTCAACGCCGCGATCCTCACCTCCGCCTGGTCCGCCGGCAACTCCTTCCTGTACATGTCCTCCCGCTCGCTCTACTCCCTTGCCGTGTCCGGCAACGCTCCGAGCATCTTCAAAGCCTGCAACCGATGGGGCGTACCGTACTACGCCGTGGCCATCTCCTCCCTTTTCTCCCTCCTCGCCTACATGGCCGTCGGCAGCGGCAGCTACACCGTCTTCAACTGGCTCATCAATTTCACCAACACCTCGGGCTTCATCTCCTGGTTCTGCTGCAGCATCGTGTACTTCCGCTTCAACAAGGCTGTGAAGGTACAGGGCGTCGAGAAACCGTATGCATCTCGCATGCAGCCATGGGGCATGTACATCGGTCTGGTAGGGTCGGTTTTCCTTGCCCTCATCAATGGATTCACGTGTTTCTTTCCGTCCGAGTGGTCCGCGAGTAACTTCTTCACGGCGTATATTGGCATTCCGGCGTTTGTGGTGCTATATGTTGTTCATCGCATCGTCTTCTGGAGTGATCCGTGGGCGTGGAGGAGTGAGGAGGTCGATTTGCATACCGGGTTGAGGGAGATTATGGAGGCGGAGAAGCCCGAGAGGGTCAGGGATACGTGGTGGAAGAAGTTGGCGGTTTTGGTGGAGTAGCCGGTGATATTTGATTAGTGTTGTTGCGGGTGTCTGCTCGGTTAATAGTAGTTCATTTAGCTAAAATACCACCTGTTATTAGGGATTCATGTTCGATGTCTTGAGACATATTTTCCATCCGTTGAACCGGGTATCCTCGTTATAAATATCTATAACCGGCGCCCGACCACTATCGTTTCGATCGCATCGCAGATTCGGAACCGAAGGATCAGTCATTATTGTCGCTGTATCAAATAGACCAAGGGAAGACCAGACAATTTAGAGTGGTGGGAATTCCTACGATCAACCAAGGGAAGAGGGAGCCAAGCGTCCATATCGGGGTATATAGCATCGATAAGGCATCATGGTTAGGCCGGAAGATGACTTGGCGGGGACGCCTGATGTCAGTTGTGTGTCGCACAGGGATTGATTGGATGTGACATGCATGGTTGAGGGCCAATTAAAATAAGAGTATATATATCTTTCTGGCAACGAGGGCTTTGGGGAAGTCTTTGACTTTGGTATACGTACTTGCAAACGAGACAGATCGGTCAACCGTATAAATCGACGTTTGCGGACAGTCGGAAACTAACAACTAATGGCACATGCGGATTCTTAGCCAACGGCGCCTGCTGACTTGAATCTAGACTTGGATGTATACGGAATAGAGTTGGAAGTCGGAGTCATTGGGACGTCAGATATGAGTTACAAAAGCATCATCGATCAGTATTCTTTACGGGTTGCACTGAAGAAGGAACTGAATGCAGTGGTTGTACTTGAACAGAACTGTGGCTTTAGCCATCAGTGGAAGAGTCAACAATTCCACGGAATGCTGAAATAGATGGATTTTGATCCAGGCCCGGCCCGACATTCACCTTCAAGCTTAGTTTCGCTACAGTAAAGAGCTTGGGAAGCTAGTTATTAAGGTTAAACGATGACAGCTGAATAAATTGGAGTTCCAACTCTCCGGACCCGAATCGGTGCTCCTCAGCCGACACACATGGTGCAGCCATTCTTTACTCATCCATGGACCATTTCCTCTGATCAAACCACCATGTGATCATTCTAGATGGAAAACATCTATTCAAAATTTAGTAAGTATTCATAATTCAAATTTGTTATGCAACTATCACCGAACTAGCCCGGCTAGCTCAATCGGTAGAGCGTGAGACTCTTAATCTCAAGGCTGCGGGTTCGAGCCCCGCGTTGGGCTTTCTTTTTGATTTTTTGCCCACCAAAACTACAACAACAACAACTGCTACAGTAAAAGCCGCGAGAGTTAAACTATAATTCACGATTGAAACATGTGATATTAAGCCTGGCTGCAACCGTCGGACCTCAAACCATGGATAAGCTAATTGATCATGACAACAGTAAAGGTCTGGAACGGTCTACCTCTGATGTAGCTAGATTCAGGAGCATAAATGGTGCACCCCGATCCAATCCCAACTGAACAACGGCCGAATCCTTAGCTAGCGTAATGCAAGATCTGTCTTATGAGCTGCCTTCAGTAACCAACATGATGTCCCCAATCCTTGCTTCAGCTCTACTTCTCTCCGGGGTCCTGGCGGAGCACTTCCAGGTCCCTTTACAACATACCATCTCACCTTGCTCCACCAGTCCACATACTACCCACAACGACTTTAACCACAACATCAACTCCATCCCCCACGGCATCACTGACGACCCTCGCAGTATCGACAACCAGACATTCGACTACATAATCGCCGGCGGCGGGCTAACTGGCCTCACCCTCGCCGCCAAACTAGTCGAGCAGAAGAAATACACCGTCCTAGTGATCGAAAGCGGCTTCTATGCATGGGAATACGGCCCCAAGATTGACGACCTCAACACCTACGGCCAAGTATTCGGCAGCAGCGTCGATCATGCCTACGAGACCAGTCCGCAGCTCGTCGGCAACGACGGTGAAACTGGACTAGATAAAGACATCCGAATTGTTCGGTCCGGAAATGGTCTCGGAGGGTCAACGCTCATCAATGGGGGAACGTGGACCAGGCCTCACAAGTCGCAGCTTGATTCGTGGGAAGAGGTCTTTGGGAATACAGGGTGGAATTGGGACGCGCTGAAGGGGAAGATGGATGAGATTGAGGTTCCGAGGGATCCGACGTCGGATGATATTACGAAGGGGTCGTTCCATAAGTTTGATGCTAAGTGTCACAATCAACAGCCGGATAAGGGGAAGGTTAAAGTCGGGGCGAGGGATCGGAAGTATGGTTGGTCGCCGTTGATCAAGGCGTTGATGCATACGGTTAACAGTACGTATGAAGAGGTGGTGAATCAGAAGGATCTGTGTTGTGGGGATCCAACTGGGGTGTCGATGTTTTTGAACACGCTTACCAATGAGCAAATCCGGACGGATGCTGCTAGGTCGTGGTTGAAGCCAATCTTGGATGATGATGAGTTGAAGCAGTATATTACGGTTTTGACGGGGGAGCTCGTTGGGAAGGTTCATCTGGCCGACGCCAACCCTTCGGAGACAGGAACAGAATTCAAAGCGAAAGGTGTGGAGTTTGGGGTGCACAAGAAACAGGAGTGGAAGTGGGATGCTTGGGCTAGGAAAGAAGTCCTCCTAGCAGCGGGGTCCACGATCTCTCCCCTCATTCTGCAGTGGTCGGGAATCGGTCCGAAAGCCTGGCTTGATGCTGCGGGAATAGAACATAAGTTGGAGCTTCCTGTGGGATATAACCTCCAGGATCAAACAACCACTTCGGTAGTGACGAAGCCGAAACCAGAAGCGAATGGCCAAGGCCAGGCAGCCTACTTTGCAACCTTCGCAGAGATCTTCGGTAACGATGCTTCAGATATGGAAAAGCTCCTGAAAGACGATACAGAGCTCGACAAATGGGCAGAACACACAGTGAACGGCCACGGATTCCCTGACAAGGCCAATCTCCTAAAACAGTACAAGAACTACCGAGACTGGCTCCTAACCGACAAAGTATCCTATGCCGAACTATTCCTTGACACCGACAACAGCACCCATTTCGACCTCTGGAATCTGATCCCATTCACCCGAGGGTATGTCAAGATCCTAGACAACGACCCCTACCTGCGGAGCTTCGAATACAACCCACGATACTTTGAGAATATCCTCGACTTGAACGGCCAAGCTGCTGCTACGCGGCTGGCACGACAATTGACCAACACGTACGACATGAAACAGTACGTGGACAAAGAGCAGGTCCCGGGGAGGTATGTGCCAGAGAATGCGAGTCTAACTGAATGGGCCGATTATGTGAAGCAAAACTATCGGGCCAATTATCACGGGGTGGGGACTTGCTCTATGATGAAGAAGGAGCTTGGTGGTGTTGTCGACCCGGAGGCTAAGGTTTATGGTGTGGAGGGGTTGAGAGTGGTGGATGGTTCTATCCCGCCTACGCAGGTGTCGTCGCATGTTATGACGGTGTTTTATGCAATGGCTGTGAAAATTGCGGAGTCTGTTATTAAGGATGCTGGTAATGCTTAGGGGTGGGGCGGTTACATTCAATGAGATGAGGGAATGATTGGGGATAGTGGGTAGTAGAACTATCAACTGAATTCAGTACAAAAAGGGCAAAGAGTGCAAATTCAATCTCAGGATGAAAATTTGTGTAACAAGCGTCTAAGACGGAAGTATAAAGCATAGGCTTCTTGAAAGGGTAACATAAAAGGATTAGTTGGTCATCTGGAGATCCGAGGGATTCGGAGTTTAGCGAGGATGCGTTGGTAAATTATCACAATGATAAAAGTCTCTACCCCTGAACCTTCCATGTGGCCACCTCTTGAGTTACACAAGAACTGGCAATTTCCATCAGCCAAGTGTGTGACGACGGGTATCCCACTTATGAAAGCCTAGCCAGGGGCGTTCCGTCCTAATCACGGATTACACCTCACCTTGGCTGGACCTCCAAAAGGTATATAAGCGGTACCAAGTCTCCTGTACTGCTACCAGTCTATCTGCTTGCATTCCCAGATGTAATTTGGAATCAAAGCTGAATGAACTATATAAGTCAATGAACAACATAGTTGTCCACTACCAGGATGACATGACAGTCGATGCTTTTGAACTGGCCATTCTGCATGAGAAGCTGCCTAACAACCCTTCAAAGCCAGTTCCGAACAGACCCATGCAGATGATGAAAGGGTCCAGTCAATCTCAGAAGTGCCGAAAGAACAGCATTTGAGGGCCTGCAGACCTTTTGTTAAAAAGCGCGCCAAGGAAGTACTCGATGTTATGGTTTTCGAAGCATGCTATATATTCAATGATCAAATAGGATCCCCAGAAGATTGATTACAGAGGCTTCCAAAAGGGAGTGGAAGCTTCATGGAGGACAGAATTCACTATAACGGTACAACGAAGGAGAGATTCAGTACGGTCTGAGACATATGCAACACAAGGACTATTCCCGTTATCGATATAGTGGATTGCATGCAGTGGACTCTCTTTAGCTTCTTTTGTTCGAGTTACTATATAATCTTCCTTTAAAAAAGGGAATGAGAGGCAAAGATGTTGCCTGGATGTGGACCAGGCCAACAACTATTGTGGTTGTTCTGCGCATACATGCTTTTGTTGTGCGCGAAGGTCGTCATCTGGAATTCTAATGGACGTTGCTTCCATCCCAGAAACGCCTCGCAATCTTCATTTGATGAAAGACAAAGGTATATAACAAGTGAACACTTGCGAGCCTGACCACGAACGTTTCCATACTCACGAACCGACTATATTTTGATTTATATAACAAGCTCTTGTTTCTTGCATAGCCAAGGAGAGTTTCCACCTGACTCGGGGTCATCATGAGAACTATATTACTAGCAGTGATGGATCTCAGTTCGCTCGCCTGACTGTGCCAAACGAGACCTACTTATTGGCTTTATATATATCACAAGCAGAATGCTCCTTGGGTACAGGCTGGTAGATCCCCGTTTCTTTATTCCAAACCTTTGTGGCACCAAAAATTCCGAATGTGGTTGCTGGGGGCTCGTCGCTTAGAAGCAGCATATCGAAGTATTCAATTGTTCGTTGCAGTTATGTCTACAATACAGGAGTAGCTGGGTTGAAGATAAGCGTGTGCTTGTGGAATGGCGGTTGCGAAACCTTACTGGGCGGGAATTGGACCTAATTATCAATAGTATATATCACAGACTGGAGACGAAAACCACAGAGAACACTACCAAGTAGCCGTGTCGGACTTCATTGAGCTATGGAAGCATGATGATCCCGCAGCAGCCGATCCTTCTCACAACCTGCCGGGTCATGGTGATGAAAAGAAACCCAGGTTTGTCTTCGGCCCGCACTTGACTGTGCACGTCAATACAGACATACCTGAACCACGATATACCGTTCGAGTTTGATCAACTAATTATGCTTCTGAGACTGGTTCTGACAAGTCGACAGCAGCCCGGCCTCTAATGCCACTGGGAGGGGTGTACACGTACGGAACCTTTGACTGACCATATCCTGGACCCATCAGCTATCAACTGAATGCCTGGGTCAACCAGCAGCAGCCCGAATTGTCTAATATTGCATTTGGATTAATCGTCCAGACGGGGATGCTGAACCAAGGATATAATTTGACTCATAGTATGGACTTGTCTGAACAGGATAACATGCCTGAATCAAGATATACCACTCAAAAACAAGAATTCATTAGACTTCTAATACCGATTTTGACAACACGACAGCAGTCTGACCTCTGATGCCATTGGGAATGGTGTACACATAGGGGCCCGTTTATACGGAAACAGGAACTGACAAGGCACCAGCGGTCAGTTCACGAACTCACTGACGTGTTGAGTAGCTGAACATGAATGCGCCCTTTGGCGAAGGGCTGCGGCAAGGTCATTATCAAGCCGGCGATCCCAGCAGTCATGTGTATATCTGGCATGACTATGCTACCCCCATTGACTATAAAGTTGCAGGGTGAAGTTCTCTGGTATGGAGTAATAGATGACGAATTAGGCGGCTTATTGCATTTCTTCCTCTTACAACCACAATGAGCAACATTTCTCAAGGATGGTTACCGCAGATATGACGTGCGGAATTTACTTGTTGGAAGCACAGCCTAAGCAGATGTCTCTAATGAAATAATATGGACCGAACTACTCGAGTCCGAGTTCCCGAAAACTTTCAGACTCAAGGAAGACCTAGGGCGAGCTCAAACCCAAGTGCTTATTGACAACAACTCAGCCTTCACCGTTACCAAGAATTCTGGTCATCACCGCAATGCAAAGCATATCGAGATAAGTTACCACGTGCTCAGAAACCGCGTTGAAAACAAACAAATCACCGTCGAGCGAGTTGCGTTAAAGGATAACCTCGCCGACTTCTTCACCAAAGCTATGTCTCAAAACATGGATGTTGGAATGTCCGCAGCTGGAAGAGACCAAGCAATGCTACAGCACTAGCTGGTGTTCCTTTCGAAAACTGGACATCCCCAGCTTAATGGGTTTAGATTGACTGGGTGGGGCATGTGGAGATCACATCTATTTTATCCCCCCGCATCGGACTATCATTCTTATTTGTGCTTCGCTTCGCACCGCCACATCTGATCACCCACACACACTTGAACCCACAAAATAGCACCAGGTGTGCACCATACGGCGAGATGACTGGCTGGGGGAGCAGTTGTCAGCTGTTTCAGGTCATTTCGCGCATTCATCGTCCGCCTCATCGGAATAGCTCACATGCACATCCTTAGCACATTATTTAATGTCTGCTGTGGCTTCAGACAGATTCCCTATAGTTATTATATAGATAGTATTAGATTGGCTGTGTATATCCGCTGCACCGCGTATGGTCAGCGATGCACAAACGAGACCTTGCCTACAAATCGAGTTGTTATGACAACCCCAACCTATAATAATAATTGCTTCCATGAGCGCTTATCAGAACTAATATATTGCCAAGACTGCACCGATCTCCTAAATGCTTATTGTCCCACTCATAGCAGATGTCTTCATAACAATGCATCTAGATTACGTAATATACACCAGCATGAAGTATTGCGGCCTGAGGCACGAAGGGCTAAAGGGCAGCTGAAATTGTGCTGCCTAGGAAGTGGTCGTAACCGTGCCAGCTCTAACCAACAATATGAATATAGGGATTTGACTATCACCAAGAACAATGCCCAAACAGTTTGAAGAGTATTGAAGTTGCGGGTCAATAACGGGGAAAGAGCGTCCAGGTTAAGTCCTGATACATAGAAAATCAGCAAAAATTTTGAAGGTGATCGCATTTTCCACAGCGAGAAGCCCGTTGATCTCGTTAATAGCCCTTAATCTGAAACAAGAAGGCTATCGTCTAGTGTATGGCAGTTATTCCATTCACTGAGTCATTGGTTCTGGACTTGTCCGCGTTAAGGACCAACGCTCGGTAAACGTCATCCCATATCTCGATGCACCACTCGGGCTTAGGCCTGCAGGCGGTGTGCCAGTCAGCCTCACCCAGCTTTTGCCCTCCAAGACCCTGCCATGAGAGGAAAGCGATCTTTGGCATGAGTTACGCTCGTTGTGCCTGAAGCCAAGTGGACAAATCCCTACGGGCTTTCTCTTTCTGGAGCGCGATCGAAGGAGAGTGCCATACGGTCATCTGCTCACACTACGGATCTGTCCAGTAAGATTGTGCATGAAAGGCTCCTTTTAGGGTGATTGGGCTTTGGAGAGCTCAGAAAAAGGCAATTTGTTATTGAGACTCCACAGATAGCCGTTTAGACTCTACGGCTAGCTTTATCGGGAATAGTACTAAACTTTAGTCTACCTGTTTAGAATAAATAAAATAATATTCAATTTAATTAAATACTAGACAAGCTAGCGATAATATGAGTTTCTAAGTATCTTACCAAATAATCCTGAGCACATAGTTACCATCCTAAGCGTCCGAGTATTTCGTTCATGGTCTAGCTAGAATATTACTTCGGAATTCCAGAACAAATTCTTAGAAATAAAACGCTAAGAAGAAATCCAGATATCTGTATGTAAAATATACCCCTTGATTTCAGGAGGCGCACGAACCAGCTCGTTGAGATGCTAAACACCAAATGAGGTATTCATTAAATGTAGTACTGGCCGCAGCAAGCAGGGGTAGAGCATTATTGTACAATAATAATAATAATAATAATAGTAAAATAAATCACAATTACTTGACCAGAGATTACATAATATCGCCTAGTGGCAGTGGTATGGGCTATTCCTAACCTCCTTGAGACTGGGCCTAACCTCTGTAGACTAGCCATGGAGTCCAATTGGCCACCTGTATAATCTCAATAACAATTGTATCAAACAAAGGACTGGACGATTTACTATGAAATAGTCGAAGTATCTGTGGGATATTCGAGAGCACGTTTGACCCAGACTTTTAGGGAACCTCAGATGAGACGAAGTTTCTGGTCATAGGAAGGATTAAAGTCAGAACTCAGACCTCAGGTGTCAGGGAGAATTGCAAGCATCGTTGGCTCTTTTTTGGGGGGCACACTGTGTTCCAGACAGACTGAACCCACCTCTGAGGCCACCCCTCTTAAGACCACTGCGTTGTTGGGGGAAATGATCGCTGGTAGACTTCCGGTCAAGACTAGACCGAGTTGGGGAAAACTAAAATGAAAAACAGATGACCGCCAAATTAGGAAATCGGAAAACCGGCAGGGAAGATTGAATAAAAATCAAAAACGGATCCAGGAAGTTGGCAGGGAAAATTACCATGATAATTGAAAATGGAAAACGTTTAACGGCCATGTCAGAAACTTGGAAAATCGGCAAATCTTTTTTTTAAATAAGAAATGAAAAATGGTTAGGGGACCATAAAAGAAAAAACATTTTTTCTCCCCGAAAAAAAAAAAAAAAAAAAAAAAAAAAAAAAAAAAAAAAAAAAAAAAAAAAAAAAAAAAAGAAAAAAGAAAAAGAAAAAAGGAAAGAAAGAAAGGAAAAGAAACGAACCAGGGCAGATCGGGCCAGTGGAGCTTAGGGAGACCCGCTTGCCGGGCAATTGAAGCCCGCCCGACCCCACGACATACACGTCTGGTCTGTATACGGACGTCGCGATCATACATCATCGAGCGCATAGCGCCCCTTCTAGAACTGTGCCTACCTATATATACCCCAGCTATCTCTGCCCCCATTGAACTAAACTCATCAACCATCTAGCAGTCTTTTTCTGGGACGTTCGTCCTTTTAGGCTCTACTGTTTTACCAAATACTACAACAACCTTCCCAATGCAGAACGTTCCGGGTCGCGATTCGAGTTCCGGCAGGAAAGCTGCTTATACAAACACTTCCATGCCAAACACCCATGGAACCGAGTGTACTGGAACCCTACCTACTCCGACAAGCCTTGGCCAAAAAACAGGTGAAAATGCGGACTTCAGCTCAGCAGTAGTAGACCCGACAGCGGCATTCCAGTTCAGCGACCCATTCAACCAAATTCTCTTTGGCTATCCGACCGCTGCGGACCCCCTCCATGTCATCAACGAGTACAACCCAAGTCAGCCTGCCCACCCTGGATTGCACGAGTATCAGCCAGGAGGGGAAATTCTAGAACAATTGTTCCTGAGTCGCCCCCCGATGGTCCCCTTGCCGGAAGCTGCTGCGGTCCCACCCGCGCTGACCTATGGCATACGCGGAGGTCGCGGGCAAGAACCCATGATGTAAGTAGTTGAGAGATAAGTACCCTACGATTGCATCGTTTTGATGATGAGAGTTGCGATCCAGACCCCAACTTGCCACACTCCGCTGCAAGTGGGAAGGTTGTACGTATTCACGATCCTTCAACAGGAGAGAAGAACTGCTCCGACATGTCAGAAACCTCCATGTTTCTCCCCGGTCTTACCCTTGCGAAACGTGCGGTCGGCGATTCAATCAGTCATATAACAGAGCGGTCCATATGCGGGTTCATCAGATGGGAGGGGTATCACGTGGGTGAGGCCAAACACATCACCGTTATATGCTCTTTTCATCGCCACAATCCTTTTCTTGTCTTACTTTGTTTGTTGTCTGGGGGAATCGGGGTATTGTTCGCGAAAGGACAGAAGGCATGCGTATTAGGGCATTTTCTTCCTTCCCTTTTCTTTTTATCTAGAATATGTTTTCTACGTTCTCATGAGACATTTCGGGTTACGTTTGTTTATGCTCTTGGGAAGTTCATGAAATAGAACTGATTTTTAAATATATCGGTTGGGTTGATTACATTAGCGACCAACAGCAAAAGGTGCCTTGCATAGAAGTTCGCTAAACCCTGCGGGTAGATGCCATATGACGATGACATGTGGGCATATTCTGAAGAATGCATAAGTGTTGCTCATTAGTGTAGCCGAAGAACACTATCGAACAGGAAAATAATTTAGTATGAGCTTCAGTACTGTTTCTATTTCCACCTTGATGCACGAGGGCGTGAACACAAGGTGATTGTTGACGCAGTATTAATAGTAGGCTTGGTCACGTCACGTGGCTGCATTGCGCTGCCGCCACAACAAGCACCTCTTCGTCGCGCTCGTTCCGCTGCATTCTTTGCTTGCTTGCTTCCCCGCCTGTAGAGTGTTCGAACACCAGATGTATTTTACCACCTCTGTAATAAATAACAGGAAACGCTCTATGGGGGAGATTCTCGGAATTAACAGTCCCTCAAGATCCAGAACCTACAAGTCAACCGTGGCTACAAATCGGATAGTGTACACCCAGATAGCCGCGCAAATCTGAAGAAACCCTGGGTCCGTGCGGGGACAGATGGGAGCAATTCCATGCGGATGTGAGAGCTCCAATCTGGCGCCATGTACTAGATTGGCGCGTAGGTAGGAAAGCTAATGTAAGCTGTCCTGGTACAGATCTCAACAGTTGAAATTCATAGCATCCGTCGTTCACGCACGGAAGCCGAGTCTGCTACTGGTGCTGTTTTCCTTACCAGCTAACTTTTATCCCCTACACCGCTATCCACGTAGTGAAAAGCGCCCCGGAAAACGAGCAATAGGCGTTAAAGAGGGGATAGGGAAGAGGAGGCGGACGAGGGGGTGGGGAAGTGGGGGTTATGGAGGTGTGTACCCACAACATCAAGATTGACCTATCAACGGAGTGCTGGTGAGTTGTTAAGTGGCCGAGGCGTCAGCTAGTCCCTGCCTCAACGGTAGGGACTATTTCTATTTTCTGCTAGGTGAAATCGGGATTTTGACAAGATGGTAAATATCTCGCATAATAATCGAAACGAACCAGATCGGCTCTTGCAGATTCTAATTAGTTATAGTGTGGGTATTGTGAATAAGCGGATCTAGAGATGGGCATGCAGGTGGGAGGAAGCGGGAGGATCATGGATTCTGTGGAGGCAAAATTTCCGAGGTTCTTTGGATTTACTAAATACAGATAAAGTTGGGTAGAGAGTACTTAGCACTGGAATAGAAGCTGCCCAACCAAGTAGGCACTGACGTGAATCGCTCGTCGCCATGATTGGTGGAATCCCCGATAATGCTCGCATGGTGCCCAATGTGATGAAGATAAATATGAACAAGGCACAGACAGAAAGGATTGAAGAACGAGGAAAAGGTCCGGCAGTCTCGCTGTATACCGTTCCATTCACCGCCACGACGCGATAAAATGAGCCTCAGGCGTAATGGCAGGTTTCGCCCTGGCTACAGAGCGCTTAGATGGTGACTTCTGGATTTCAACTGGCCCGGAGAGGCTGTGTGTGAGACCAACACATCGACCTCAATGATGTGGTGGAATAAGAGGTCACTAGCAGTCACCAAGGCACTCCAACCATTGGCCGATTGCTTCCACGAAAAAGAAAATATCACCTACCAATGAAGGTGATGTAGCGAAAGGCAGCACCAACTTGATGATCGAGATGTACGTCACGTTTCTGGCGTGACGCGCATAGTACTTAAACAAAGGATCCCCGAGTTTGAACGGCATCATACTTCTCAGCCGAGTAGAGGCTGGCCCATACTCGAGGTCTTTACCATGCCTGAGGCTCCTAACAACCGTTCTGCCTCGTGGGCGACTCGAGGCGCACCATTCTCTCCTCCGACACCTCCCGTTGTCAGAGCCCCGCCATTGACCGACTACGATGACCTCGATGCAGGCCACCACGGTCACACTCCTACATATTCGACGACTTCTACAGTCTTCGATAATTCACCGGCTCGGAACAGCCATGGGGATGTCCAGGTTCACACCGCACCTATGTCCTGGCCTAGCGATGGACCAGCAATGTACTTAGCGCCACCGATGCCAGCGACAACTCCGGGTACCCTACAGACCACCGCGGATGACCACGGCATTACCAATATTCAACACTTTCCTGCCCACTTTATACCGTCATCATATATTGGATCTTTTGAGAACATGCCTGATGCGATCGCGGGGATGGGGTCACTAAACTCGGACTCTGGCTCGGGCTCAATCGCATGGATGCAGGACGGGATTGCCGAACCGAGGTATGTGAGAAGGGAAGAGCCTTTCTTAGGGCAGATGCTGACAAGTCGCTAGACTGTTTGGTCTACAATGTGGGTGGACGGGTTGCACAACTACCCAGCCTTTCAGACGGCCAGCAGATCTGGCCAGGCATGTGCAAACCAAACATATAAACCCGCTATCCTACCAGTGCCCAGAGTGTGGGCATCGCTCCAACCGCAGGGACAATTTGTCCGATCATCGACTGAGAGCTCATTACCGTCCGCAGAATTTGACAAGGAGGCATTCCTAAAGGCTGTATTATTTATGCTGTCAGTGGCTGGCTTTCCATGACAATTGGGGTTAGGGGGTGTTTGTGCATATCCCCCTTAATATCTTCTATTTGATTTTTCCCTTACATTTTCTGGTGTTTTCCTCGCTTTCTTTGCGCGAACCCCTAGCGTTGTGAAGCACACGCGGCGTTGTTCATTGCATGACAGGGTGTATTGCAACTCTTCCAATTTGCCGGCTTCCAACGCACATGTTTCGTTCCTACTTGCATTTATTTCTTTATTTATCCTTTCGGGTGTTTCACTGAGCGCCTTTTGTGCACATAACAGCCTAATATGTTATGCGGGATTGTATTGCATGTCTGTCGGTGCTGTTATCGGACCTTCTTCCACTCTGGTGATTTCGATGCATATCTCTCATTATCGGCGGAAGTTGTTTCAGTGGCTTAATTTCACTCGTTCTGAAGGCGGCGCCAGTAATCTGGATGATCTCGCAATATCGTCAACGAAATTCATTGTGTTTGCAACTGTAACTGAAACTCACTTTAGGAGAGAGGAGAGAGAGGGGCGGTGCGATGTATCAGATTGCGGCGGGGTTGATAGGAAGAAGTCTTTTTCCGTGACTGCGCCTCAGCACTAGCAGGGGCGCTTGCTCACATGACCAGGTACTGCCTAACTTTGTAGATCAGGATGATTGGGTTGCGCTAATTCTACTCATCCTTTTCGGTTTGTATGATTCCTTCCTACTCAGATTCATCGCTGGAAGACGTTTAGTACCAGTCAGCTACTTGGAATCGTGCTGCTTCATGATAATGAATTATCGCAGATTGTCAGTTACTATCGGTGCCTCGCACTAATGTCGGATCGAGGTAAACAATGACATTATATTAACAAAGCATCACGACTGTATAGCTGAAGATCTTATACCCCGGCTAAGTACAAAAGAATCCCACCCTCACAATCAGTTATTTCGGCGTGAGCCTCATTAGTATCTCCGCCCGGTGGATCAGAATATTCGCACGGCAAGGCACATAACACAGAACTCCTTATTGGTCCGAATACGCAGGTCGCTGGCAACAGATTCTAATCCCTGTCGAGATGGAGCACAGTGTGCTCCATCTCGACAGGGATTATTCGTAATGAACAAATCTACATTATGAGACGTCGTAGTCGGAAAGCTTGTAGTACTTGATGGTATCGGCGATATACATCATTAATATAGTCCATGGGTTTTATTTTAATCTGCTAATCACCATGGTGCCTATAGACCAAATGACTTGTCCATGCCAATCCTTCATGGCGCTCAAGCCCCGCACCACGATGTTATGGCACCGCTGCGGGGTCATAGAGCGGCCGATTGGGGCTAGACTTTTGGGTCGATCGACAGACTAAAGTGCAGCTAAGGCGGCGAAGTAGTGGGTGAGCTTCTAGCATAGATTATAAACAGTGAAAAGCACAACAGTAGCAATTGTTTTACCCAGTAGCAATTGGAAAATGATGTTCTGTACTGCTGTCGTCACCCCGCTATGTCCTGTGCTGGTGAGTGGCTTGGCGACAAAAGACGGGATGAGCTACGTCACAGGGAACCGGTGCCTACTACTTACGTATTGTGCCTTGAGAGAGGGAAGGCTCACTGTCAACAGTAGCTGGGGCATGGGACTATACCTGATTTGTAGTAGCGGGCGTATTTGCGAAAGATGAGATGGGTGCCTCATGGCAAAACTTGATGTAGCTAGTTAGTGCTAGGATGGGAATTTAAAATTACAACAATCATATAGCAGAACAGCCATGATCATATCACAGCAGGTCCCGATCCAACCATGTGGGACGATCCGAAGATCCGGAGAAATGGGTTTTAGATTAGATTCCTTTGTTGTATCTCCGTAGACAAAGGTACGCCGAACCATGGCGGCCATAATGTCAAATCTTGAATACTCTTCTTCCCACCCGTTACTGACGCCGATGATAGTTGGGCACCATTTCTGAACAGTGGCGAAGCTTCTTTCTCGACAAAAGCGGCATAGACTAACGAGCCCCAGATGCAACTTACTGCGGTGCCCTGATTACTGAGAGTCAGATTGCCGCTTCATAGGCCTTTCAGGTTACACCACCTTTCCTTCGAGTTGGAGACAGCCCGCTTCACCCACACAACTTCCGCTACTGTGCCCCAAGCGATGATTGGCTACTGGGGAGGAAGAGGCAGGCCTGGAGTAGGATGGGGAAGCTTTCCGCTTTCCCACCCAAGCTGGCTGAAGGAGCTGAGCTTCGGCGAGAGCAAGCGTGAGAGACAGCTGATAACTTCACCCTATTGCTTCCAGCTTCAGGACGCTGCGTTTGAACCACCCGGTTTGGGCTTTCGTCTCTGAGGCCCCTCCGACTCGTATCGCAACGTCCATGAGAAGCCTACGAAGCTGTGCACCGCGTGTCATGGCGTCACCTCCCTCTCCTTGGTTTTCCTTCCTCGATGGAAACTTCATGCTCAGCAATATCGCCGACGTTGACCCTTTTGACGAGACACTTGGCTCTGGTAATACCATCGCACCCCCCGCCACCGCTTCTTCGAGTTGGATGCCCGGTGGTATCCCAATGTCTCAGAATGGTACCGATTGGCCTAGCTATCAGCCAGATCTTAGCTATCAGCCAGACCTTATGCACCAGCCAGACCTTAGCTATCGGAGAGACCTTATGTACCAGCCAGACCTTATGCACCAGCCAGACCCTAGCTTTCAATTAGGGCCTAGCTACCAGCCACTGCGACCCGTGCCGGCGATGCCAGTAGCAAATGTTGTTTCCTTCCAGCAGCAGCCAAATGTCCCTTATGCAAACCCTGGACCATTCCAGTACCCCCTCGATGTTCTGCGCACTCAGCAGGCCCAATCTTCGAGCAGTATGTCTGCACCGGTCGTGGAAACAACACACCCAGCACCTGACTTTGGCCCGCCCTTGACTGAGCACCACAATACAAACATGACCGAAGAACCAAGGTATGCCACTCGAGATCGATAAACTTGTTGTGCTCCTGAGACGAATTTTAACAACCAATCAGACAGCAGCCCAGCCGCCGATGCCATTGGGAAGGGTGTACACATACGAGACCATTTCGGCGGCTACAGGACCTGAAAAGGCACCAGCGGTCAGTTCATGAACCCAAAAGCCACAAGTGCCCGGAATGCGAAAATTTGTTCGGCCGCCGGGACAATCTGACAGACCATCGTTCGAGGATTCATGGAATAGCTCATGTTTCGAAAAGGTAACTTTCTTAACCGCTGTCAGAATGGGCTTAGTTTCAAACTTCATCGTTGTTTGACGCTCATCGGCCCTTCTTATTTTTGGTGCTGGTTCAGATGCAAGCTAACTTGCTCCTGCAGAAGACGAAGGAACAATGTGTGATAAGCTTGCTGGAATGCGATCAGTAACGAAAACAAAAAAGGGGGCATAAGGCCATGATATATCGAATGACATGGGTTACACGAGGTAGCACGATCCAGCGGGGTGATATGTCAAATATCTTCCGTTGCGCGTTGCGGAGGATATTGGCCACAGGTGCACATGACTAGCAGAATCTCCTTATTTCTCTTTCTTTCACTGTTTCTCGAAAGCATGTTGATTTGATCTAATAGCCTTTACCTTCCTGATTGTCGTTGACTGAGACAGGGAGTTCAGTACTCATACAATTTATCACGTCTCTTTGACTAATTTTGAAGGGATGGGTTGTTTCTGCGTAATCGATGCCGCGGAAGCCTGTCTTCCCTTATGTTATCCTTCCAGATGTATCGCACAGAAACTTTCTCTACCGTGACTTTTCCGTTTTCTTTTCGACAAAGTAGATAAATATACTGGGTGGCTCGCATCCAAACCGGTCAAGAAGATACCAGGTAAGGTTGTCTATGCCATTTCGAGGTTGTGTCGTTCCTGATGCCATTTTCATCAGGTCAGATACGATCGTGATATTCACACAGTTTAAGACGACAAAAACTCTATGCCATCCAAGGCCATATTCTTGCCTCAAACACCGAAGCACCTGCATAGCTAGCAACTTTATCAGCGGGCTCGATCAGCTACGAATATGCATTATCCTGCAGTATACAGATGTGAAGTAGAACGGTTGACACGCCGGAGTACGTGGATAAGGCACCCAGATAGGTCCCCTTTTTCCGTTATCATTGACTGCCTCTTATCTACTGACATATTACCCGATACCCTCAAGAGAATAGTTGGCCTCCACCAACGTGCAGCATGACGATAAGTGGACCCCGCCAAGAATCCTTCACGGGTCTCAATTCAGGGCAGCCGAACCGAACCAACCAAGACAGATAACGATCGTCGTATTTCGCACGGAAAGCGTTCCTGGCCCTGATTGACACGGATATACCGAAGGAGGTTTAGTTTCCGCACCTTAAGGTCTGGGCAACATTGGCATTGTTTTAGGCGAGCCTACTCTTGAGATATGGGAGTGAAGTAGTGGCTATAGATCGAGTCAGGGATACGGCTATAAGCGAAGGATCTCGTTTAGAATTGCTGTCAAAGGTGAGCAAGTTTCAGGAGGGAAGGGAGATGTTCAGGGTTCGGGTATCTCTGTCTTACTGCTATGATATCACGACGATGGTATGGTGAATAGTCAAGGAATTAAAGATCATGAAACTCATTTTCCAGCTATAGATACAGCTACGTCCATACGAGGACCTGACTTTTTCGTACAGCAACTAAAGAAGTAAAGTATTTACACAATTCATAGCATGCGAATACCCTACTCAAGGTACTCGTTGGGCATGTACAGAGGCATCGAATCCTCCCAGATGGTATCAGTGACAAGAGTCTTGTTGGTACCATCGTAGTTCATGACCATGATCTGGCCGTAGGGCTGGAAGGTGTCGTCGAAGAGAGCACTCTCATCCTTGAAGCCGTACTGACCGCTGCTCCACATGATGCGGCCGTCCTGGGACCACACAGCGCTGTATATCATATTAGCTTACAGTGAAATCGAGAAACAAAGAGGGATAAACATACTGAGCATCGTTGGACAGACTGTCAGTGACACGGGTCAACTCCGAACCGTCAGGGCGGATAGTGTAGATATCGAAGCGATCGGCGTACCAGCGAGCGCCGTAGGACTCAGTCCAGTTGTTGTTGCGGGTGAAGACAATGCGCTCGCCGTCGGGGGACCAGCCGGGGGTGTTGTCCCAGCCATCGGTAAGCTGGTGGGTCTTGCCGGTGGTGAAGTTCAGGATGTGCAGACCCAGGGGGGCTTCAGTAGCAAGGCTCCACTTGCGATAGACAATGGCAGATCCATCGGGGGACCAAGAGGGGAAACCAGAGTTGTCAGATCCATCGGTCAGGTTGGTGTGCCAGGTACCGTTGGCGAAGGCGTGGTAGATCTTGGCGGTGTTGGTGGTGCGGCTGACGAACCAGGCACCGAAGCCGGACACCAGCTCCGTGCCGTCGGGGTTCCAGGAGGGCTGGAAGGCACCAGAATTACCTTCCTCAAGCCACTCGACCTCGGTGGAGTTGCTGATGTTGTAAATGTCGTAGGAGTCGAGAGCGTCGACAACATCGGTGTAGACAGGGGAGGAGTGGACCAGAGAGCCGTTGGCGCTGCCGAGGACCTTCTGGGTCGACGCAATACGGTTGACGACGGTGTTGTGCATGGGGAAGACATCCATGTAGCGGTACTCCCACTCGGTGTCGTAGCTCCAGAGCTTCAGCTCGGCAGCCTGCTGAGTCCAGTTGGGGACCCAGTAGACGAGCTTGGAGCCATCAGGGGACCACCAGGGATCGCGCATGTTGGTCAGGTTGAAGGAGCGGTGGGTGAAGTCGGGCTTGGTGTAGTGAATGCCCTCGTAGTCACCGGCCTTGATAAGATAACCGATGTTGGTCGAGTTGCCAATGTAGTGCTGACCGACCTTGGGGTAGCTACCGGAGGTATGGGCAATGACGTTGGAGCCAGTAGCAAAGTCCACACTGTAGATCTGTGCAGTGACGGCCTCCTGCTGAGCAGACACACCGTGGCAGCCATAGGTGTCTTCAGTAGTCATATTGTTGTAGATGATGCGCTTGCCATCAGGCGAGAACTGAGGAGTACCCAGCGAGTAGCCCTCTTGGCGGATAACGGTGCGGAAGTCACTGCCATCGGGGCGGACGGCGTACACACCCAGAGTCTGGGTGTGCTCCCAGCCGGTACCATCGCTGTGGCCGGTCCAGTCGGTGTTGCGATCCGAACTGAAGACGATCCACTCTCCATCGGGGGACCAAGAGGGGCGGAAGTGGCCAGTGGGCCAGGTGTTGTCAGCTCTGTTGGACGCGGTGTCGGTCAGGTTTTGGGCCTGTCCCGAGGCAAGGTCTTTGACCCAAATGTTGGTGGTGTAGTTGCCCTGGGTGGACACATAGGCCAGGGTCTTTCCATTCGGAGACAAGACACCAATGTCTTCAACAGAATCAGTGGCCGCCAGCGTCTCTAATCCCGAGCCATCCACGCGAACACGGTACAAGTCCGACTGACCCGGACCGCGGCGCTCGCTGGTAAAGACAATCCACTCTCCGTCAGAAGACCATGTAGGGTGGTAGTCGAAGGCATTGCTCTGGTTGCCCATCAACTGCGTCGCGTTGGTGCCGTCAGAGTTGGAGATCCATAGTTGTCCTCCGGAGGGTCCAATGCGGTTCACTTGTGGTCCTTCAGTACATGAATCATTGGAGTCAACTGGTCAACCACTTACTGTAGAAGATACCCTTCTTGCCCTCGATGGGCCCCCGACGGGCCAGCCGGGAGCTGTCTTGTGTAGAAGCGGCAGCGGCGCGCTTAGCGTAGGGACAGCCGGCAGGGGCAGCAGCAGCAGCATCGTTGTTGGCGCGCTCCGCGTACGGGCAGCCAGCAGCGGCCGAGCCAGCCACCAGGCCAGCTAGAGCAAAAGCAGCAGAAAAGCGCATGTCGCCTACCCAGTCACAACTGGAACAATATGATAGTAGATGCGACTTGGGGAGAAACTGTCGTGAGAGACAATGTTCTTGTAGGACCTGAGAGGGAGGGATCGGCAGCTTTATGTAGTGCTAGAACGGCGGGGGAACCATCCTTCATTTCGGCTACATGCACCGTGACAAAACTCGGAGGTAGGCAGAAATCGCAAGCAAAGCTCGCCAAGCCTCACCCTTCTCCAAGGTGTGGGTTGGTTGGACCCATCAGATAGGCGTAATTCGAATTCTAATCTATCCAAGTGGATCGGATCAGCTTATCAATCAATCATAGGATCCGTCGGAGAGCAGGCGGAAGAATGCTATTCCAATCGTGCAGAACTGGCTCAGCACTGCCTACTAGTTGAAAGTGTGGTATGGGAACAAAGATGTCGAGGCCCAATCAGCCTTGATCTATAGCGTTCTATACTCTATCTGTGAGACACCTCACTTGCCATACTACATGACATGGCCCATAATCAGTGACAAACGGTCCTGAGACATTCCCCTGGGGTCAGTAGAACCCCTCTCCCACGCGAGATGACAAGGTAAAGATCAGCAAAACTTGCATCAGCACCGTGGTGCGGTTGGCGGACCCTCCTTCCCTGTTTTTGCCATTGCAGATGACGATCAATTATCTCCGGCTTGGCACGGCACGCCAGAGGCGCGTTAAGGATTTCGGCGCCTTGGCCGCTGGCTTGGCCCATCCTCTAGCGACCCAAAAAGTAATCAATGCCGACCAACGACCATTGGACGCCGGTATCGCCGAATCTTCCGCCGCCTGCCTCTCGGATCTAGCACAACTGCGGCCTCATCCCGTCTCGTCCCTCGCAGCCTGCAGGATGTCTAGCACCATCCTTTCACCCAGCATAGGGCAGAGTTATCTATAGAATAGCCAATCAGAAAATAATCTTCGTTAATGTTTGGCCGCCGAATGGACCAGAACCGTCCTCAAAAAGGCCCACAAGCCATCCTGGTGCTTCCGAAGGTTAATGTCGGAGCGTGTCCGCAGGAACGTTCCGAGCCCCGACCGCCGTCGTATTACGTGCTATGACCCTCTGGCCCATTGTCTTCCCGCCAAACAGGGGTGGGTATGGGGTATCTTGTCGGTGTGCTTAATTCGAGGCCCTCCATTTGTGCACCTACGAATTGTCCAGAGCTCCTCATCGGTTCGTGGTAGCGAGAGATGATCATTAGCTTGGGCAAATTTCCGCCTCGCATGGTGAGAATTGCCCTGATACACTCATTCTCGTCTAGGGTGAAGACGTCGGAGATTATGCCATTCGAAGGAATGCTGCAGGAGACCGGGATATGACGGGTCGTTGCTGTAGCGAAGATGCCACCCCGGACCCTGGATCCAATCGCTGTGTTGCTTTTGTAAAAGGATTTGACTTAACTGCGCCACGCAGACGCGTTATTCCGAATTCATAACTAGTATCTATCGGATACGCTATCCACAAGGTGTACGGCGTTCGTTCGGAAGTAACGAAAGGAGAAGGTACAAAGCCGCAAGATCATGGCCACGACACGCGGTGATGTTTATCCAATTCACTAATGACACGGGTATCTTCATGATGTAAAGCCGGGAAGATAGCGGTCGACCCTGAATTGTACAAACCCTGAGTGGCGGGCAAATTTAGAATATGGGCCGCTTCGGTGGCGCAGTCGAGGACCGAAGGCCAGTCCTAGAGCCATCAAGCTTCAATTGCGGCTGCCTAGAATCACAGTGGAATTGACCCTGCCAAATGGAAATGATCGAGATTACTCTCGAGATAAGCACATAGTCACTTGGTACTAAGGTCACTAGTTGGCGACCTTGGTCTGAACCGAATAGGTTTAACCTCCGTCACCAGACCAGCTTGGGGACCCAGTATGATGATTTCTAGCTGCCAGTGTAGAACATTGCCAAACATAGAAATTTGTACTCGAGAATCATGCTACTCAGTCTTAATTCTGCTGCTGTCTATTTCCCGGCCCAGTCAGGAGCAGAAGGAAAGAGAATTCAAGAGAACGCGAAACGGCAGAAACGATGATAGTCAGGCACCCGATGTTGAGTCGACGATACTTGCTGCAAAGGGCTCCTACCACCAAGTGCTCCACAGAACTGCGAGCGCAATGCGGTCCTACTTACATTTCCCGCTTCGGGGATAATTGTGGTCCTGATTTGAATTCCTCGGCCCTTGAAAGGACGGCTCAAATTCAGGTGCGCAGATGACGCAATGATCTGCGCTCTTGTGGATCCACTCGATGCTTTGTTTCAACAGTCTCAGTCTTCAAAGTTCTTACCACTGAACTTTCTGACGTGTTCTATAGCAACAGACTCATCTGGTCGCGAAGGTTGTGGTAATTGATCGTCAGAGTCAGGCAACAGTTGCGTCCACGCTGCGGGGAATGATTTTCTTGATTCAGTGCGGGTGCGGGTGAAATAACCTTCTTCCTCGCGGGCCGTCCCCACAAACAGCGAAGGCAGCATCAATAAGGAGCCAGTTAGGGACATAATATCATTGGACACCCTCCATTTCACCTTGATAAGGTCTCATGATGCCCGATTACTATAAATAACAATTGGATTGACTCAAGAACATACTGGTGTCAGTCAGAGCAGAACATTACGCACTTGTGATGGCAATTATCCATGCCTGTTGCTCGCAGGGCTCTGCTAACTGTGTGCATTTGTGCGATGAGTTGCAGATGTTGCGGCAATTCTGACATGACGATGCCCAGTGGGCAGCATTCAGTGACAGTATTACCAGTATCCCTCAAATAGTATGTGCTTGAGGGGAAAGTACTTGAAGAAAATTGATCTCAGCAATAAATTCGATTAGCTTGAACTGTTTATACAAGAAACAGCTGATGGAAGGTCTACTTTGAGAGAATCATGGGCCCACGAATTTGTATCAACATATATATTATCATCAGTCCATCGAGAACGACATGCTTGGTACTTCCAAGTTTGCGCATTCATACTGAGAAGATATATTATTCTAAGGATTCTATCGCAATGGTGTCCACATTCAAAAGATAACATTGGCCAGGATATGGTTTGTATACTTGGATAGCACCTAGAGCCTCTAGAAATGTAAGGCTCCGTCGACATCTGGAACGACGAGAAGCTTTGAAGCTCTTGAGCAGACCGTGTCTCCGTGAGGGCACCTGCTAACCTTATCATGCGGTCCCCGAGTAAACTGGTTCATGAGATTTGCGACTATATTCATTTATCATGATATTTTGGACAGCGTAAATCAAGGCTTTACCGTCGGGGCTGAAATCTAGACTTCCGAATGAACCCAACTGGCCTGGAATACAGTGCATGGAGTCGGTGTCTTCATGGTCTGCAGCACAAGTTTGTTACTTCTGGTTCTTTGGGCTATACTTTTTCCAGACGGAGAAGCAAAAATTTATTGTATACAATAGACCCACTTCTTAGAGAACCTCTGCTCGTCCATCTCGCGCTCACTGTCCTCGCTGGACCTGATGTCGTTTTCCTGCCTTAGAGAGCTTATTGACTCGTTGCGACTTCGAACTGCGAACGGAAGGTAGAGCAAGATGCAACGAAAAATTAAAAACCGTTGTGTCTCAATACATTACTCTACTGGTTAGGCAGTGATAGTTTGGGTGCAGCCTAATCAGTCGACGCTAATTCAGTAACTTCTAATTCTGCGCGCGGAAAGCCTCAGTCTAAGCGTTTTGCGCGCCAATCAAAGTCCAGATCATGCAAGATAGCATGCAGCACAAAGACTTGAAAGCTTGTCTAACACCAACCAGATTAAGAGGTTCCCCCAATACACTAACAACCATTCTTTCTCAGAACAAATCGCTATTATGATGGGATCCCTCGTGGTTCAGAGCTGACGCGTCTTCCGTGACTCATTCCCGCACAGAAAACTTATCAACTGAATCCACCTGAAAGACGGAATAGTTACTAGTATATATATATATTTTTTACCCGCCTTTGAGTAGAAATAGTATGTCCTCGAAGGGTGAATATTCTGTAGTGCTGGCCCAGACCTGTATCTTCCTCATCAGTTGAAGTGTGCCAACATGCAAAATAAGAATTTTGACGTTTGCCGCAGGCCGTCCAGAGACGAACGGAAGGCGCGCCATATCGCAAGACTCGGTCAATGAGGTCTGCTTATGCTGCAGCACGTGATGCTATCATCTAATCTTCTCCAGGGTCCAATTACCCATCTTCAAGGGACATGGTAGTCCAACCTCCATATAACATATAGCCTCTATTCTCGCGTTCGCTTGCTCGTGCAAGACTGCATAAAGCCGTGTTTCAGGGACTCGGTGGTGACTCGCTATCTAATCTCCGACCACCGATGCCGAGAATCGGGACACGGACACATCACTCATGGGGTAATCGCACTGCAGATCAGGCTCCGCAGATAACAATGCCAAGAGATTAAACGAGAAGTAGAAGTCTGGGCACGGGGCGTCTGAGGTCAATATTTGCTCAAGCGAATGAAATTTTGATTGCCTCTCGCCAAATCCTTCCATCCGTGACCTTTCAGGTAAGGAGCAGTCGGCATAACCCGCCGCCGATAGGTGGATTCCCTGGACAGTCTTAGGTAAACGAAACCTGCACTCTGTGTTCATGGAGTGTTCCGTGGTGCCATGCAATATGTTTGTCTGATGCTATACGCGCCAGCCTTGTTCATCTTAGGGTCCTTCCAACTGCGCCTCTATCAGGTGTCTACATTTGAGGAGTCAATTATGTAGCCGGATGCTCTTCATACTACTGCACTTGGAAGGGGCCAAAGTAGTTATGTTTCTCGGTAAATTTCTGTGGCTGTGCTGAGCTCTCCAAGATATTATACAAGACAGGCAGTGGAGTATTATTCGCTACGCACAAGAGGCATTTGTGATAAGGAGTATAAAAAGGGTTTTGCCATACATCATGCATCAGGACAGCACGCCTCAATGCTTGGCACCAAGGTACCCGAAGAGCAATATCGAAAGATGTGATCATATTGCCACTTGTTCGAACTTTGGAACATACCAGCAATGAGTATTAGGCTGATCATTGCGTGATAGCTGACTGGATGGCTGTGGAAGACGAGAAAGGAATTTCCCACATGCCAGCACCTGGGAATACGGCTACTTGAGATGCCACCATTATGCTGGGATTCAATCCAGAGCTCTGTAGGCGCCACTGAAATGAAAGCACGGCGGGCTTCCTGGATTCCTGGCATTCTGCAATCCCCATAACGGTGCTGCTGCATTGGGTCTTCGGATATAACCCCAGGAGTCGGGAGTCACCGAGTAAAGCCCAATACTGCTCATATGAGCCTTAGAGTAATAGTTTTTAATTTTATGGGTGCGCCTTGCTGGATAAGCCCTGGTAGCCCTGCAGCCTTGTAGAAGATTGTGAGACAGGTATAAAAGATACATGCCACCTGGGTAGAGACTCCCTAATTTGTGTCTTTCTATACGTCCTCATTCACCAGCATCCCAAAACAGATATATTCCCAATTGTTACAAACGACATGGATGGAAAAGGAATTGCTCATCCCGTTGGTGTCAACCATGACGAGGATGCAGAGCGTCTTTCATACATATTGTCCCCTGACAGCTTCAGAATATGCACCGCTACGCTAGCGAGAAGAGTATCTGGTTCGACCAGAGCCTTGGTCAATGTGGGTTCTGTTGAGCATACACCCACCGGTCTTCATGGCTGTCTCTCCAATAAACCAGAATGTAAGCCGATGAAATCTGAGGACGAAAGCCTGCCGATAGAGACCACTATGCTTTCAGATGGCTCTGGTTTCCCTATTCCTGCCGCAGGATGGAATACTACTGTCCCTGTACATGGACAGGATCAAGCTGCCTTTGCAACGACAGCACAGTTCCAGACTCACCAGCTTGCCCCACCTTCATCACATCCTGCGTCTCAATACAAGCATAATTTTCCATATGCAGGGGTAATGGATGGCAGCATTTGTCGGTCCCAACACCCGCGCGAAAACCCGCCCGTTTCTGACTTGACTATGCTGCAAGACCCAGAACCTTCTTACATGCGTCGTTCTTATCGAGAGGAGATAGAAGCGGCAAACGGCGGCATAAGACCTGATGATCTTCTGCGGACCTACATCCGTATGAACCTCAAATGCATACTTAGAGCCTGTGACAGGGTGTTCGACGATGAAGATGAAGCGGAGGATCATTTTCAACTCGATCACAACTATCCGGAAAATTGTGTATGTCGGTTCTGTCGCGATGCTTTTAGCACCAGTTTCGAGAAATGTGTGCATGATTACCATCATCACAGGAATGCGGTTTGCAGGTTTAGTCACTGAAAGGCTGTAGAAGACTGAAGATAAATGCTTTGGCATTTCTATTCTCGGGTTAGTAGATATCATGAGTGCTGGATTGTTGGTTGATTGTTCTGGGTTGCCAACATTTGTTTCTCCTGGCTTCTGAATTGCTTACTAGTTGAAGTGGACCTAGATGTACTCGGGAAACGGAAAAGAGGAAGAATTGACGGTGAAAGCCAGAGAATTTTGCAGAAACGCAATAACCACCAAGTAGATCATAGTACTCATTTAAGTTCTGTTCTGTATGCATCAAACCTTCAATTAAGGGTAGCACACGCCCAGGTATCCATTATTGGTGGCGTCGAATTTAGGCTTTCAATGTAAAGCCCACTGCGTATTGCTCATTGGCAAATTGCCTCGAAACAAATTGTTATTCTCGCTTGTTCTGCATATCCATTAGATGAATCGTAAGCAGATGGCACAGCTCATCGATAGGTGTCCCGTTCAAAGGTATTCAATACAAATTATCTTGCCGTTCTTTCGAAGCAAGTCTTATCTACAGTACAGACTTAAAAGCAAAACACCCGGATTGTGGCGGTCGAAGTAGTTGGAGTAATTTCTACCGGCCGTCATTGTCATGATATGCTCCCCCAGGAACTGCAGGCAGAGCTGGGATCCCTCGAAGAATGATAGCTTATATTATAGGCTTGCATATATGTGGGTAAACCCCGATGCTACGTTCCCATATTCCCGGGAAATATGTATAGTTAACGGGAAGAGTAGTTCGCGATGTGGTAGGAACACCAAGTGGCACTACAAGTTCATTCGAGGTAAACTTGTCTGAAATAGACGCGAGCAATAACCTGAGGTTCAGCTTGGTCGCCAAAACCAGCTCGCCGGATGCGAGGAAGATACCAGCCTCATTGATGCCTGGCTGCGGGAATATCCCCAACCAAAGGTTTTCCAAGGAAAACGCCTACAAGTTTCACTTTTGACATCTCGCTATCCATGGGTCATCAAATATATAAGACCGAACATCTGTGCTCCATTTCGCAAGACATTTTCTTCTAGCCCTTCAACCTCAACCACGTCGCATAGTTACCACCCTTTCCACAATCAAAGCTTTATACCCATCCACAACTACATATCACCATTCAAAATGCCTTCGTTTCTACCACTGTGGGACAGCAAGACTGAAGGAACGCCTTACAACCCTGGTACCAACTCACCTACTGCCAATGCCCCAACCGAAGGCCAATGCACTACCGAAGGGAACGGAAGCCCCGAGAACCAACCACCTCCTGGCCATGATTTCGGCAGTGATGGGTCTCAACATTTGATCGACATCGAAGGGGAAGCGCCCCCTCGGGCCACTGGTACAGACGATATTTCAGGACCACTGCCTTCGATCACCGATGATGGTGCTGCAACTGAACCACGTGATGCAGGACAATGGCCTTTGACGACTTCCTTGATTGATGCACTTCCAGAAGTCCAGAGCGAGTCTCCCGCAAAGGAGCACACTTCTGATTTGGGAAGAACAAGGAGCCAAGTACCTACATCTGTTCTATCGGTTAGTTCTGAACCCTCACGCCCCTCTCTGATCCATACTGCTCCACGGATACCGTATGCGGGACCAGGTCGGCCGGAGGGCCCTGGCCTGTTTGGATCCTCAATGAGAGAAGATAGTTTCTACAGTCAACAGTTTCTGACAAACAATGTTCAGGCGGCGCAACAGACCCAAATCCGGCATCGCCGCGGTGCAGCGATCCATAAAGTCGATGCTGGCAACCTATTTGGAAGACCACGCCCTCAATTGGAGCGGACTGATTCTAGCGCGCTTCTCAGTTCGGGGTCATCGACCCTCTCTGATTCTTCAAGCGAGAATGGCCCAACGACTCAAACCTGTGTGACCGAGGGCGGAGATGCATCTAGCCTCCAGGGGCCACAGAATGTGTCGACCGAGGTCCTGGCTTCGGGTGAATCGAGTATATACACTGCGACACCCTTGCTGGAGCTCGATGACACCCATGTCCCTGAACATGAAGCTAGCAATACATCCTCATCTCAGGCAGAACAGCTTTTATCGACTGAGCCCCAGACTACTGGAGCAACGAGGGCTGAAGATCAATCAGCATTGCTAGATGCTGTGTTCAAGGCCAAGTCCACCTGGCCGGCATTTGAATCTACTCCGGCTTATTCGAATGACTTGGGCTCTCTTTCCATACCGGCTGGACTAAGTCAAAGTGAACGGGTGCCAGGTGCGTATCCGTCCACGAATAACCAAAACTCTGAAGAGGAGAGAGGTTCTCTTGAGGAAGAAACTGCCACCAAAGCCCCGGAGAGCGCAGCTAAGCAACAAGATACGGAGGCCTCTCCGTTGACCCCTTCTTATAATCAGGCCACCAGCAATCCTTCGGATTCTTCTCCAAATGCCTGGTATAGTGAAACTGAAGAGGGCTCTAATCCATACAGCTTCACGGTAACGTGGTACGCTCCAGAATCGGAGTTGGACTCCGGCAGTCAGTATTTCGATACTCACAGTACCCTTGCTCGATCCTTGCCACAAAGCGATCCTGGAACGCACGCACCTTTGCTGGGCACTGCAGCCCTTAGTCAGACGAGCCCTCCAAGATCAGGGAGCCCTGACTGTGAGGAGACGGCCGAAGGTGCCTCTGAAAGCCTTTCAGGCAAGCTGGACAAAGGCAAGAGCACGGTAGCGGCTCCAGATGACGACGAATTGAGTATCGACGAGAGCGATCCAGCTGAGTCTCATCGCGACAAGGTGACTCTCACAAACAAAGCGTATGTGGAAGACGATGCTCCTAGTGTCATGTCCGAGAATCTCCAAAGAAGGAGCGATTGACTCGATACTAGAGATGAGTCTGATGTCTGGTCCGTGGGCGAAGACGAGGACAGGATATTCTTCCACCCTCGAGAACCGATTGATCGTGTCGAGCTTCTTCAACGCCATGAAAGTGTTTGCCAGACGCACAGGACCGCATTGCAAAAATGTTTACTATATGTGGCAGTTTCTGTGTACTCGATGATTTTCCTGATCGTTTATTATTGGATTCTATTGACTTCCTAGACTATTGTCAAATGTGGTGCGTTGCATTGGCTATGTCTCTAGATATCAAAACCTTAACCAAAATTGCTACTAGTTCATTTCTGCCAACAGGCTTTCCCTGCCTATCTAAAAGTCATTATATTGTGCTAATTTTGGTTTGCAAAATGTTTTATGGTTTAATTCTTGAAGCCTAAATCGGCGGTGCTCGTAGAAAAGAATCTCGTAGCATTATCGACATCATCCTAGTTGTCCAGACGCCTTCCATTCCCCCAGCGTATACCGTCGTACAATCTCCCTCTACACCCCATACGCTAACATCTTCGTCCAATGCGCTCCTAAGCACAGAAGCAATCCTATAAATTAGGCTGTATCACTAGGACATTGATGGCCATTAACCAATTACTGGAAAGGACGAGTGTAGGCTTCCAAGAATCCTTAAGGTACGATTACTACTCCCTATGAATGCAAAACAGTAGGCAGTTGTTAGCACAAATATAGAATCTGTGATAGGCAAAGAAGCACAGGAGCAGAGAATGTTCAAAACTGACAACTTCTATGCTATACGACCAATCTGTTATATAGTAGCAGCTGTATTACTGAAGCTAATTCTTCACAGATAATTGATCGGGACTATCTGGTTAATAAGGCTCTTGACAATGCCCTAGGACTTTCTAACACCCAGGCGGCAAAAGAGCCATTCCCCAACGGCTGTTTCCAACTGCAAAGTGCGAACCATCAGAAATTGTCCACACTTCAGAATGCTTATGATGTCAGTAACTAGTTTCATTGTCGGTATTCTCTGAACTTTATGCTCACGGTTCATGCCTGACAAACTCCGATGTTTTGGCCATTACGACCCAAGAAGTACGAGGTACGGGCCTGTCGATTGGGGGAGATTCCCGCTTCCCTATGCCACTTCGGTGCATATATAATCATACTGCCCCTGAATCATCCTGACTGTTCCTCCTCCCATCAATCTTTGAGCTACTGGCTGTTGAGCTTATCATCTACTAGCCCATCATGGCTCTCGCCAATCTCAGTAGGTGAATATAATGGCCGCAGACGGCAAGCCAGCCCCATATGTATTGTTGTCTGACGGGTTCGTTTTAACACTACCGATTACATTGATACCTAATGCCTTTCCTGGTTTCCATACTAATCTATGTGAGCAATGGCACGACCTATAGCCAGACATATATTTCTCTCCACGGTTGGCCTGCTTCGGAAGTGGCTTCTCAATTATTTCACGCGGTTTCTTGTGAGGAAAGTAGTATATGATGTTCGGGACAGGAAAGACATCACACCGATCACCCTGCCATGCATAACTGGTCAGTACCTTTGCGAAGGTATCTACTATAACTTGAATATGGCAATTGGCCTATGTGTCGGATAGTTCCAACTTTTTGAGACCGATTTTCTCCAGACGGATAAGAGGGTTAAGGGTTTGACCCTTAATCTTTGCCCTGCCTGGAAGGCCGGTCGGCTTCTGACAGTAATGGCAAACGCACTCGTCCACCGGGACCAAGACGAGTAAACACTGTGTCAACATTCTCATATACATATGCAAAACGGTGACCGCAGTTACTGGTGTCATCAACGGAAGCTACCGAAGACATTGGCACCTCCAATCTGTGTAGTGGGGTTTGCCTTCACCAGGAGACACCGAGGGGCCGCTATGCTTTATATCTGGAAGAGAACCTTTGCTTTTTCAGCTTCCTGAGTTCTTTCAGTGAACCCACGACTATCTTCGATTGTCGAGTCATTATTCTAGCTGAAGCTGACTCGACCGACTCAGGGACATTATCATGACCTCTATAACTAGCCGACTTCCTATTCGTCACTTTACAATATGCCAAATGAATTTCTTCATTGGCTCATATTTTCCCTCCACTTTCTTTTCGATCCAAATCGTGATCATCACCGTCGACATGGCCTACGACACACGTCTTTGGCTTGATTGCCGTCCGTCATCCTCCTGTCGTTACTCGGCCTAACAGCACTTCACCATCCAATCCGCCTTATATATATACTCATTCTTTCTCTTCCGGTCCTGAGACACCTTCACAATCTGCCATATTTCTGCTTGCCACAGACAATGCTATACGCCTACGACATTGAACCCTTTAAGCTCGTCGAGGCTGGCTTGGACTAGTCCCCATGTCAACTATATTTCTTGGTAGCTGTATCGCGAGCCACGACAACAAGTACTCCTGTTGCGACTACGATTACAAAAGCAACAGAATATCACTTGGCAAATATTCCGACGATAATACCAAGAAATACTGTCTTTGACTTCCCTATAGCAGCTTATATCAACACTGCCGGTCGCTTGACTTAGAGGCGCATCATGGTTGCAATATCACAAATAACCCTTCATTCATTCGGCACCAGGGCCCATAGGTGGGCATGGACTCATAAAACGAGGCGAAAGAATACAAATGGTTGGTGTTGAGGGCCAATTTTGGAACAAAAGACAGCCAAACAACGCTGTTTGAGGAGGAGAGAACGCAAGACGAGCGGTATGAAAGGCGAGACCAAACAAGTAACAATCACTACCATCACTTGGACAAGAAGCGACTCGGACGATGACGCAGCTGTCCAAATTAGTGCAGCCCAAGCAGGGTCGGGAGTGTACATTTCATTGACCCCGGTAATTTATGTCTTATATATCCGTTGATCCTGTCCACTTCCTGTCTTCCTTGCTTCGCATGACGGGGTTATACTTGTCATACTGGCCTATATTGAGCACGGGTAAAGAACGATTTGTGATGGACGAGCTGACGGTCCGTGGCAAACTCGCTACAGCCAGGATTAGAGGTAGAGGGAGATGGCTTAGGATGTGTCTTTCCATGGTGTCTGGAGACGACGCATCTGGGTTTGAGTAAATGTGCTGTGAGATTTGGACCGATTCAGGGATGATTGGCATGACTACCTTGGGGCTGATAGTTCTCTTGCAGCTACTGCCCATGATGTATATTGCTCTTTTTTACCCTAGTGGCAGGATTCTGCTTGGAGATCCCTCAACTCGAACCATGACAGCACCAATACAAGATCACTTTGAAGCAACCATGCTCATGGAGTGCCCAGAACTCTACTGGAGGACAGGGATAATCCAGATCTAGATGAAAGCGGTTTGCGGATTCATTGGAGCACTAGATGGTAGTGCGCAAAATAAACAGACATTTTTCTGTACTGTGGATGCACATTTTCGCGAAGCGATCGCTGCATGCTTCCACATTAAAATAAAATACACAGTCATGATTGACTTTGTTGGTGATGCTCGACTTGGGGTACAGGCTCTAGCATCTCATGGGTGATCTTGTCTGGGAAAATAAATGTGCTCGAATAATCACGAAACATGTCAGAACCAACGACAGGTCATCTCTTTACTCATAATGATGTAGATAATTAGCACTTATCAGCGCGGAAACGCCATACATGGCCAATTATAGCGCGGATGTGCCTTTGTATCCAATAAAGATAAGCTTATACTGTCGATCGCTATGAACGATGTAAAAATATCTAGATTATAGCCTGTGTTCGCTTTCCCTTTTTCCGTCCAAGCCAGTATACTTAAGGTTTGTCGAGTCATCTCTGTTTCTACCCTCCCCATTCTTTAAATATGAAGAACGAAGGTAGATCAACGGACTTACTGGATTACAAAGACTGCTCATATAATTTGTACACCAGGATGGACCCCGTGATCGATCACGATCCGAGCATCGGATAGGTTAAGTGGTATGTAAAACACATAAATGTTAGGTCCCTACCGGAGATTTATCCCTCGGGAGATAAACTTTGAACCGATTTCGGCTAAGTGGGCCGGTCCGAGCTCGGACCGCGTGGGTTTCTGTCCAGTGGGTCCGGAGACTCTAAACCCACGAGCAGATCCAAGAGTACTAATATGGTTGAATTCCCGATATGTCCGATAACTCAGACGTTTTCCATCACGTTCTTCATGAATAAAAAATTTTGCTTTTTCTTGGTGAGCGGCAGGGCTATCAGGTGGGTCGGATGCCCGATGAATCAGCCACTTGGATCCCATGTAAGCGCTCCTTGACCAATCATGGTTCGACGCGAAGATCAACAAAATAGGCAAAACAAAATCGACCAAGCCAATGACAACTTATCACCCTGATACGTGTCCAGGGCACAAGGCAAGTGCCTGGGACACAGACAAGGCTCTGGTTCCACTAGCCACTTCGGCTACACCGCCCCGTATGCCCTCGATTTTTCCTCTTGGGGAGATCTGTGGATGTTCGGGTGAGTTCAAGCAGTTGCCATGTCTTTCTGAGGAATTTCTACGCTAGGAAGCGTGTGTAGCTTAGCCGCAGCAGACTGTCAGTACATTAACCCCTCTCAGCTTCTGCAGGGCACTGTGTATCCTTATCCATCGGTCGGCGGTGTGCCGATACAGCATGCGTGCGTGACTGGAAGTGGCTTCTGCGGACTGACGTTAGGAATGGGTTGCACGCGCCGCACATTACAATGCAAGTAGTTGTCTCATTTGGGTAATGCAGATTAATATGGAAACACCGGCCATTCTATGAAAAACTACCCTATATTAGAGGCCCCGTCTTAGTCCGCTGATAGAAACAGAAAGTGAATACACCGAAATGTACGGAATGTATAAGCCCGAAAGATGTAATTGAAAAGAAAAAATAAAAAAAAAAAAAAAAAAAAAAAATAAAAAAAAAAAAATAAAAAAAAAAGGAAAAGAAAATGTGTGGGAGGGCAGAACAACTATTACTGAAAATTTATGCTCGATACAGGTTGACGTCAAATGAAGATCTCTCCCAGCAAAGGGAACATAAGCAGAATGCTTTATTGGAACCGATGATTCCGCAATTGATGTTCCACGAGGTTGT